CCCGACGGCGGCACTTTACCATGTGGGAGGCAGCAGACGGCAGAGGCAGAGGCAGAGGGGACAATGAGCAGCAGGAGAGAGGCAGCAGTCAGGTTGCCAATCTGGGGCTCCCCATGGACCTCTGTGGGGTCAAGGCACCCGGAACATGGCTGCGCAGCCTGAAAGTAGGAGCAGGGCCTGGTGGGACCTGGCGGCAGCAGCAGGGAGCACAGAGAGGCAGAGAGCGGTAGCAGCTTCAGCCTGGCCACCCTGCCCTGCCCCAGAGCGCCTCCTAGATCCCAACCAGCTCACCCGGCCACATTCCTTCTTCAAGTGGCGGGATGGAGGGATGTCTGCACCCCAGAACAACCTATTGTCCCCACCTGGAGGGCAAGGGACTCCCGCTCTGGTAGAGAAATAACAGAGCACTTCTTAAACCCTCCTACTCCTGCGAGGCTGAGACCTGACTGGCTCAGTAACATGCCAGGGACGTGGGTTTGGACCCCTCACCACATGCTTCGTGCCTGCACTTAGAGAACTAACTGAGATTTAACCCTGCCTGGCACTGGTACTGGAGACAAGTGACGGGCAGAAATGTGCCTCACATGCCTCCAGATGCATCCGGGTCCAGACCTGGCTGACTCACTGCAGAGGCCCGCTAGCTCCTTCCACCCACTGGCCAGTTCCAGCTCTCTGGGCAAAGAGCTCTCTCCCAAAGGGGCTTTGGGGGATCCAGTGATCAGGACCGTTTGCTCAGGAACCCCAGATCTCAAAGCTGAACCCTGGAGCCAAAGAAGCAGGCCCAGTGCCCTGAGCTGGTTTCCTGTGGTCTCTGATGCTGCCGAGGCTCCCTTCCTATCATCCCACAGCTTCCTCCAGCTCATGGGGCATTTGTGCAGCCTCAGCCCTCGCCTTGGTATCACACACAGTAGAAAACTGGGGGTACAGTTGCCGGGTTAGGGCATCATGAGATGGTTGTCCATTGGCATCTTTCAGTAGTCTGGCGGTGACCTTCCAGAGGCCGTGTCTAATTCCTGCCGTGTCTAATTCCTGCTGGTTCCAAGCTGCTTCCACCCACTATCGTAAATGTCCTTCCTTAATCTCTTCTCTGCTGCCCAGCAGAGGCTGTCAGGGCACATCATGAAATAGGTGCTTTGCAGCTGAATGGGTGTCAACTACGAGACATTTCATCTGAGTGACAGCTTATCTGTTTCCTATTTCATGAATCACTTTCCTAATCGGTCCTTTAACCACCTTGCAGGACAGGTGAGAGTGACAGTTTTCATTTTAGCAATAAATGAGGACAGGAATGGCCTCTAGGGGAACCCCTTTTGCCGTTCAGCATTTTCTGCCACCTTTACGGCCTCTCCGCCCTCCACCCCCCGTCTCTCTGCTCCTAGGAACACGCAGGGCCTGCCTGACAACACAGCTGCCTGTGGGCCTTAGAGCCCGTCACTGCAAACCAATCAATAAGACATGAGAGGAGAAGGTTAGGGTGTCTTCCCCCACAAATTCTTACCTAACCCACATTGGTTTGGATCCACATAAGAACGCCTTTCTCTGCTGGGTTAGGAGCGAGACACTTGCTTCCAACCTGGAGCCTCCTTCTCGGCCCTTATGTCTTCAGATGTGACTCGCAGTGAAAATATTGCGTTCATGTTTCCCGATCCTGGCTCCTTAAGGGGTGGCAGGAGAAGCAGAAAAGGAGCAAATGGACACATGCACATGAGGGGCGGGGGGAGAACAGAAAGGAGGATAAGTGGCGCACAGACTAGGAATAAACATGAAAGAAGAGGCGAGAAGAAAGGTCTGCGTCATGTATTTCATGCGGGCTCACTTACTGCGGCGCCTGCTCCAGGAGGACTGAAGTGGAGACCTCGACGGTGACTCCCGCGCACCCTGGGGAAGGAGAGGATCAGATCTGGGTTGCCCAACACCTGCTCTCAGACTCTGGGCCTTGGGTTTTTTTTTTTTTTTTTTAAAGATTTATTTATTTATTTATACATGCACTGGGCACAGTCAGAAGCGCGGGAGGGTGAGAGAATTCACCAGAGCCAGAGTGGAGAGCAGAGCAGGCAGAAGGACCGAAGCACACTGCTGAGGGGAGCAGCGGGCGGCAGGAGAGGTCTGTCGCGCCATGTGGGACCCTCCTCCGGTGGCCGGGGAGCAGCCGGGGATCGAACTGGCGTTGCAGAGGCTGCGGGCAGCTTCGTAACCCAGCGCTCAACCATTGCGCCACAGGGGAGGCCCTGGGCCTTGGGTTTTGCCCACATTATCACAGCTTATTAGTACTGCAGCTCTTGAGGTCTTAGTCAACCGTTTGCAGAATAGAAAACACTCAGAAAGACTAGGGAACTTGTCCAAATGCAAAAATGGAGAGCTGGGGCTCACCACCTTGACTTTCTGGCTCTTTCTGCCAGAACACACTGCTTGGGGAGATCTGTGGAAGTGAGAGGGTTTCTGGACCCTGCGGCTCGCAGAAGGCACTAGATGGATCTGTGTGATGTAGCTGGTGGGGTTGATGACCAAAGGAGATGGGAACAGCCAGAACGCAGGGGGAAGCCGGCTCACAATAGTGGGTTCTCAGCCGTCACAGTGCTGGGGGGTAGGGATTCCTGGCAGGTACCAGGGGAGGAGAGACCAGGGGAGGAGAGACCCTGTGGCTGGCACAGGTGGCATCCAACTGGAGTGAAGGTGACAGATGCCTGGGAGGCTTCCCTCCGCGCAAGGCCCTGTCCTCTTGGCGGTGGCACGGTGGAAGCACCAACCACAGGTGGTTTCACCTGTGGCTGGTGTCTGAAGGCTCTAAGCTTGGGAACCAAGCCAGGAGCTCAGGTCTTGGGAGGCCCCTGCATGTGCTCAGCAGCAGAACATGTGGGGGCCCGGGAACCTGTTAATTTTGCCATTGCCTTAGCCCTGCATGGACTCTGGTTTGACCCTCTGAGGCTCTTCCTATCATGGTCAGTTCCCAAACTCTGTGGGGACATCTGGGCCTATGTTAGGGCGTGCCGGGCTGGAAGGCCCAACCAATTAGACCAGTGTAAACCAGGAGTGGCCAAGAGCTCTTCACTTCTGCTCTTCTGGAAGGGATCAACCACCAGGATTTGTGAGACAAGAGTGTGCCACAGAGAAGAGGCAGGGGAGACTATGAAGGGAAATAACACTGCTCATCAAGGGAAGGGATCTTGATGCTGACTAAGCTCCTCCAGTGAAGTCAGGCTCACATCAGAAGCTGTGTTCGTTCCTCTGCATCACACTCTCTCCAGGACTAGATGCTAAGGGTTCCTTGGTCACCCGCACCCTCCTGCTCTATAAACACCAGGGAGTAACCATCCCTCACATTTATATACTGCTGCATTGTTTGCAAAGCACCTGCACCATACTTCACCTTATTTGACCTTGAACCACCTATGAAAGGGGCAGGATTTGATCTTAACTTTAATAAGCAGGTGTGTCAGTACATGAACTTGTTTTCTGATCCAAATACAGTGCTCTTCCCTTCAAATCAAGATCCTTTCAAAGGAGGTCTCATCTGCTCCCAGGAACACTACAAACATGAGACAGGAAAAGAGACTGGGAAAGCCCAGAAAAGCAGAATCTCAACAAGGAGAAAGCTACGGTAAGTCAAATTGGTGTTTTTCTTTTTGCTGTTGATGGTCATTTTCATAACGTAGCTTCGAAATCACACGAAAACTATGAACCTAATGATCAAAGAAAATAAGCTTTTGTACTAATTCTTTGCATGCTAATTCTTTGAAATCCAGTAATCTGTGCCTGGTGCACAGGGCACAATTCCCCACACGTTTCCATCTGCCGCTCTCTGCTATCCGAATTCTACCCTTGCTTCAGTCTTCGCTCTTCCCCATACGAAATACATCCTGATTTTAGTCTACACTTACTTCGGTTGGCAAGTTCAGAGCGCATGCTACGTGTTTGGTGCTGAGCAAGGAGTGAGGGAGACATGGAAGCCAATACGTCATCATGGCAAAATGACAAGGCCATGGGAGTTCAAAGCAAGAACTCTTTATTTGAATTTCAGGAGTCCGAAGGCTCCAAAATGACCATATGAAATCAGTCTTGAAGGGTAAGTTATAAAGAAATAGAAAAGGGAAATTTTAAGCAAAGGAAACTGGATAAACATAATCAGTATGGGGGTTCACAAGCAGTTCTGCTGCAGCACAGCGTGGGTGAGAGTACTGCAGACACCCCACCGCACTGGGGTCACATGGCGGGAGCCCGGGGAGGAATTCTGGTTGGTCAATAACGGCACATAGGAGGGACCTAATGATGACAGGGCTGTGCTCTCGGTGTGCCAGCTTGTACATGGGACACAGACGAGGAATGGGTCTGAGGTAGAAGGCAGAGAATTAAGTTGGGGCACACGGAGCCTGAGTGGCTCCTCAGGACACCTAGAGGAAGTAGTTGAGAGCGAGCAGCACGGCCAGCACCCGCGCACCCGCTGTTGAGAGAACGAATGAACACAACTCTCGAGAGGGCAGCGATCTGGGCATCATCCAGAGACAAAGCGGCTGAGCCAAAGGCACACACCTTCCACGTAGTAACTACTTACCTTTACCGTGTCAGACTCTCAGGTGTGCAAGGGCCTGTCGTTCACAGACCTCCTTCCCAGTTCTATTTTTAACTTCTATGGCCCACACTATCAGATGCTGTGCTCATTCCGTGTCCATGTTATCATGTTTCACCAAGGGCAAGCTCCTTAGACACAGGGATGCTTTAAAACTCTTTTGTTCACAACACACACCTGCTGTGACTGATAAACACGGACAGCCAACCCGAAGAGCCCATGACCCAAGCTGGGTCTGTGAGAATGAGCCATTTTACAGGTGGAGAGAGTCAATGTATGACCCATGGGATTTTCTGCCCATAAACCACAGGGTTGCAACTGACTTCGGTTCCCTATGCCCAGTTCTTTTCTGTGGCCACTGCCAGGTCACTCCAGGAGCTTCTACCCATCTCCTAGTATCTAAGGTCACTCGAGCAACACACTTTCACACTTCAGTAAATTGCAAACACAAGGCACTGGGTAGAGAGGGTGGTTGTAACTTTATTTGAAGTTCTCTTTAATTAAAATGCTTTGCAGTAGAGACCACAGCCTGCAGGGGGCGCAGCCTCCCTAATACTTCCTGCACCACAGCCTAGAGATGGAAGGAGAATCTGACACTTTCCCTATCTCCTCCAGTGTGGGTGGCTAAGGTGGGACAGGTGGGAGTGGGGAGAAGACTGAGGAGAGGCAATGGTGAGGCTATCTTAAAGAAACACCCCAAAAGGCCTCAACTTCAAGCAGCTGAAGTCTGTTTTACAGCTGCTGCTCTATCAGTTCCAGCCAATCAGGAATAAATAAAATATAGTTTTGCCACCTTAGCTGATGGCACCAGGAGGGGTTTTCCAGCAGCTGGGCCTAGAATGCACAAGTTGCCAACATCACGGCTGCCAGAAATCACCAAAGGAGATTTGAGAACAGCTCCTCTCCCCCCTCCCTCAGCTCAGTGGCAGGCCCAGGCTTCACCCCACAGAGCAGTTCATCAGACAGGCTTCATTTACGCTTCTTCTCCTGCGTACTGGTGAACCAAGAGTCCAGGAGCTTCTTGCTGTAGTATAACTGCCAGGCGTGCACTTGGACCGCCAGTACCAGCACCAGGTACATGACGGAGACAGCGGAAAAACCAAAGAGGAAGCGGTAGGCCTTGCCGTGGCGGTAGAGCTGCTGTGCAGCCGGGAACATCTCCATGCTGCCGTAAATGAGGGGCGCAATGGAAAAGAGCCCCATGCTGATCATGGAGAGCACCAGGTAGCTGATGTTGTTGCGGGGGAAGGAGAGGAGGCCCAAGATAGAGGGCACAATGCTCAGCAAGTACGGGTACTCCCACTGATAGGGCATGGCCACCTGATCGTGTGACAAGAGCCTCAGGTGTCCCACGCTCATCTTGGCAACCAGCAGCAGCCATATGACCAGATGCACGTAGATCAGCTTCTTGATTTCATACTTGAGGGTCACACTGTGGGCAGAGCAGAGGGAGAAGTACCTTTCATTCAAAATTTTATGACCAACTCTAGGCCAGGCAACTATCGTGGGCACTGGGATACATGCGTGAACAAGACAGAGTCCCTGCCTAGAGGCCAGGCACAAGGAACAGAGGACAAAAAAAAAAACCCAAAACGATCAGACCATGAACCGGAAAAGCTCTATGTTGCAGGAGTGGGATCCCAGGAAGGAGGCATCATCACAGCCTGGGACAGAATGGCTCAGCACCCTCTACAGGAGGGTGCTGTCTAGGCTGGGCTCCCAGGGGTGGGTGGAGGCATGCATTTGGAGCAGTCAAAAAGTCACAATTTGTGTTCCAGGAAAGCAAGGGGTTGGGTGTAGCAGGAATACATTTTAGGGGCAGGGGAGAAGGGGGATTTGCAGTTGCAAAGGAGATGGAGTCAGTTTGAGGGCAGAGTAACTCAGCTGTGTTTAGAAACATGACTTTGCACCACAGGATACAGTCTGGAGGAAAGGCAGTATTGGCAAGGAAGCACAAATCTCTCTGGCTAGAGTGGATATTTTTTTTCCCCCTCTAGGAAGCGCATATTTCTCTTATTATTCTAATTCTCTCAAGTTTTAAATGTATCCTCCTCATACCTCCAGGGACAGAGTTTCTGCTCTAGCCAGCTGTGAAAACACCTGCCTAAATTGTGGTGTTCCCTTAGGGTAAGAATGAAGGGCGTGTCCAAAGAGCTTGGCATAAATAAAAACTGCAAAGACAAGAACATTCTGAGAGATCAATGCATTTAAAGCAAGAAAAAAAAAAACATAAAAAAATAATCATTATAGGAAATGGGGAAAGTGTGTGTGTGTGTGTAGGGGGGTCAGCTCCTTCTAGACTTCAAGCTCCATGAACACAGGGACCAGCTTTTTTTTTTTTTTTTAATATCTAAAGGGCTGGCTTATTAGGAAAAGGGACAGAAAAGTAAAGTACACTTGCATAGACACAAGCGGACAGGAACAGCTGCCCCAGAAGGGACAGGTTTGCAAAGAGAAGCCTGCATGGTTGCGGGCAGGTGGCCCCGACAGGTCACAGGCAGGCAGGGAGGCTGCTGCCCTGCAGAGGGAGAGAGTTGGTGAAAAGAGGCACCTGCATAGGCACAGGTGGGCAGAGGCAGTGCTGCAGGGACCAGTTTTGCCTGTTGTTGTTGTAACATGTTTTTTGGTGCAGGTGCAACATGCATCTGAAGACCAGGTCTGCTTCTGCGCCCTCTGACCTGTGTCCACCACAGCGCCCAACGGGCAGCTCGGGAAAGACCTGTGACTGCAGAAGCCCATGGAGAAATGCCCCAGGGGCCGTGGGGTGTAGATCACTCCTGCAGGGGCCCGGCTGGCCTTCGCTGCCCACGAGCCCCCAAAGGACCCAAACAAAACAGCTACTGGGCAGGGGCCGACGGCTGTTGTGTTCCTCTCCCCGGGGTGCTCCACACGCGGTACCCCCCGGCTCACGCTCCTGCACCCGAACTTCGAGGGGAGAATTTTTTGTCTCTGCAGGACACCGAGGCTCGGTTAGAAATCAGGTGCCCGCGGTCCCACGGGCGCGCCGCGCGCGGGCGGGACCTCCAGCCTCAGCGCCGAAGGAGGCGCAGCCCGGGGGCCTGGCGGGCGGGCCGGGCCTCTCCCGGCGCCGAACCGGGTCGCTGCCCGGCGCTGCGGCTGCGGCGGGCCGGGCCCCGCGCTCCCGGCCGCTCCATACCTCATCTGGTAGTGCATGGCGACGCGCTCCCGGTGCTGGAAGTCGCTGCCGTCCGTGCCGGCCGCTCGCGGGCCCGCCCGAGACGCCATTGCCCCCGCCCAGGCCGCGGGAGCCCCTCACGCCGGCCGCCGCCTGCAGCCCGCCGCCCCGACAGCCGCGCTGCGCCGGGAGGGCGACTTCCGCCGCGCTGTCTCGCGAGAGCCGACTCTGTGGTTCCCCCTGGCGCGCACGCGCGTCCCCTCGGCCCCGCCCCTCTTGACCACGCCCCTCAACGCCCCGCCCCGCCCCGCCAGGCCCCGCCCCCCGCGGAAGGCGCGGAAGGCGCAGGAAGAGTCCTGTGCGGAGCTCGCTAGCTTCACAGCCGGTTTTTTTTTATGACTCATAAGAAATATATATGTTTTAATTATTTTATTTTATTTTTATTTTATTTTTTTCAGATTTTTTTTTATATTCCCCATACAACTGCACCCCCTTATTTTGACCCCAATCCCTCCTCTCCCCGGCCCCCCCCAAGTGTAAATGCTCAAGAAAATGCTTGTTGAGTAAATAAATTCCAGCAGAACCAACTCACCCTCTTCTGCCAAGCACTGTCAGGAATTTATACCGTGCCAGCCCTGGGGGGTGTTGCGGACACAGAGGACTCAGGTTGTATCTACCTGTGAACACCTGTGTATGGGTTTTTGTGTGGGCGCATGTTTTCTCTTCTCTGGAAGGTGTGTGAGTGTGTGTGTGTGTTTGTGTGTGAGTGTAGAATTGCCGCATCACAGATCAATCCATTACACATTTCAGCCAGTCCTCGTCTCTGCTGTTACTAAATCATTATATTGGGCCTCCCTGGTGGCGCAAGGGGTTAAGACTCAACCTATCAAGATGTTCGCAGCCTCTGCAGCGCAAGTTCCATCCCGGCCAGCCAGGGAGCTACCCACATGGCGCAGCAGACCTCTCCCAACTTGCCCGCTGCTTCCCTCAGCAGTGCACCTCAGTCAATCTGCCTGTTCTGTTCCCCACTCTGTCTCTGGTGAATCCTCTCACCCCCCACACCTCTGGCCTGTACTCCATTTCTTGTCTGCATAAATAAATAAATCTTTTAAAAAATCATTATATTGTCAATAACACAAACATTCCCTTCTATCCGTGAAGTGTCTGCTGCAACGCCCTTTACTTTTATTTTCACGAATCCTCACCTGAACCCTTGATCGCCCTGTTATGCAGGTGAGAGACCAGCGCTCCCAGAGGTGGGGCGGCTTGTCTGTGCTCACACGGCTAGGCCAGGGGCTGGGACCACCACCCACTTCTGTCCTGTCCGTGCCCTCTGTTCCTGAAGGCCTGTCTGGCCACCGCCTGTCCCAAAGCTGTCGAAACCTGCCTCCTCCCTCCTTCCAGGCCTTTTCTGGAAGTTAGGCTGCCTTGAAATCCCACGGGTCAGGGCTGCTCTCCTCCCTTGCTCTTTTCCCCAGTTGGGGTTGAAGCCGGGGTGGGGCTTCCCTGGGAGCTGGGAATAAAATGGAGCGAGGGCTGGGCTGAGCGGGCCAGTTTTGTAAGGAGGTTAGGAGGCGGTGAGGGGGAGGTAAGGAGTCTGTCCTTTGGGTTTTTGTTTTGTTTGGCTTTGGCTCCTGGAGAGCAGGTGAGGTGGGACTCGGTGGAGCTTTGCTACAGATGGGGAAATAAGCAAGACTTGCATAGCGTCGAATGGGGAGAGCGAGCTCCCCGACAGGGCTGGCCTGGGAGACCCCGAGTTGGAAGGAAAGCATGATTTCACCCAAAACGCAAGGGGCTTTTATCATGAGCTGCTTGCTTTGTGCCAGGCCCAGGCTGTGCTGGGGGCTAAGAGTGGACAGAACATCTCAGGGTGAAGCCCAGAAGTTGGGGTGCTAAGGCAGAAACAGATATTGAGCTCACCTGGCTAGAAAGTAGAAAGAGCGAGAAGAAGGGGTGATTCAACAAGCCTTCCAACAAGGCTTTCCAAGGAGCGGGGGCGGGGGGGGGGGCGGGGGGCTGGGAAACCTGGGCTTGGAGGCTGCAACAGTCTAGGCCGGGGCCAGAGGTCGAAGACGGTGCAGGGAACTGCATGTGCAAAGGTTTGGAGGGAAGCAAGCACCGGAGCATGGGGCTTGGGAGGGAGGGCGGGGGCAGGTGAGCCAGGGCTGTCAGCTAGACCCGGCAGCCCACGGGGGTGCCCACAGCCACCAGCCACAGCGGCTGCTGCTTACATTTAAACCCGTTCACGAAACTAGCAACCCAGCTCCGCCGTGGGGCCAGCCACACTTCAAGCGCTCGGAGGGAGGACGGTAGAGACCACCTCCATTGTCGCGGTCCCTTTGGCCAGCAGGAGGCCTCCGGAGGGGTAGGAATTGCTCGACCACCCCAGGAGAGAGAGGAGAGAGGCTCGGCCTGCTGCCTGTCCGCGAGGACCTGGCCTGAGCGGGCCAGCTCTGTCAGGAGGTTAGGCGGGCACAAGTGAGGGAATGCTCCCGGCAGGGCGAGGCGTGTGCGTGTGAGTCACCTCCTGCCAGCAGAGGAGCGGACTCTGCCCCCAGGGATGGGCACTGACCAAGCGGGACTTCTTGGGCCTGACTCGTGATCCTAGATCATTGTGCCCGGAGCCGCAGTGGGAGAAACATGGAGTGCGTGGCGGCCGGCGGGGTGGGGATGACAGCCGGGTGGGGCCGGCCTGGGCGCCGCGGGGTCTCCAGCTTGGTCCTAGTGGACTTGCAGGGCGGGGGACGGCAGAAGGGCAGGGTGGGGGGCGGGGGGCGTGTGCGGTCGGGAGGGGCCCGGACCGGAGACTTGCTGGCCATCATATCTGAGGAGGAGAGTCGGGGCCCTCCCGTCCCACCCCAAAGAGCTGCCTTTGCTTCCTTCCCAGGTCCCACGTGATCCAGCTGACGAGGATGGACTATGCCATGAAGTCCCTGAGCCTCCTCTACCCCAAGTCCCTCTCCAGGTGAGGACGGGCAACGGGCCAGGGCAGGGGAGCGAGGGGAAGGGCGCCCTGGAGGTTACAGGGCCGAGGCCTCAGACTTTGGCGCCCCTTGGTCCCCCGGGCGTCCTGCCGGCCTGCAGATGCGCTGCGGCGGGCCTGGAGTGGGACCGAGAGTCTGTCCTTCACTAAGACTCCCCGCCCAGTGTTACTGCTGCTGCCCCCCGCACCCCCACGTGAGTAGAAAGAGGCGGACGCCGGGCTGCGTGCTTTCGGGCTTGATCTCGTTTAAACCCGCCCAGCTGTGAGAAGTGGGGGTTCTTATATCACATGTATAGACACTGAGGCCCAGAGGGTGCTGCCAATCACCTCGCAGATGGCAGTGGAGGCGGGACTTAAACTTGGATCTGCCTTGATTCCAAAACTCAGGTCCCCTCCGTCCTCTGGCTCGACACTGACTCTGTCAGATGGCGAAACGCAGCCCCGCGCCGGCCTCAGCTAGGCCAACTGCTCTCCCTCTACGGGTGAGAAGAGCTGAGGGAATTGGTGATGGGGGGGCGCAGGGGCATCTTCTCTCCCCTCCCTACTCCCCGTGGTCTGAGAACCGGCAGCGTGACCGCGGGGACTCACTAGACCCACGAGTCTCCGACCCACCCAGACCCACTGAATCAGAATTTTAACAACTCTCAGAGGGCCGATGTGCCCCTGCAAGTCAGAGTTGCGCAGCCTTAGCAGGGTTTTGAGTAAGTCCTGGTGAGGCGGCTTGGGGTGGCAGGGGAGGACTCTGATGAGGTGGTTCGGGAGGCGGGGAAGTGGGCGAGCCAGCAGGAGCTCCCTCTAAGACCCCAACCCCTCAGGTACGTGGCTGTGAGCACCTCCGTGGTGACCCAGCAGCTGGTGCCGGAGCCCAGCCCGGAGGCCCCCCGGGCCCGGCCCTGCAAGGTGAGCAGCGCAGACCGCAGCGTGCGGAAGGGAGTCATGGCGCGCAGCCTCGCCGACCTCCTGCTCAAGGTGAGGGGCGGGCCTGCCCTCTGCACAGCCAACCCTGGGCCCAGGACCTGGAGCTGGCCCTGCCAGTGCCACACGCCTCGGGGTCACGGGCTGGGAGTTCAGCAGGGATGGAGGTCATGGCTCAGACGGTGAAAAGATTTCCCTTGGGAGGCAGCCCCAGTGGGCGGGAGAGCCAGCCTGCGGCGCCGCCCAGTCCATGCCCAGTCCATGCCCAGTCGGGCACAGGGGAGGGCTGTGGGTTGTCTTCCTGCTTGAATGATTCATCCGTGGCATTTTCAGAGCACACTTTCACACCCGCAAGACCCTTGGGTTCCCTTTCCTGCCTGGGTGGGGGGGAGAGCAAGGTGTAGGCAGTTTCCTTCCCCACCTCTTCCCTCTGGCGCCACGTTCTTCTGGCCGTGTCTCCTCTCTGGCCCTTCCGTGGAAGACTCTGTGGAAGGTTGTGGAAGACTTTTCAAACTATCGATCAGGTGTGCTTGCAGAGGATGGAACCAAGCAGCTCCTGGGGGAGTCAAATCCACGAGGCTGCCCCCCTTCCCTGTTCCCTGCTCCCTCTGTGCTGGGCTGGGGGTGGCTTCTCCACTGGCCCACCTGTAGCCTCCTCCATCATGTGGCTGTGGCTTCCCTGCCTCATTGGCTCACCAACTCCATGGGGGGAGACCCCTGCTCATTTGCAAGCCCAGGTGCCAGGCACAGATCAAATGTTTGGATTAATCAGAGCTGACCTCACGCTCTATTCTGCGTTCCCTCCGCCATCCCTCTGAATTAGGTCCATTCTTCCCTCCCCTGCTCTCAGAGGCTTCCGGCATCCCAGACTGCATTTCTTAGCCTGCACTCAAAACTGCTCTTTCACCCTTGAGTCTGTTCTCAGAATGATTTTCACTGAGGTCTGGTGACCACCTCCTATATCAAATGGCCTGTTGCATATGGCTTCCCAGACCCTCCCTTTCACCCCACCCTCACCCCGTGAAGCCCAGGAATTGTCTTTTCTAGAAAGTTCTTCAGGACTATCCAAAAAACCTGAAGTTTGGGAACCCTGGACAGGGTCTTAACTCCAGAGGATGCAGAGAAGAATAAAAGTTGGGGGTCGGGGTGGGGGTGTCCATCTTTCCAAGATGGAACACAGGCCAGAAGTGAATCTTACCGACTGAACAGGAGGACATCAGCCTCGCCTTCCCAAGCTTGGGACAGAAAGAAAGGAGCAGAGGGCCTCCCCAGGTGGCGCAGCGGTTGAGCGCTGGGTTGCGAGGCTACCCACAGCCTCTGCAGCGCCAGTTCGATCCCCGGCCACCGGCGAGGGTTCCACAAAAAAAAATAAATAATAATAATAAAAGAAAGGAGCAGGGACAGTGAAGGGGAGGGTGTATGGCGATATGATGGTGAGGGCCTCTAAAACAGGAGAGCTTTTATTGACCAGGGTGAGGAAAAGTTGGGTTTCATTTTAAAAGATAGTAAGACCTTGGACGCTTTTGAAATAAAACTAATTTTGAAGAAAAGTCTCAAACTAACAACAGTTGAGGCTAAATTACTGACTTGATACCTATTATTCCGTACCTCCAAGGGTGTTTTCTACGATGTTTCAAAGATTCTAAGTTGGTTGTTTGGATTATTGACCCTGTTTGAATTGTCTATTGGTCAGTTCTTGTTTATCTGGCCGGAATATGTCAAAAATAGATTGTCATGCTGATTGTTGATTTATCACATAGCTGTTTCTCTTTGATTATCTGAATAAGGAGGTACAGTCAGTCTTCTCTGTGTAAAGTCATTATCTTATCTAAATGTTAATTCTTTCCTAGGGAGATAATTTGCACTAAGTAAACATCTCATTCTATACCTTTCAGTGTAGCCTTTACTTATATCAAAAGGGGCATCAGTATCCCCACTTGAATGGACCCTAAGGATAACAGGTTATTTAATGATGCTCAGATCCTCCTACACTCTGCCAATAAGATGCCATTCAACCTGACTTCTGTGCGCTTTTGCCACATCCCCATTATTCTTTTGAGTGCTTTCTGATTTTTGGGCACAGTGGGGAACTGCAGGCTGCCTTGCATTTCCCCTGCGCTAGCTCCTGAAGTGCCTTTTCTAAGGAGATCTGCTTCATTTTGGTGGGCCCTCCCTGGTGGCGCAAGGGGGTTAATCGTCAGCACTATAAAGCTGTCCACAGCCACTGCAGCACAGGTTCGATCCCCAGCCAGGGAGGTGACCCACATGGCGCAGCAGACCTCTCCTGCCTTGCCCGCTGCCTCCCCTCAGCAGTGTATTTCAGTCAGTCCTGCTCTGTTCCCTGCTCTGTCTCTGGTGAATTCTCTCACCTCCCACACCTCTGGCCTGCACCCCAGCTCTTGTATGCATAAATAATTTTTTTTTTTTTTAAAGAGAATGGGATTCAGAACCCAGACCTGGGAGTGAGGTGGTGTGTTGCTTGTCCCAGGCCCTGATTGAAGAATTTTAAGTAGAAAGAGAACTTCTCTACTGAATCCAAGCAAGAAAATTAAAGTGAGAAATCTACCATTTCTGAAATTAGGTGGTGCTTGTACAAGTTTGTAAATATATTAAAAAAAAAACCCACCTGTATATTTTAATAGGGTGAATTTTAAAAAGGTGACTTTTATGATGGGTAAATTGTCTCAATAAAAAAATTATGTAATCAACCAGCAGATTAACCACTAAGCTAGTTACCACGGGCTCCATAATAGAGTCTTTGGACAGTGATCCCACAGCAAGAGCCTGAGTTCCAGGCTGGGTCCTTGGGCCCCTGACCCTCTCCTGGCAGCGCGGTGTTTTGAGGTGCTCTCCCTGTACCAGCTCTGGGACTGCATGGGGGAGGCAGGAGCGTCACCCACCTAATTCCTCAGGTCCAGGATACACTGATGCTGGCAGACAAGCCCTTCTTCCTGGTGCTGGAGGAAGATGGCACCACTGTGGAGACAGAAGAGTATTTTCAAGCCCTGGCAGATGACACCGTGTTCATGGTTCTCCAGAAGGGGCAGAAATGGCAACCCCTCTCCGAGCAGGTGAGGTCCACCTGTGCGTGGAGAACACTGGAAGCCTGGGGGGAGGCCTTCAGGGGTGCCAACCACATGCTTTCTCAATGCAGGGGACTAGGTACCCACTGTCCCTCTCCCACAAACCTGCCAAGAAGATTGACGTGGCCCGCGTCACTTTCGACCTGTACAAGATGAACCCGCAGGACCTCTTCGGCTGCCTGAACGTGAAGGCCACGCTCTACGGCACCTACTCCCTCTCGTACAACCTGAACTGCTGCGGGGCCAAGCGCGTTGTGAAGTGAGTAGCTGGGACTGGCTGGGGCAGGGCGGGAACACTGCCCCTCTGCTCACACGGGCCTCGGCCTGGGGGCCTGGGAGCGGGGCCCACGAAGCATCTGTCAAGAACTTCCAGCCTGAACTGTGCCTTAGAGGATGCGAGCACATGTGAGGGCCACACCTCCTGCTCCTGGTGGAGCCGGATACATTTTGCTCATGTAATACCATAATGACAACTTGTTTTTTCACCAAAAGTAGTCAGTTTTCCAAAAGAGCCTCTTCATCAACTTTCAATTAATTAATTAATTTTTTTTTTTGGTGGGACCCTCGCTGGCAGCCAGGAAATGAACCGGCGCTGCAGAGGCTGTGGGCAGCCTCGCAGCCCAGCACTCAACCACTGCGCCACCAGGGGAGGCCCTATTTTTTTTAATTTATTAATGCATACAAGAGCTGGGGTGTAGGCCAGAGGTGCGGGGGTGGGGGGGTGGCGGGGTAAGAGGATTCACCAGAGACAGAGTAGGGAAAAGAACAGGTGGACTGACTGAAATACCCTGCTGAGGGGAGCAGCGGGGAGACAGGAGAGGTCTGCTGTGCCATGAAGGTAGCTCCCTGGCCAGGGATGGAACTCATGCTGTAGTGGCTGCGGACAGCTTCACAGTGCTATGACTTAACCTCTTGTGCCATCGGGGAGGCCCCCTCATCGGCTTTTTAGAAATGAACACATGTCAAAGATTTTATTGAGCTCTACGAATGAGAGAAGTGGCAAGAAGTTATAATCAGTTCAAAGGATAATTCAAAACTACTCCTGTACAGGTCTGTCAAGAATGCTGAGATGCATCTATAGATGCAGGGAAAAAAAAAATAAACCTATAGATACAAAATTGGATATGTCCATAAGCCAACTTATTTGCATGTTGCTCAATAAGAGTCATCTGTATGAACTAATGAAATTGTTCCCCCTTGATTTCTGAGTCTAATCAAGGCTCGCATATGTTAAACTTTTTTTTTTAAAGATTTATTTTTATTTATTTATACAAGCACTGGGTACAGTCAGAAGCGCGGGAGGGTGAGAGAATTCACCAGAGCCAGAGTAGGGAGCAGTACAGGCAGACTGACTGACGAAATACACTGCTGAGGGGAGCAGTGGACGTGGCAGGAGAGGTCTGTCATGCCACGTGGGACCCTCGTAGGCAGCCAGGGATCGAACCCGCGCTGCAGAGGCTGCGGGCAGCTTCGCAGCCCAGCGCTCAACCACTGCGCCACCAGGGGAGGCCCGAATATGTTAAACTTTAAGACAGGTGCTCTTCTGGCAGTGCTTCCCAAGTTCAGCTGCACCAGTGTTGCTCCAGATGTTCTCACTCCATTAAATGGAGGCAGCCACTGAGGCAGAGGTGATCCAATCAGAATAAAGCCAGAAAGCAAGGGAAGAGCAGAACATGGCTCTTGCCGGGTGCTTCTGGCAGATTCTACTCCTCCCCGGCCGCTTCACCTGTATGTCCTGGGTCCTCACCATGAGCCTGAGCCTGTTCTGTGAGCTGGAGACACAGAACTGGCCAAGATGTCAGCCCAGCCTCCAAGAGGGCAGGCAATCTGTTGCCCTCAGTACTTTGATGAGGGCAGCATCAAAGAATTGTAGACACAACCATAACCAAAAATAAGATAAGTAAAAAACAGGGCCCTCCCTGGTGGCGCAGTGGTTGAGCGCTGGGTTGTGAAGCTGCCCGCAGCCTCTGCAGCTCCAGTTCGATCCCTGGCTGCTCCCCGGCCACCAGAGGCAGGTCCCGCATGGTGCGCAGACCTCTCCTGCCGCCCGCTGCTCCCCTCAGCAGTGTACTTCGGTCCTTCTGCCTGCTCTGCTCCCTGCTCTGGCTCTGGTGAATTCTCTCACCCTCCCGCGCTTCTGACTGTACCCAGTGCTTGTATAAATAAATAAATAAATCTTTAAAAAAAAAAAAAGTAAAAAACAAACGCTAATGATAGAATGGATGAAGACACATATGAAACCCTGTTCTGCAGGCTCCGGTTCAGGGCCCCAAGGGTTCTGCTAGAACATAGGGGGGACCCAATTACACCTTCGGGGTTTTCTTAGTTAATCTGCATACCCAGTGGGCAGGTGAGAGGCCTGAGGCTGTGTGTCCTGGCACCGAGACTTTGGCCTAGTTCTTTGGCTGCAGTTCCATTTTCCCTTGATCTGGGCCTGCTGCCCATAGTTTACAGATTTCAAAATTTAGAGCAAGAAGTTTCAGCCTTTCAATTCAGTCCATTTAGGGGAAATTGGACTCTTGGGCCTAAACACAGTAGACACTGGTATCAAAAAAACAACACAGCTGGAGTCAGCATGGTGCCTTAGCAGTGTTGGCTATTTGGGAGGTTTTGTTTTGTTTGTACTATGATACACAGACCATAAAATCTGCCATTTCAGTCAGCTGCAATCCAGTGGCATAAAGTATAGTCACAATGTTATGTAACCAGCACCAGGATTCACTTCCAGAATTTTTTCATCATCCCAAACTGAAACTCTGTACCTATTAAACACTGACTCCGCAGCACCCTCTCCCCTGGTCCCTGGTAACCTCTGTTCTATTTTCTGTCTCTGTTCATTTGCCTTCTGGGATCAAAATGGTGTGATTCCATTTTGTAGATGAGTGAGCAGAAGCAGTTGGCCAAGCTGATGAGGCTGCACTAGAATTCAGGCCTATGTGATTTAAGTTTTTCTCAGCACATTGCCACACCTGGCGAGTTCAGTACTCTGGAAATGAGTCAGTCTGCGAATGACTGGGAAGGCTTCAGGATCCAGAACAGATTGTGTTCTGGATAATAATCTGGTTGGTTCAAAATAGCATTACAAAAATAAAAGTCCCTATTAAAGGAGCTTGAAATTTGCATGAGAGAGAAGGGATTTCTGGACATTCCAGTTACTGGTCATTGCAGAAAGTGCCCACTGAGCTCCTCCCATTGCTGGGGAGGGCAGCCTCTGCCCTGTTTGGGAGCGTGGAGGATGGCGCATCTGAGGGATGATGGCAGGGACGTGTTTTGACTCTGGTGTCTTCTCATTCCACACAGGGAAACTCTCCGCTGGGCCCTCATGAGCATGCAGGCCACAGGCCACCTGCTGCTTGGCACCTCCTGTTACATGCAGCAGCTCCTGGACGCCACAGAGGGAGGGCAGCACCCCAAGGGCAAGGCCCCATCCCTCATCCCAACCTTTCTGAAGTTACTGCAATGAAGGCCCAAGTTCTTGGAGACCTTCCCCAGGCGAGGCCTAGACTATGGGGACCCCTGGCTCGGCTAAGCTAGAGAGCTTCTTACCTTGACACCCTCCTCCAACCCCCAGGACCAGGAATGAGGAAGCAGGGGAAGGGCTGGGAACCTGGTGGGCCTCCAAAGGAGAACTGAGGGTTCTTAGCCTCATGGGAAACCTCCCTCCCTCCCCCAGCTCGATTACTTGACTGAGTGCTCACCAGCAGCCAGGGACACCAAGGCTGGCCCTCAGCAACCTGCCTGTGCGGGGACCTCTTCACCCCCTCCTTTTCCCCAGTCCTCTTATCCCCAGCCACCACCCTCCCCGCCCAGTGAATTGTCAAGCTCACTAGTGTATGATACTAGACTTCGCAATAAATTATTTATGCCAACACATTTCGTTGCCTGTGTCCTTTGAGGGTGAAGGTGTGGTTCTGTCTGGAAGGTTGGAAAGATCTAAGAGAAGAGAGGAACCTCCTCTCAAACCATTCTCCAAAATGTGGGGGTTATAGGAAACAACTTCCTTTTTACCAAAAACCAAAAAAAATTGCAGATGATTCTGGAAGTAATACTTGCTTCATCTGAGACTCGAATAAACACACAATCAACATAAATGACAGGCATGTAATCCTAACAAGGGGCAATTCCCAAAACAAATTTGCCCATCAGGCAGGCTTTGAGCGGCAGGGTGGCATCGAAACACTTCAGATTTCTTAGCCTCATGACAAAGGTTCCAGGCCTGGGGTGGGGGTGGGGTGCAGCTCCCCTCCAGCTGTCATGCGCCCCTGCAGCCATGCCATCCCTGCTCACCAGACAGCTTCACTTTCCTATAACATCAGGGTGTCAAAGGGACTGTCACAAAGTTTTAGTGCCTCAGCAGCGTGACCCTTGTTTTTCCAGTTGGGCAACTCAAACAAACTAGTATGAAAGACTCAAGGGTACCTCTTTGATTCAAAAATGTGTCATTTCTGCCGCTTGTTACAAAGCCTATTTGACAGATTAGATACTAAGAGAAAGGCTGCCTTACCGAACCCACAATCCAAAGAGTTCCTGCTGGCAGCTGACCCAGCACTGCAGCCATGTGTAGGGGAAGCTGCCAGGCTCCAGGCCTTACTGCTCCTGCACTTGAGGCCTGGGCCTGGGGCGTGGAGGCCTGATGTTTACATCACCACAGGCGCTGTGCCCCAGTTGGGTGGGAGGAAGGGGGCATGCGAGGAAACTTGGACCAAGTCCCACATCCATGACTCCTGAGATTCGAAGTTGCCCAAGCACCGGAAATTGCACAGTGGTCTCTGGACACTGAGCCCTTCAGCCCAAGGAAAACAGGCTCTGCCTTTTCTTCCAGGAACTCACTGGCCAGTGGCTTGCCCCTAGCTGTGGGCAGTGAACAGGAGAGCGCAGCCTTTGATGAGGCTGAGGGAAAATTCAGAAGAGCAGGGGAGCTCCGGATGGAGGAGGGCCGGGGTCAGTCCCAGTGGGGAAGGGGTCACGCAGTGCTGGTGGGTGAGGAGGGAGGAGAGGTCTGCTGCAAGTGGCTGGGGACCAGTCCCTCGGCCTTGTCTTCTGTCTTGGCTAAAGCTCATGAATGCGTGGACTTTCACAAGAGGGATTCAAAAACACTGGGGGCTTGGGAGGTGGTGGGGACTTACATCAAAGCACAGTAACAGCCCAGCCCAAACAAGACAGAACCCCTTGCAGTCTACATTGCTAGCCAGTCCTGTCCATATTTGTGCAGGTCCACAAATTTAAATTGATTATTTAAATCTGGATTTTTAAAAAATTAAGTTTCTTGAGGTGGTAATTTTTATGCACTAAAAAGTACCCTTTTCGATTATGCTCGGTGAAATAAGTCAGAAGGGAAAAGAAAAATATCGGATGATTTCACTTACAGGAGGAATACAGGGGAACCAAACAAAGGATCACAGGAAAAAATAATAACAATAAAAATTAAACCAAAACAAAACAAACCAAAAATAAACAGCTAACTATAAATCAGAGACATGCTGCAAAGGAAGAGGAGGGAGAGGGATCAAAACAAGGGAGGGAAGCACAAGGGACTGTGGGATGGTGCCCGGGTGAACTGGTGGTGGGAATTCTGTGGGGACTACACCTGACAAAAGAAAGCAAACACTGTACAAAAATGAACGATGATGTAAAAAATATATAAATAAATAATTTAAAAAAGAGAGAAGATAAAAGCACTCACTTAAAAAATTATTTCAGCATTGCTGTATGCTTAAAAATTTTCATAGTAAGTGTATAAAAATCACATACAAACACATCTATGCCTAGTTTAGTCATATTGTCTTTTGCTTTACTTTTTTGATTTAATATATTTTGGAGATTGCGTCCTATCAACATTTATAGACCAACACACTCATTAGTTAATGATTGCAAGGAGGGAAGGTGCTGTAACTGATGTAGCCTCTCCAATTTGCAGTCTTTGCAAACAATGAATTGAAAGTTACAGGATTTTTAGAATATAAACAAAACAAAACACAGGTTGCATATAACTTTTCTATAGTTGTTATTAGAGGCTAGAACCCATTTTGTTCTTTACTTTCTTTTCACTTAACACCTCACTTCTGCTGCTCCCTTCCCCTGGCTCCCCTCCTTCCCACCTTTTCCACTGGGTGAATTTCTATCACAACCCAAGCTGGGATGCTTCCTCTGATTTCACCCTGCTCCCCATTTCTATCAGCATCTCCACATCCTTTAGCAAGGAAGGTTGGGGTGCTGTGACCCCAACTGCCAACTCGGGGAACTTCTCGTGAATAGGGCTTGAGTCTATTTGATCTGAGCTTCATGTTAGCAGACACCAGGGCCTGCACGGTGAGCATTCAGAAAGGCTGAATGGGTGATGTATTAGATTCAGTTTCCTAGGAGCTCTAATCCCAGGATAATTGATGTTTCCAGCTCTGAGATGTGCTTTGCTTTTTGCTTTGCTAAATCATGCCCCAGGGAAATCCTTCCAGCCTCTGGCTTTTCTCTCCTTTTGGATTATGCACCAGGCTTTTCTTCAAAGCAAGTTTACTGGGCGGCCTCCCTGGTGCAATCGGCAGCTGCTGCAGCATGAGTTCGATCCCTAGCCAGGGAGCTACCCACATGGCACAGCAGACCTCTCGTGACTCGCCCACTGCTCCCCTCAGCAGTGCACTTCGGTCAGTCTGCCTGTTCTGTTCCCCACTCTGTCTCTGGTGACTCCTCTCACCCCACCCCCCACATCTCTGGCTTATCCCCCAGCTCGTGTATGCATAAATAACTAAATCTTAAAAAAAAAAAAAAAAGCAGGTTTACTGGAACAACGGGTGTGCTTATGTTTTCCCCCAATTTTCCTTGCAAAAGTGTGTCCGCTGGTGACTTATGAACTGGAATGCTAAGCAGGAAACAACCCTTTGCCCCGCAAATTTCTTCCCAGTTCCGAGTCTCAGTTTCCCCAAGTCCCAGGCACGGGCCCAGGCTCCGCCCCCGGCACCGCCCAAGCCCCGCCCCTCCCCTCCCGCGCTGCGCCCCTGCTTGCTATTCGGATTGACAGTCTAGCTGACCAATCAGCGTGCTGCGAGCCCCTGGGCGGGGCTTCCCGTTCGGCGCGTGCGCGCGGCCCTCGCCTGTGAGATGGGGGCCGGCCGCGGGTCCCCCGAGTCTGCGCTGGCTGGTGGCCCCGGGCCGGGGTCCGCGGCGCGCCCAGGGCCGCGGGCGTTGGCGGCGAGGCCGGGTGATGACCCCTCCTCCGTGCGGGGGGGCGGGCCGGGGCCTGCGGTTAGGCGGGTGTGACCCCAACCTGCCGTGTGACCCCAAACCCCTCTGCGCTCGGCCCCTCCTGGGGAAGGGGGGCCCATCGGGCCGGAGTGCTCGCGAGGCCCCCGTAGGCGGCCGCGGCCCCGGGAAGTGTGTGGGAATAGCGGCTGGGGGGAGTGACCCTTCGCTCACCCCAACTTTTCCAGGCCTCAGCTGCGGGCGCGCGGCTTCGGCGAGCGGCGGGGGCCCCTGGGGTGCCCGCCCGTCCCGGGGCTGCTGCGGCCGCGGGACCTCAGCCGGGAGGCGCTGCTCGACGTGCTGAGGGCGGCCGTCCTGGACCGGACAGGTGAGGGGCCGGGGCGCCCGGGCCCGCGGGGGGCTGCGGGCCTGGCTGGGGCCTTTGGGGTCCACTTGCCTCTGCCCCCCTCGCGGCCCGAGCCCAGGGCCGGCCCCGCGGGGCTTCGAGCCCCCGCAGGCGTTTCCCAGGGACGGACCCGGGCTGTGCAGGCGCCTCCAGACGCTTCAGCCTGCCTGGCTCGAGGAGAGTAACTTCTTGGAACCTTCGTTAACTGGCCTCGCTGCTGCGCGGGCCTGTGCCGCCCCCGCCGGGCTGGGAGGGCGCCGGGAGCCCGCATTTTCATGAGTTAAAGGATGGCTAGAAAACAGGTGGACAAGCTGCTTAGTCGGGTCCAGGGCTGCGAACAGACCGAAGCAGGGCCTTGTGATGGTGGGGACGGTAGGGGGCACCCCTTGATTGGGGTTCAGGCCTGTGCGGCCCAGACGACAGGAAGGAGCCAGAGGTGAACATGTGACATGTGGGGCGGGAAAGAGCACGTGCGGGAGACGGGTATGTGAGGGGGAGAAGGAAGCTGGGTGTAGGGCGAGGCTGGGAGCGCCTGTCGGAGAGTCGTGGCCGCGTGAGGAGATGAATCGACAGTGCTTGGCTTGCTTTCACGGTGTTTGTGTCATGTTTGTGTCATGTTTCAGGACCTCTGGTGACACTGAACAAGCCCCAGGGCCTACCTGTGGCAGGTATGGTCCGGGGAAGGGGATGTTTTGAAAGAAGGAGGTGGTGTCTGTGAGGGAGGGTGCTGGGAAGAGAATGGTGGGAGGAAGCTTTGGCTTGGAGCTGGGAACATCTTGTACTTTTCTTTGTTCCCAGGGAAACCAGGGGAACTGACTTTGCTCTCGGTGCTGCCGGAGCTGAGCCGGTCCCTGGGACTCGGTGAGCAGGAGCTCCAGGTTGTCCGAGCATCTGGGAGGTAAGTAGTGGGGTGCTAGGAAGGTAGGAGGGCAGGCATCTTGTTGGGATGGGAGATCAGCTGCTTGGGAATAAGCTGTTGACCGCGTGTTGGCGTGGGAGCACACAGGTGGGACACTAGGAAGAGGAGGTGGAAGCAGGTAGATCCGTACTAACCTTCATGCACAGCCTGCCTGACCTCAGGCAAAGTGTGAAGCCTCCCTGAGCCTGTTCCCTCAATCATAGAGTTACTAACACACATGCCAGGCCGCAGTCACCTGGCAAAGCCGTCCTCATACAGGTGTCACTGGTAGACCTGTGAGAGTCTTGCCATCAGTTAGAGATGGTACTTGGGATGAACAGTTCTCCAGTTCCACACATCCAGGGGCTTGTTTGGAAATTTAATTATTTAAATTCCCTACTGTAGTTTCTGGCACATGGTGGACACTCGCCAGTTGGTGGGAATTATTCCGACGTTTGGCGCTGAGCTCCCTGGGAGCCAGGGCAAAATGAGAAACCCATTGAAGCTACACAGTCTTATTCTCAACATGAGGAATCCTTGTTTGCCAAGAGGTCTGGGTTATAACCCTAGTATCACTCTTTCTTCTACAGCCAGGGGTCTCCTTTCCTAGGATTCTCCTTTTTTGGTGGAGGACCCTATGGGACTTTAACGTCTGTGATTTGTCCCCTTCCTCCAGGGAGACCTCTGGGCTTGTCCTCCTCTCTAGTTGTCCCCAGACGACAAGCCGCCTCCAGAAGTTCTTCATCCACTCACGGAGATCCCAGAAACCCACAGCCACCTATTGGTGAGAGGTGCTGGGAGGCTCCCAGGGAAGGGAGGACCCAGCAAGCCACGCTGTGACCACCTCCGTCCTCTTTGGCAGTGCTGTCACCGATGGGATCCCAGCTACTTCTGAGGGGAAGATCCGGGCAGCTCTGAAACTGGAGCACATGAATGGGGTCGATCTTGTAAGTCAGGGTCTCGGTGGGAAAGAGGGTGAGAGCATCCAGACATATCACCCCAACAGAGAAATCAGGGGTATAGATGTGGAGTGGCTGGTTCTCCTGACCCCCGCCTGTACTGGGGCCTCGCCCTGAGTCTGCTAGGAGCAGGGAGAGTCAAGCACATGTTAGACTGACTTCTTCCTGTGGCTGACACCACAGGCAGTTCCCGTGAAGTCTGCGTCCCGAAAGGACATCCTGGAAGGTGTCAAGAGGACTCTGAGCCACTTCCGAGTGGTGGCGGCAGGCTCCGGCTGTGCCCTGGTCCAGCTGCAGCCATTGACAGGTGGGTCTGGGACCCCAGCCAGCCTTGTGGGAGGAAGGCGATGGTGTGGCTGGCAGCCACGGAGCTTTTGATGGGCCCCACGGGTGGATGCGCCCAGGCCGGGTACCTCCGGGAGCCTGATGGTCATTCCTTTGCAGCTCACCTGTTTCTCTCTTACTACTTACTGATCCCCAGGTCGTCTCTGTCTTCCGTGCACTGTGGTTTCACTAGGATGAATCTGGGCATGTGGGTTTCATTTTATGTGTCTTGCTGAGGGTTCACTGTGCTGCTCAAACCTGAAGATGAATGTAGTTCATCGGCCCTGCAAAGTACTTTCTTCAACTGTTGAGCCTCTTGGTTCGGGCTGCCCCGTAGGCAGGCTTCCCTTCTCGTTCTTCTCGTTAGGTGTCTTGAAAGGGATCACTTATATTCCACCCAGTGTTCCCACGTCTGGAGCAAGGGGGCTTTTCGATTGTCCAGCCCACCCTTTTGCCAGAAATGGAAGCAGAATAGAGCTCCCGGGGTGGAGTCCTGGCTTCTGCTGGTGGGCAGGTCACTTCTTAGTGAGCTTGGAGTTCCCCTCTGTGAGATGGGAATGGTGCTAGGACTGGCTTGTGGGGGCTTCATGGGGATGAAATGCGTTTCCATGTGTCAGGCATTTCCTGAGACGCCTCGCACACAGCCCCCCTCTCCTGTATTTGGCCACGTCCTCTGGGTTGTAATTTCCCCCCAAACCATTTCAAAACTGTGTAAAACAAAAAAAGAGAATGTGTTGGCTTCTAGAACACAGTCGGGCACAGCTGGCTCCAGAGGCTCGAGGGTGTTGTCTGGACGCTGTTCCCACTTCCACCTGCCTCCGCCGCGCTGCTGCTTCCTCCCGGGCTCTCCCTGGTGCAGGCTGAGGGGCCCCAGCAGCTCCGCGCTCACGCCCACCAGTTAGCTCCCCCCAGGAAAGAGTGTTTCTCATCCAGGAGCGTCATCAGTAAACTCAGCATCACATCTGGGATGGGGCGGGGTGTGCCCCAGAGGGGAAGGGAAGGAGCAACGTGGGTGGAACAGACGGAACGGCCACCTCCCCTGACACACCGTCTCCCGTCTCCAGCCTTCCCCTGTCAGCTGCAGGTGCACATGGCGCTTCAGCTCTGCCCTCTGCTCGGGGACCACATGTACTCTGCCCGCGTGTCCTCTGTCCTGGGCCAGCGCTTTCTACTGCCAGCCGAGTGCACCAAGCCCCAAAGACAGGTAGGCACCTGGGTCACCTGGCTGCCGCCTCCTGAGGGCGAGGGCAGGCAGCACCTCCAAATATCAGCTATGCCGCTTAGAAGTGGGGGGCAGCCTCTTGGCCTCCAAGGCCAGCTGTGAGCCCTCTCGCAGTGCGGCCTCATGCAAGGGACACCTTGTGTCTTGGGCCATGTTCTCCCCATCGGTTCAGTAAAGCAGTTGAACTGGCTGATTTCCAAACATCCTTCTCCGCCTGTGTTCTTGGCACCAGGAATGAGAGAGGTCGTGTGTGTGACGGTGCTTCTGTCCGCTCCCATGGAGTTACCCCAGAGAACCAGAGCGTTCACACGATAATTTCCCTCCATGTTAAGGCCAGTCAGCGGGGCTGGGGGGGGGCCTTTGTTCCACTAGCTCAGGGACCCGGCTGTCGCTGTGCAGCTACCAGAGGGAGTCAGGCTCACGTAGGGGGTTTTCTCGGTCCACACCTGGTGGAGGTGTGCACACTTGCACTGGGTTCCCTGCCTAGAACTCAGTGACTCGGCTTCACCAAGCTGTACGCGGGGCTGGGAAGCGAGTTCACCACAGCAACTGCCCTGGTTCTCTGGTTCAGTGAGCCCCTGGGCAGAGCTGGGTACTTGGCTGCTTGGAACTTGCCCTGCTGAGCTGACCTGCCTCTCCCACCAGGTGCTGGATGCGGCCCTCCTCAGACGCCTCAGCCTGACCCCCGCCCAGGCGGCCCAGCTGCCCTTGCACCTCCACCTGCACTGTCTCCACCTCCCTGGGGCTAGGCCCCGGGATGCCCCCATCGAGCTTCTGGCACCCCTGCCTGCTTATTTCTCCAGGACCCTCCAGTGCCTTGGGCTCCGCCAGCAGTAGTCTCGCTGCTATTCCTGCTGTTCCTGCTAGAAGGGGTGGGAGACCAGGCGAGAAGAATGAGGCCGGTGCTCCACACGCCTGGGTGTAAGACCCTGTGCTCTGCAGGCGGACACACCCAAGAGCCGGCCCCGGCTAGCCCGCTCGCTGTGTGGTGTCAGGCAAATGACTTCACCTCTCTGGACATGAGCTAATAAAAGTACCTACCTCACAGTGTGGTTCTGCGGGCTCGGCTGTGACAGTGAGTGTTAAGCACAGGCCAAGCTTTCTGCTGAGTTCAATATGTGGTCTTTTATTTGGCTGTTTCTACCCCCATTCTAACGGAGGAAGTGCTAGGGGCTTTTTAAACATGTGGTAAAACACACCTAACGGAATTGACCATCTGAGTCATTTTCAAGTGTGCAGTCCAGTGGCATGACAGACACTCACGCTGCTGTGTCCCTTCCCCGCCACCAGCTGCAGGGCGCCCTTCCTCTTGCGGAACTGAAACTAGGACCCTCACCCCGCGCCCCCGCCAGTCCTTGGTCCCCACCACTCTCATCTCTAGACACTGCATACACTGAAGATGTCAGATTTTTTCCTTTAAAAAACTGAAATGTATCCGACATGCAAAGAAGACGTAACCTACAATTAAATTATAAGGAAACGCACACATAATGACTTCGCAGGCATCAGAGACGCTGTCCTCTCTTTTCTTAGAGAGTAGCAATTCTTAACCCTGGCCCCACAGTAGAACTTTCCACCACGGCCCCGCAGAAAGCTTAGAAAAATCCCATGTCTCCCAGATTCTGTACCTCAAAGATTCTGGTTTAATGGTCCTGGGTGGACACCCAGCATGAACCCTTTTTAAAGGCGCCTAGACTGGGGTTCCATTGTTGAGTCTCGGTCGGAAAGCGCGCCCTATCTTGGGAGAATTCTCTCGTGAAGGCCCACGGCGCGCACACACACCTCTAGACAAGGACTTCATTTGGCCTGTCTGGGAGCACGAATGGACTCGTGCTGTGCCCACTCTCGTGTGACCTGCGTCGCCCCACTCTGTGAGCAGCCCCTGTGCTGTGTGGCGCGGAGTCTGAGTTCCAGGCCGGAGCTTGCTACCATCACTGTCCTGCCACGGGGGCAGCGAGGTTTGGCTGTTCCCACAACACTGCTGACCGCCTGCCGCACCCATTTCCAGGCACAGTTCACAGGCATTCCTGGGTCAGAGCATATGTGGGTCTCCGGGGGCGCTGTGACAAACGGCCTCACTCCGAGTGGCTCAAAACCAAGTGGATTCCCGCGCAGTTCCGGAGGTCACAAGTCCAGAATCAGAGTGTCGATGGCTGTGCTGGCTCCGAAGGTGCTAGGGGAGGCTCGCTCCTGCCCTTGCAGCTTACGATGGCTCCCGGCGTCGCCAGCTGGCGGCTGCACCGTGCCAGTCTCTGCTCGGACCTCGAGTTTGTCTCTTCGCTCCTAACCTCCATGAAAACACTTGTCACTGCATCATCTAGGATGATCTCATCTCAAGATCTTTTAATGGAATCTGCAAAGACCCCTCTTGTAAATAAGGTCCTATTCACAAGTTCCAGGGGATCTAGTATGGGGAGGGGGGATTGGGGGAGAGATTCCTCTCAACCCACTGCGGCTAAGAAATACCAAACTTCTTCACATGGGTGTGGCTCATGGTTCATTTTCAGGTGACCCCTTATGAGGAAGGGACAGACTCACACTCTGAAGAGCTGGGGTTTAGGTCAGACCCACCTTCTCCCTCTGTCTCCTGTTGTAAACCTTGGACCCTTTAATTGTCACTCTGCCGCCAGCCAGCATCTCCTCCAGGCCAGGAGGGGACTTCCGGCTCCCCCCACAGGATCCTGGGCAAGTTGTCTCCTTCCCACTCAGTGTCCTGACCGCGAGGCTTGTCCCACCTCGCGCACCAGAAGGCCGGAGGTGCTGGGAGTCTGTCGCCGGGAGGGAGTTCTGGGCCTTGCTTTGTGGAGCATTTGCTGATGGCCTCTAGCTCTCATCTGGACCTTGGGGTACAGGGCCCCACCCTGCCTTCTTTTCACCCTCCAACAGAAAGGAAGCCAAGGCCAGAATGTTTCACTTGTTGCTTTTTATTTGGCTCTGACTCCAGAAGGGGGCAGTGAGGACGTGCAGGAGGGCCTCGCCAGCCAGCGGTGCACGTCCGCAAGGGGTGGAGGGTTCCAGCAAGCTCAGCGTCTTCATGAGGCGTGCCTCCGCCTTGGGCTTGTCACAGACTCTAGCCTTGAACTTGCCTTTGGCCTTGACCTTCCTAGGAAGATTTCCGACTTCAAAGCATGGAGGCCCCCAGGTGCTTCCAGGATGGAAAGAGCGAGGACGCTGGGCAGCCGCCGCCTCCGTGGGAAAGGAGGGGAGGAGGGGAAGAGAGGATCAGGAAATCTGTCCCGGAAGGGGGTTCCTAGAGAAATGCCCTTCCCCTTGGGGCTCCGGTCTGCTGGGGAGCTGCCCTCTGCTGGTGCCCTCCAGCCCTGCCCCGGGGCTGGGCGGCGCGCGCCACGTTTTGCCGCCCACCTTTCTTGGCTTCAGGACGCCGGGTGCCCGTGTGAGATCAGGGCTGGGTGGGAAGGAAATCAAAACCTTGGCGGTGGGCAGAGTCATCAAGGCCTGGCCTGGGGCTGCCGGGGCCTCAGAGCCCACCAGTTTGCTGCACCACCATGTTCTGAGGCCCCGGCCCGGTGGCCGGAGCACAAGGGGAGAAGGCAGCTGGGCTTTGGTGTAGAGACTGGGGAGGTGGGGGGGGCTGTGGGAGAAAGAGGCACTCTGAGAGCCTGGGGGGGGCCCAAGGCGGATGGACTGCCCCTCAAGGTGTGCGTGGACGGCGGGGAGGCGGGGGGGGGGGGAGAGAGGGCAGGAGCGCGCGAGGGCGGATGGAGCCCTCCCGGTTCCTCCTCCGGAGGCAGTGGGGACAGCACGGGGCTTGGAGCCCAACAGACCTGGGTCTGCATCCCGGCTCTGCCCCTTCTGAGCTGTGCAACCTCGGGCAACTTGCTTACACTTCCTGACACCTCGGCTGGAAAATGGGGATAATAGCACCCACCTTGCTACAGTGCTAGGACTAAAGCTGCTGGCAGGGCCCGCGCAGGGCACACTGTTAAGTGCTGCACAAATATTAGCTCTTCTCCCCGCTGGGCGATACGCCTGGGGGCAAAGGCAGACACTGTGGCAGGAAAAGCTCGGGCTCTGGAGAGAGACCTGACCTGGCCTCTCGGAAATCGGGCAGCTGCCCCCCACTGGGGCGACTGCTTGGCAGGAGGTGCTACTCATTCGAGGTGCTGCTCATTCGCTTGTGTATTTCTAAAAAATACTTTGTAACTGGTAGCTTTTACTTGCTCCTGGGGGCGCTCTGGTGGGGGGGAGAGTCCAGGTGGTTAAGAGGAGCTTGGAGGGCGGGAAGACATTGCCTAGGGACCCTGGGAGGTTTGGGGGGGATGGTCTTACCCAGGGCCTGGGGGTTCTTCGGACTCAGTGGCAATCTGTTCAGGGGATGGGGCTGCCTGTCCCCACTAGCAAAGGCCATGGTGAAAATGCAGCCCATCCTGGTCGGGGGGTCCCGCTTTTGGAGCCGGGGGTGGGCCAGGGCTGTGGCGCTTTTCGCCTTGCCTTTCTTCCCCTTCCCGGGGGCCGACGTGGTGGCAGTGGCTGGCTTCTCAGTGCGCCCCAGGCTCCTGGCCCCAGCAACTCTCCTAGGAGCTGACCTGTGGGTCAGGGTCCCCCAGTCCTTGCCTTCCCCAGAACCGTGCAGCAGGCGAGGGAGTCCTGGGCGGATCCCCATCCGCTGGTGACACAGCGCCAAGGGCTTCTTGATGGTGGAGCCCTGCACTAGGAGCTGGATACCCACGTACTGCGGCACCTCCACGGGAGGCTGCGGAGAAGAGGAGACAGGCCCGTTCAGACAGTGGTGCGGGAATCCTGGGCGCAAGAAGACACAGGGCAGGGGCATGGGGTGACTTTCTGGAACCCTTGGTTGGGAGACATTTCTAGGCTGAGAAACGGGAGGCCCATCTCGTCATCTCAGGGGTCTGGCCTGGAGACCTGAATCAGTACCAAGAGCATCCCAGAGCCTCGGGGTCAGGAATGGAGTGGGGGAGTCTTTTGCTACCCCCATAAGCACCCTCCATCCTTTGCCCCCACTGGAATGCGTGTGGCTTGACCCTGCAGCTTCCTGAGTTGAGCCAGACTGCAGAGAACCTATGACAGTCATGGAAGAGGCCTGGCGTCTGCCTAGAGCCTCACGTAAACCCTGGTTGTGGGAAAGCAGAAGTGGTAGGCGCCCGGGGAAGAGAAAGCGGCAGTAAATATGCAGAGGGAGGAGGTGGAAGGGGTCTGGAGAGGTGCTGCCCTGTGCTCCCCCATTGCCAGCAAGCCAAGCCGGGTGCCAGGAAGCCCACCCCCGCCAGTGTCTATCTTGCTAACGACCCTCCTTTAAGCTGGAGCTGGTCTGCGGATCTAAGAAGCCTGACTAGACTCCGTCTCATCGAGCAGGTGAAAATACAGGCCGCCGAGCGCCCAGGAAGCCCAGCTGAAGAAGAAGAGCTCACCTTTGCGGAAGAATTGCGGCAAACAAACGTAGAAGGGATGACAGAATTAGTTTACCGTGCTGTAGCCCAAAATAAAAACAGAATCTTAAAAACAATCAGGGGGGCCTCCCTGGTGGCGCAAGGGGTTAAGACGCAACCTCTGACGCTGTCTGCAGGCACCGCAGCACGGGTTCAATCCCCCGCCAGGGAGCTACCCACATGGCGCAGCAGACCTCTCCTGGCTTGCCTGTGCTCCCCTCAGCAGTGTATTTCAGTGGATCTGCCTGTTCTGCTCCCCACTCTGTCTCTGGTGCATCCTCTCACCCCCCGCACCTCTGGCCTGTACCCCAGTTCTTGTATGCATAAATAAATAAATCTTCAAAAAAAAATCAGGGGACAAGGAAGACAGGAAGATTTGGGTGACTGGCACACAGCCAAACCCTCCCCTTACAGAGGGGAAGACGCAGCCTGCCAAGGAGAGGTCTGGGAGCCCCACCTCGACCCCAGGGCCAGCCTGAGCCTCACGATCCGAGACACTCCACAGGCAGCGTGGGCCTCCGGCATCTCAGCAGGTGCTGAACATCACCGCGCAAATGTTCTTGCCAAATACGTTTAACCTGAGCCTCATCAAGCTGCTTGCCCCAGCTTCTCGCTTACAGGACATTCGGACAACAGAAAAACAAGCTCAACAGCACCATGAGGAAACAATCAGATAAATCCAGGATGTGGGGCAGTTCTACAAAGCCACCAGACTGAAGCTACAGAAAAAAGAAAGCAGTGGTGTTCCAGATTAAGAGGGAGTAGAGACAAAACGGTCAATGTAGAGTGTGACTCTTGACTATGTGCTGGCTTAAAACACAGAACCAAAAACAGTCAGCTAGTAAAGACATTTGGGGGCAACTGGGACATTTGAAAACAGCAGTCCCTACGCCAGACTTTTGGCTCCATCCCCAAGGCTAGGGCCTCCTGACACCTGTGTCTTTGGGCGATTCTGGCCCGGGAACCAGCATTCAGGATCCGACGCTCAGGAGATCCTGCTCTCCCCTGGGCTTTTTCCATCTGCCTATCCTTGTATTTCCTCATTTATATTTTTTTGAAACCAAAATGCCCACATATTAAGGTATGATCAGTGACTGTGACAACGGCCAGGACACTGCGACCAGGTGAGCAGCACCTTCTCTGTGACAGAACCGTGACAGGAGCCGAATCCCCATTGGAAGCTACGTAATTCAGCTGCAGGGAATATTTCTTAGAAACACTTCATGTCAGTTTTCTGACTGATGCTTTTTAAAAATCCCATTCTATTCCATAAGTGGACTCATCCCTTTTTGAAACATGGTGAGTAAAATAACTACACGACGAATATGATAATGATGATGATGGCAGCAGCTTCCAGGAACTGGCTTTTACTCCGTGTCCTGGTACTTCAGCGGGGAGGCCGTCAGTCATGAAATGCCTGCCCACTTTATTAGGTAACAACCACAGCTAAGCCCTGGACGGCATTGCGACCTGGGAAGCGTGATTCTGAAGTGCTTACCTACAGCAAGCCATTTAATTCTCACCACCTTATAAAGTAGGGTCTATTTTCACCCCCACTTCAAAGATGAGGAAACTGAGATCCCAGAGGTGGGGAAGCCGTTCTCCGCCACAAGCTCTCAGTTAGGGGGCAGGGAGGTGAGCCCAGGGTTTATGGCGTCTGTTCTTAACGCTGTATCACAGGCCTCTCTGCAAATACTGGCCGCATATATTTACTCATTTCACCCTCCAGACCCCCAGGGGATGTGAGAGCCCCTCTGCTTCACACCTGAGGAAACAGAGGCCCAGGAGGCAACGTGTCTGGACTGAAGCACTGAGGCAGGACCAGGCCTTGAACCCGGTGTCTGAGTACAGAGAGCCTATGCGCCTCAAAGGCGCTGCCCGGAAGAGGGGCCGACTCCTTGGGCGTGGCCAGGGCCCGGCTACCTCACCTGCTTGTAGATGAGCTCGAAGGCCCCCGTGTCACAGTTGCGGTCCAGCCGCCGGTCGATGACCACGCGCAGGGTGTCGGCCTGCACGCCGGCGCAGAGGCGGGCGGTGACGGCCGTGGAGGGCGCCATAGTGGGGCTGGAGTTGATCTCAATCAGCCAGGGCTGGAAGTCCTCCCCGAACACGAAGTCAGCACCGTAGAGCTCGAAGCTGGCCTTGCGAGACTGCACGGTGTCCTGGGAGGTCTGCAGGGCGTGGATCACAGCCGCCTTCATGCCCGGCTCCATGACGGTGGCCCAGGCGTCCGGGGCTCCCACCTCCTGCAGGTGGGCCTGGAACTTCTGGCTCGACCACATGTTGTCTGGGGGCAGCAGCGGGTGTCGGTGGCACGAGTTCTCCAGGTGCTTCTGGATGGAGTTGTTGCACAGGTGCACAGAGCTGGGGCAGAGAACAGAGGGCTGAGGCCTCGGGCGAGACGGGCCAGTCCACCCCGCTGCCCTGGACCGGGAGGTCAACTCCACACAGCTTGGAGCCGCAGGGGTGGCTTCTCCCGCCCCCCACGTTAACATTACCACCTGCCTCTCTCCTCCTGCATTTCTCCTGAGCCCCCTTTATCTTGTTCTAAGTGTTTGTTTTTTTTGAAATAACAAATGTCACCTATTCATCTTACGGCATAGGTGAGCTCTTGCTGGCTGGGCTCTTGCTCTGCTTGCTTCTGTATCCCGAGTGCCAAAATCCGCGAGTGGCACGGGACCACTCGGTAAGGGTCTGCTGGGAGGGAGGGTGGCGGAAGGCCGGCCCGCCTGCCTGCAGTGTTTGTCCCCAGCGTGGCCCTGGGATCGCCCGGTCCTTGCCTGCTCCCCAACTAGATCAGGAGCTCACGGGAGGTGAGCGGCGGGGCTCACTTGTCCAGGTTCCTCAGGGAGAAGGGCTGCGTGGAGAAGCGGATGTAGCTGTTGCGGTAGAACCACACGGTGAGCGGGTTCCAGTCGGTCACCAGGAACCATTGTCTCAGGTCAAACTTGGTGCCAAAGATGAGCAGGGGCCGCTCGATGTACTTCTGCACCACCCACTTGCCGTCCTTCAGCAGCATGGGGTTGCAGTCCACCAGCCGCAGCATCTCCTCCAGGTGGTCCATGCACGTGATGCCTGGGGGGGGCGCCCAGGGCTCAGGTCAGGAGGGCAGTGCAAAGGCAGCTCACGGCCCCCCCACGGACCTGTGGCCCACGTGGGCGAGGCTGCCTCCTGCCTTCCCTGAGCCCTTCCTGAAAGCTGCTCATCTGCTGATTAAAATTTCTTTTAATTAACCAGTTTTGTTTGCCCGAAAAGGAGCACGGCAGGTCCTCAGTACACCTGGTCCTGTGAAAATTCCCCAGGTCGTGGGAGTCTCCCCGAACCGAGTTTCACGGGACCAGCACACTGACACGTGGTCAGGATTTAGAGCCGCGCGCCAGCACCTGGTGAGTGTTCAGTGTTACTCCCGTCATCATCACGGGCTGGAGTTTCTGGCTCCGAGGTATGTGCATTTTATTTCTTCGGTGTTATCCAAGATAGAGCACCAATCTGCACTCCCAGCGAGTGTGTGCGACTGTGTTTACCCTCACCTTACCCCGCACTGTATTTATTTTTGCCATTTCTAGGTAGAAAATGGTATCTTAATTTCTGAAGCCTTATGTCTTTTATGCTTATAAGGCATCCCTTTAACGCAGATAAAGGCCAAACTTCCAAGGCCAGCCTAACACACTAACCAAATCCCCTTCCTGCACTGTTTGGAAGCTAAGGCAGCCTGATCACCGGCAGCGACACTGAGTCATTTGTGCCAGCTTCCCAAACTCCTTTCTCAAGAGGCCAGAATAATGACCAAGGTTCCCACGGCCACGGCGTGTTGTGTGACAAGACTAAGACTGTACGTGCCCTTTGAGTCAGCAATCTCATTTCTAGGAATTTATGAAGGAAATGAATGAAAGGCCACACAGCTCGCTGCCCAGGATGTCCATTGGGGTGCTCCTGTAATAGCCATCAATCAGTCAGCAACTAGGAAGCAACTGGTTGCTCTAAACAGCCACAAGTAAAGGACTGGGTAGTTCCACGACAGCACAGTAGTGCCCCCCTACGCAGCAGCTTCAGCTACCTGTAGTCCCCTGAGGTCTGAAAATATCACATGAGATATTTTGAGAGCGAGAGAGACCACATTCACATAACTCTCATGACGGTATACTGTTATACTTGTTCTATTTTATTATTATTGCTGTTCACCTCTTATAAATTAAGGTATGGATGTAGAGGGAAAAAACACAACATCTATAGGGTTTGGTGTATCTCCTGGGGGTGGGGGGTGGACACTGTGGGGTTTTATTTCCTGTCGTGAGTGCTGTTTCCCGGGCGTGCTCACCCTGTGACGACTCACGCTGTGAACTCCAAACGACCCACTCTGTGTACTCAAAACGTGTCCCCCTCCCAGTGAGGAATCCCCATGCACATTTTACTGAAGTTTTCCCACAAAATGGAGAGAAAATGTTGAAATCTGTACATGGGGACTCATTGTATCATTCTCCTTAGTTTTGTGCCTTTTGAAAGTGTCCATGAGAGCGAGCGACAGAGAAATGACTACTTCGTCTAGATGTTCTGAAACGGACTGATCTGTAGGCTCCACTGTTAAGAAGAGGCAGAAGAGAACTGAGTAATACTAGTGTGGAAAAATAAAGTAAATTTAAGAAAAAGGACGCTACAGAGCAGCACGTTCTTGGCTAAAATAAAATGCACACACTCTTTCAAAGTGCAAAGAAAAGGCTGAAAGCAGCACATCACCAGGGGAGACCAGTGATCGCGTCATGAAACGGGGGGTGCAGTTTGCTTTCTCCTTTTCTAGACTGCCTGATCTTTTCTTCTTCTTTTTTATTTTTTATAATAAACATGTATTTTCATAAGTGGAAAAAGCCAACATAACTATTTCCAAAGAAAAGACCACCCTGCTGGTTCAGAAGTGACATCCCTCAAAGGTGTACCCCCCCCCCCGAACCCCCGGAGTCTGCAAGAGCATCACTGGACACAAGCAAATTCCCCCAAGGGCAATTGGGAGGTTTCTGGTGCCAAAAATCTGTTTTCCACATCTCAGGAGTCCTGACCAATTTTTAAAGGCTGGCTAATGCCCCCCCCAGCTTGCTAGCGCGTCTTCAAATTCCATTCACACTGGGTCGAGCAGTCAGAATAGCGAATATTAACAGCGCTTCAGGGGCAGTGATTCTGTAAAAGCACAGGCGCCAAGTAATTTACAGGTATTACACTCATTCAAGCCTTCTCGGGGAGGTATTATTGGCTCCCTTTAACCAGTGATAAAAACGGGGCACAGAAGTTAATTAACTTGCCCAGAGACTGACAGATAGTGGGAGCTGGGCTTGGCTCCCAGCGCCCACCCCTTACCCATCGCTCTGCACCTCACAAGGACGCCCTGGTGAGATCGGAGAGCCCTTAGGTGACAAGCACGTGAGCATCACAGACCCGAGTCAGTCCTAACCCAACTCTGAGGGCAGGGGAGGAGCTGGCAACATTTATGGGGGTGATTACTCCTCACTTCACAGGGGGCATTATCATCATCATCCCTCACAAATGAGGGATCTGAGGTTCAGAGAGGTGAGGTAACTTGCTCATGCACACGCAGCGTATCAGTAGCAGAACAGGGATTTGAAACCAGGCAGTGTGGCTCCAGCGCAGCCTGCGCTATTAACCTCTCCGGCCCTAGAAGGGGAGCCTGCCTGTAGGGTCCTGGTACAGGAAACAGGGACTGACCCCCACCTCGTCCGCGGGACTTGGCTCCTGGTTTCACGATCCAGATGTTGCGGTCTCCTTCCATGTCAATCTGGGGCACCACAGCCCGCAGCTGCTGCAGGATGTCTTCACAGCGCTGGACCTGAGAGTCGAGGTGCCTGAGCTCTGCCCCCTCGCTGTGGGGAGATGATGCACTTGGACAGAGCTAGGCCTGGGGGTGGCCTGCTGGGCAAGGCTGGGAGAGACACAAGCGCCCCTGGCCGTGGCCCAAGCAGCCTTGGTCACGGCCCCTCTCAAGATCCAGGCAGGTCTCCCAAACCTCCAACCTCCACCCCTGCAAGCTACTCTCCAATTTTAACCGACGTTAAAAATGTCCCTCGTGGAATCAAGCCATCGCAGCGTCTGACGAGGAGGCACCCCGAAGGGCAGGACACTGTGCTCGGGCTCACTTAGCACTGATCCTCGCTCCGGCCCCTCCCGATTTAGAAACGTGGAAAGTGCAGCTCAGAGAGCTGCCACACTGGCCCCAGGCCACACGTTGAATTAAGGGGCCAAGCCAGGGTGCAAGCCCTGTGCAAACTGAGCCCTCCACTCACAGGTGCTTTTGGGTTCATGCCCCCCCCCCGCCCCAATCTGGACCTCACAGTGGTAAGTGGGTCTCCGCCTACTCACACACCTGGGGCTCACACCTCCTTGCCCTATTTCTCCTCCCATCACTTTCCACTCGACACCTACGACAGACACCTACGCGGTGGTCCTGTCCCCCTCCCGGGCAGGCCAGCGCCCTGAGAAGGTTTCTGCATCACTCTTCTCTGCGGTGCCCCTCCCAGGCCCAGGCAGCCTTCCTGGCGCTTACTAGGTGCTCCCTAAGAGTCTGCTGAAGGCTGAGCGGCTGGTAAGTGAGCACTTTGGCAGGATTCAGTCTCAGCAGCCGGACAGTGGGACACAGGGGTTCACAGACAAAGAAGGAGCCTGTTCCCTCCAGGACACAAAACATCCCGAACTAGACCAGGTCACAAAATCCCCCAGATGGACGTCCCAGGCACGCTCTCCTGACTCCCCTGTTTCTTTCCTTCTGAGTGAAGAGGAAGGAGGCCTCCCTGGGCTGCTGACCTCTCTTACCATCTCAGCCTCTTGAATGTCTCCAGCCCTGGGGAACTCACTGTTTTAACAAGGAGGCTGTGGCTGCTGGGGCCTCAACCCGGGGACAGCCTAATGGAAGGAAGGTCCTCATGAAGCACCTTAGGAATAGTCAACCTGAGTCCCGACCCTTCCATTTCCAGAAAGGACACCGAAAACTTTCCCATGGGCCACTGCATAAAGAATCCACTCAGGGCCTCCCCTGGTGGCGCAGCGGTTGAGCGCTGGGCTGCAAAGCTGCCCGCAGCCTCTGTAGCACCGGTTCAATCCCCGGCCACCGGAGGAGGGTCCCACATGGCGCACAGACCTCTCCTGCCGCCCACTGCTCCCCTCAGCAGTGTACTTCGTCAGTCTGCCTGTTCTGCTCTCCCCTCTGGCTCTGGTGAATTCTCTCACCCTCCCGCGCTTCTGCTGAGGGGAGCAGCGAGTGGCAGGAGAGGTCTGCGCGCCATGTGGGACCCTCGCCCGGTGGCCTCGCAGCCCAGCGCTCAACCGCTGCGCCACCAGAGGAGGCCCTAAATTATTTTTTATGTTTGTATGCATTTTCCCCTGAGCAGAAAACCTGCTAGACAAATTCCAAAAGACTCATGGGTTTGTCTGAAAAAGCTGAGCATCCCAGCAGCAAATCTTGAATGTGTGCATGATGATGCTAACTCTCTGCACTGGGCTACTCAACACTATTTATATATTGCAATATTTTATATGATTCCAATTCTGAGAGATTCCTACAGCGCTATACAACTTGCCCCATCTTTTACAAGTACAAAAAAACTCAGGTTCTCTACACGGAATGTTCTGACTTGGTCTTGATAATGCTCAGTTGAACGAGGGTGCATTCACAGAGTCTGGTAGCTCATGGAAAAAGGACAGGGTCACCTCGATTTCGTTTTGAGACTTAAAGATATTTATCGAGGATGTGGGTTTGCTCAGTATGTCATTCACTCACAGGTCACTTATGAATTCTTCTGTCTCCGCCCCCCAATCAATGTGTCTGTCCACTCCCTCTGTCACCCCCACCCCAGCTGGCCTCTCCTCCTGAGTGGGGTGTTCCTGGGGGCAGGGACTATACCTATTTCTGGAGCCTGACACGATGCTTGGCACACAGGACAAGCTCCTGTGTTCTCCGGCCCACCCTTCTCCCTCCAGTCTCTCCTGTTCAGCTGGGCTGAAGGGACTCGCTGGACGACAGCCTCCAGGTCACCGCCAGGCTCCCTTCCTCTGCTCAACCACCTTTTCCCAGAGCATGTTCTGAAACATGATGCCCCCAGGCTGCTTGGGGTGCATGAGGCCACCCCTGTACAGGGCAGATGCACACCCATCTCCCTTGGGACTGACAGTGCCCACGGGACCTGACAAGCTATCAGTCGAGGAAACCTGTTGGCTTAACTTGGGCTAACCTGGTGTCTTCCCACCATGAGTGACCACAAAAGCTCTTTTGCAAAAAATCGCTTTTTTCTCACCCTGGGGAGTTACTTCCTGGGTAACACCAGCCTCCAGGCAGAAATAGAAATGACTCACCTAGTTCCTAGTTTGGAGGTGAACTCGGAACCTGTGTGAGCACGTCCTAATTCTCCTGTCCAGTCCTACCCTGGAGGCAGACAGATTTCTAAAGCTATTTCCCCTTGGAGGGAAGCAAAGCTCAACATGACGGGTGATGTGCCCAAGGTCACAAAGCCAGGACTTAACTCAGGTTGATCTGACAGCACAGGCCTTGACCTCAGGGACTGGGCTAGGCCAAGATCCAGGAAGTGGCTTAGAACCTCATGAAAGCAGTGGGAGCCCTTGAGGGTTCTTGAGCAGGAGAGGAGCAGGGCGAGGCTGTTCATACAATACTGGCGTTCAGTTGACTTTTGACCTTTAAACTGTTCCCTCCTTCCCTGTCCTCTCTCCTGCCTGCCTCCCCAACAAAAGGGAGGCCTGCCCCTGGTGGCGCAGTGGTTGAACACTGGGCTGCGAAGCTGCCCGCAGCCTCTGCAGTGCCAGCTCGATCCCTGGCCGCCGGGTGAGGGTCCCACATGGCGCCCAGACCTCTCCTGCCGCCCGCTGCTCTCCTCAGCAGTGTACTTGGTCAGTCTGCCTGTTCTGCTCCCCGCTCTGGCTCTGGTGAATTCTCTCACCCACCCGCGCTTCTGACTGTACCCAGTGCTTGTATAAATAAATAAATCTTTAAAAAAAAAAAAAAAAAAAAAAAGGAAGGCCAGGGGAGAAGGTAGGGGCTGCCCTAGACACAGAGGGTCTGCCTCTGAGCACCAGCTAGGAACACGGAAGCTCCCTGGAAGCAAGGCTCCCAGCAGGGCCAGGGCCCTGGCCGCCGGCGTACTCACTGGACCACCTGGTAGTAGCGCTGGAGGAAGAGGGACCAGCGCTCGGGGCTGAGGTACTGCGGCGCCTCCAGGTCCTTGTCGATGTCCACGTGGGCCAGGTTGTTGAGGTGCTCCTCGCAGGCCCACAGAGCGTCATCCACAAACTCTGGGGACACCGTCACTGGCTTCTTCTCCTGCTTCTTCTCCTTCTCTTGCTTGCCTCCTGCCGAGACAGGGAGGGGCCTGTCACCATCCCACAGCGAGGACACAGTCCCTAAAGCTGTCATTTACCTGAAGCCTTACCCTAAATACACCCGTGGCCCAGCACACCCTGCATCTCCTACTGCCTGACGACTGTCACTCATCTGAGGCCTTGTCTAAATTCGCCTGCAACTCAAGGATTCCTTGCTGGCCCCAGGGTCCCAGGACTTGCCATTTCCTTGATTCTCCACCTAGATGTCCCCAAGGCACCTATGGTCCCAGCACCCACCTGAAGCCTTCTCTGCTCCTGAGACCTCTGACACTTCTGAGGTCCTCATGTCTGGATACTGGCTCACGACACTTGTACCTGACACTCCCGAGAGAGAGGAACAGGGAGGTCTCCAGGGAAGAGGCAGGACTTCTCCTCCTGGCAGAGCTGCCCCTTGCTCCCTGTATCACTGGCTGACGGGCTCCCGACTTACGGACTGGGGCCTCTGAAGTCAGAGCCACATCCACTGAGGGGAAGGGTGAGCAACAGTTGGGCCAACACGCCAGGAGGGTTTCTCTGTGCCCCCCTGCAGGCACGGGGGTCCTTAGGCCATGTAGGGATTGACATCACTGCTTCTTCCTCTCAGAGACCTGAGCTGCCCATGGCAGGCCTGAGCCTGGCGCGCACGAGCTGTCCTCTTAGAGTGGCGTGCTCAGCCAGAGCCAGGCCCAGGGGCGGGGGCTGAACGAAGCCGTGGGTCCATATGGACAGGAGAGGCGGGCGCGTGGGTGAACAGATGAGGGAAGGAACGGAGGACAGACAGATGGCGGGCAGGGTGGGAAAGCAGGCGGGTAGATGGGTGAATGGGTCCTTGGAAGGCCAGGCAGATGGGTAGGGAGTGGGCCAGACGGATGGCAGATGAGGGACAGGTGGGGGAGACGAATGGATGGGCAGGTGTGAGAAGGTGGTGCTGGTGTATGAGTGAGGGGATGGATGGGTGGGGGTGACGCACAGGTGTGTGAATGCACAGAAGGACGAGCGTGGGAGGCTAAGCGGATGGGGGAGCACAGCTCTCAGAGCGCTCACCTGGGGCGGCCTCCTCTTCCGGTGGGCGAGAGCCCAGCCTCCGTTCAGACTTGACCACCAGCTTGAGAACGTTGCGGGCAGCTGTCAGCCGGAAGTCCTCTGCTCCCGGGCGGGGGAGACGCTGCTCAGCCCCTAGACTCCAGGCCTGCTCTGGTTCCGGAACCTAATCATGACCTGCCCCGTTTTGGATCCGGAATCTGACACCCTCTTCTGATTCTAGAACCCAGGTTAGAATCTGGCTCCTGTTTCATTTATAGAACCACACCCAGAATATCGCCCGACTTGGCTCACGTTCACCTTTCAGAATCTTACTGGACCTGGTCAGCTTTCTCTCTCCTGATCCTGATTCACTTCTGACGCCTATTCTGGTCTGAGAATAAGACCCAAAACTTTATTTCAGAGACGTGGAGACTAATCTAACCTGGATCTAAATTCTGACCTTTAGAACATGTTCTGGAGTTCGAGACGGTTCTGCTTTAGAAGCCCAGCGTCTAGGGCCTTTTCTCGATTTGACATTCAATCTAGCCAGTGAAATCTGAATTTGGATTCACAACTCAATCAACTGACCAGCCTTGAGACCAATTTAGGCAGCTTAGCTGTTTCCTAACAGACTAAGCTCAGTTCTTCTGGAAGGCTGGGTTGACAGAGCTGGAGGGCCAGACGCTGGGAAAGACGAGGATGGGGGTGGGGGGGGCAGCCTGCCGGGTAAAGGGGCACGAGGAGAGAGAGTCCTCGCTCTCCAGCGTGAGCCGGGGCTTCAGTCCTCCTGCAGCCTGAGGGGTGCAGGCGTGGGGCTGGGCCCCTCCTCACCTATGAAGGCTTTCCTGTCGTCCTCGGCGCCCAGGCGGTAGCAGCGTGGGAAGAAGGAGTCCGCGTCAGCCTCGTCAAACCACGGCAGATTCCGGAGATTGACACACAAACCCACCTACGGAGCCAGCCGGAGTCAGCCGCTGAGGGATGGCGGACCAACCCCTCGCGGGCTCGAAGCTGCCGCGTCTGCTCCCCTGGGGCGCCCACCTTTGTGGTGAAGGAGCCGGCCCGGGCGTAGTGGTTGATCATTTGATCCTTGCACAGGAAGCGACAGTCCAGCACGTCCCGGCGAGTGGTCCAGATGAAGTAGGGGATCTCGTTGCGAACCATGCGGGACTGCGGGAGGAGAACAGAGGCTGGTGGGGCAGCCGAGGCCTGAGCAGGCGGGCGAACAGAAGGCAGCTTCCAGATGGCCCCGGGCCCACGGTGTCTTCGGTAAGGTGGGGAAAGAGCTTCCTCCTCTAGATTACGCACCGAGGAAGCAGAGAACAGCCTCCTGTCCGGCGCGCCCAGGTGGTGACTGAGTGCCATACTTGGTTCTGGCACCTGGACACCAGGACTTGCTGAGTGGCAGGACAGCGAGGCCAAGCTGACTGGCACATAGCATGGGACACATTCTTACAGCGCTACCTCTCTCCTACACCTCCATGAGGCAGGACTGTTAGAACCCGTAACACCGCATCCTCTCCACAGGCCTAGGCGCGAGGTGCGCCTTCCCCCCATTTCATAGATGAGGGAACTGAGGCACGGAGAGGGTGACTGACTTCCCAGGGCTCTCAGGGTCAAGCTGCCAATACTCAGCCTTCCCTGACAACAGTGGCCATTGGGGCGCCCGCCCCTCAGTACTCCCTTCCTCCCCGCCCTCACACCAGCTCCCTCCAGAGGTTTGAAAGTCCTTCTGGCACCCCCTTGCCGAGGGCAGAGGAAGGAGATGAACCTGGGGTTTTCATGCTGCCGGGGAACGCCCGGGTGTGGAGGCTGTGCTGGCTCCCCAGCGACCCAGCAGAGTTCCCATCCCAGGGCCAGCCTTGTCCGAGCCCCTCGCGGCCCTCACGACGGTGTTGCCATGTCTAGCCATCAGGGAAGCAAACGGTTTTCACTACAGATAGGAAACCGAGCCCCGGGAAGGAAAGGACCTGCCTGACGGCGGCCCGCTGACTCCGGCACGCTCCCTCCAACACGCCGGCCCCAGCTCCGCCCCCGCCCGGCCCCGGCTCGCTTACCATGAGGGCGTGTGTCCCGTCCTGGTCATCGTAGTCCAGTAAATCTTCAAAGCCCAACAGCGATGGCGGCTGGAACGCGTCGTCGTCCTCGTCATCATCCCCTGTGGAGGCGCAGACCAGGCCTGATGGGGCCCCCGTCCTGGACTCAGGGGTCCACACCAAAGCGGCCCCCGGGACGGTGGGAACAAGGAAAGGAGCTCGGGAGCTGGCGGAGAGGGAGGACGCTGCTCACCGTCCTCCGTGGTGTCACTGTCATCTGTGGCCAAGCAATCCAGACCCTGCTGCGGGGGCTGCAGGGCGTCGCCGGAGTGGAGGACCATCTTCTTCTCCACCCAGCCCCTCCGGCGCAGGAGGCAGCGGATCACCGGGTAGCGGCCTTGGATCATGAAGATCTTCTTCTGCTGCAAGGTGGAGAGAGGATGCTTGTTCAGCAAGCGCGGCCTACACGACAGGCACCTTTGCCAGCCCGGGAAACATGGCAAGCGGCACAAGGTAATGACCATTAAGGTAAAAGCCAATACTTTTCAGCATCTACCATGCACAAGCGCTTACATCTATTACTATAAAATTTTAATGCATAATAGTGTCCCCTTTCAATTGATTATGAAACAGAGCCAGAGAGAGGTTGAGTTGCTTGGCCACACAATGCTTAAAGTGACAGCAAAGGCTTTCAAATCCAGACTGGCTGTTGCCAGAAACAGGATACTTCTTGGGGGCCCAGAGAAAGTAGAACTATGTGTGGCCAGGGAAAGCTGAGGCGCCATGAAAGTACAGAGCTGGGCCTCCCTGGTGGTGCAAGGGGTTAAGACTCAGCACCGTGAGGCTGTCCGCAGCCACTGCAGCACGAGTTCGATCCCCGGCCAGGGAGATGCCCACATGGCACAGCAGACCTCTCCTGTCTCCCTGCTGCTCCCCTCAGCGGTGTACTTTGGTCAGTCTGCCTGTTCTGCTCCCAACTCTGTCTCTGGTGAGTCCTCTCACCCCACCCCCACGCCTCTGGCCTGCACCCCAGCTCTTGTAAGATTAATAAATCTTCAAAAAAATAAAAAAAGAAAGTACAGAGCTGAGCAAATGGCAGCTTAGAGAGGAAAGCATGTGCAAAGGTCCTGAGGCTGCTCAGAGATTGGAAGGAGTTGGAAGGAAGCCAGGGGTGAATGGAGTATAGAAAATGAGCGGCGGAGGCCCTGAGGCAGTTGGTTTGGCTACACTGGACAGCACTTCAGGGCTCGGAACAGACTTGGATTTTAGATGAAGAGCAACATGCAGCAGTAAAGGCAACGAGTGACATGGTGGGTCCCTGTTGGGTGGAGACTAGAAGGCGGGAGGCAGGGAGGCCAGCATGTGCAGGAAAGAAATCGCAATAGCTGGAATGAGGGTGGGGACAGTAGAGATGGGGAGATGGGGGTCGAACTGAGGCTCCTTTTGGAAGCAGACATGACGGCTGGCATTGGCTTTGTAGGTGAGGGAACAGAAAGGACAGACTTGTGACTTGAGCAACCAGGTGACGGGGCCGGTTACTATGATGGAAGACAGGTCTGGGGGGATCAAGAGTGTGATCTGGGCCACGAGCCTGAATGCTTGTAAGATCCCTGGGGGGAGAGGGGCAGAGGGGGCTGTAGGCATGAGGGGCCCGTGGGGTGCCACGCGCCATCCAAGGACATAGGTATGGGGAGGACCCCGGGAGCTACGAACGTCCAGAGGCAAGTGAGCAGCAGCCAGGGAGGGCAACGGAAGGGGACAGTGTGCCCCAGTCTAGACGAGGGGCGTGGGCGCAGCGTGCAGAGGGAAGTGGGGCCCCAGCCAGACCAGGGCAGAAAGGCGGCTACTGGGTTTGGCTCCTTGACCACTGGTTCTTGATGGGGGCGGAGATCTGGGAAGCGGTGCTGACACACGGAGAGGAACTGGAAGGTGGGTGGAAATCCGGGGTTCTGCGGACGGGGGGGGGGCGCGGGCGGCAGGCAGGGGCGCACGGGGGGCCCTCCTGGCCCCGCGCTCCGACCTTGACAGCGCGCTCCACGTGCGTCCTGGCGCTCCGGAGCCGGCCCATGTGCTGCGGTCTGGCGAACCCCCAGAGCGCGAGGGAACCTGCAGGAAGACGCAGAGCGGGGCTGGGCCGGGCCGGGGGCTCCCGCGGGCCTCCCGCGCGCCCGAGGCCGAGGCGCCCTCTCCCCGGCACCCCTCGCCCGCCGCCCCCCGCGCGCTCCCGCCCACGCCCTCCGCCGCGGGCTTCTCGTGCGGCCGCCGCGGGCCCGAGCGAGGCGCCTCACCGTCCGGCGCCGCCTCGCCCGGGGCCGGGGTGCGCGGGGGCCCCCGGGGGCCGGGGGCGGCGGGGCCCCGGGGGTGGGGGCTGCGGGCGCGCGGCTGCGGGGCGAGGCGGGCGTCGCGGTCGCGGTCGCGGCCGCCGGCGGGCGCGCCCTGGGGCCGGGGGGAGGCGGGGCCCGGCCATCGCCGCGCCCCCGGCGGCCGGGACTCGGGGCCGCGCGCCCAGGGCCACAGGGCGGCAGGGCGGGCGCGCGGCGCGGGCGGCTGCGGCTCCCGCGGCTCCCGCGGCTCCTGCGGCCGGCCGCGCGCCCCCGCGTCCTCGGGGCGGGGCCCGGCGGCCCAGCCGGGGTGCGCGGAGCCCGGGCGCGCGGCCCCGGCTTCCCCCGCGCTCGGCAGCGGCGCGCTCCCGGGGCCCTGCATGCGCCCCAGAGCCCGGCTCCCCTCGGCGCGCCGCCGCCTCTCGGGGGAGGGTCCCGCCCGGGCCCGGGGCGGGGGGAGGGGGGCGGCCGCTCCGTGGCCCCGCCCACTGCTTGTCGTCGCCTTGGAAACCATTCTCCAGGCACAATCCGGCCACCGGGGGCGGGTTCTGGGCGTCCGGGGCAGGGGGTTGTCTCCCTCCGGTTCTAGAATTCTGGGCCTCACCTGCTGCAGACTCTTAGAGCTGGGGGCCCCCTGAGGTGGAATCGCAGAGCACCGGGCCGCCGGTTACTCTCTGCGCCATGCTTCCCTAGAGGGCACCCCTGGGATTCCCTGGACACCCACGGGATGTCTAGAGCACCGCGTGCTGGGAAGCTGGGACCCCAAGAACAGCGAGAGGTGGCCCCTGACCCCACGGAGCTTACAGTCCAGTGGGGGGGGAAATAAACTGCTCTCAGTAGACAAGACCAAGGACAGTGGACTGAAGGGGTCACACTTTAGATGGACCAAGGACGTCCTCTCCCCGGAGGGGACATTTAAGCTGAATCCTACAGAATGCAAAGGAGGTCGGAGTGGCCAGGGGAGAGGGGCGGACGCGCTCCAAGGAGAGCGGGTCTGGATAGCCCCAGCACCGACTGTCAAATGTGACTGGAACCCAGGGGGGCGCCGCCCACGGGGCTGGGTCAGGGTAAGGGGATGGTCTGAAAGTCCGGGCAGGATCTGGGGAAACAATGACAAAGTGCAGCGTAGTCCCCCAAGCCCCACCTTGAACTCACTTGGAACTAGGAAAACTGGTCTTTGTTTGAGTCAACTGCAGATAAAACAAACAGTTATGCACAGCCCCTTTTGGGGGTAGCAGCAAAGCATTATCCTCGAAAGTCACAGAGGAAATAAAGTTCCAGGACTTTAAATAATTAGCCTCAAATCACACACAAAACCGGCAGGTCTGACTCTAAGTCTTGATACAACGCCACCACCACCAGGCCCGTGCCCTCCCTCAGAGGGTTGCCTGGTGGTCATGGAAGTACCGGGGGCACGGGTGGAGGCAAACTAGCAGTGCCAGTCCAGGAAGGACTCAGGGAAGAGACTCCCCCTCTCTGAGAACCCACTTTCTTTAGTTATCAGGGAGATCTGCCCGTTCAGTGAGAGGGGCCCCCTAGTTGGCCAGCCCCCCACAGCCACTGAGAGCCCTTCCCAGCCCTCCTTTGGTTGGCGACCCGGCTTCCCACAAGGCATGCCCCAGGAGAGGGCAGGCCAACTGGCAATCCCATCTATTCACAAGAGCCTGCAAATTTAGTTGTAGGGGCTCTGGACCCCGGCAGACGGAGCTGTGACAAATGGGGGTTCTGGCGGGCTCACCCCGGCAACGCCGTCCCGTGAAGGATGGGGGACCAGCTGCCATACTCTAGCGGACCTGCAACTCCGCTGCGAGCACTTGTAGCGTTCGCTGCAGAGCACACAGCCTGTGCCCCAGAGGAGGCACACCTAATCCTGCAAGGCGGGGAGGGAGGTCACAGAGGGAATGTCATAAAGGGGATGGTAGCTGTCCAAGTTGTCCCCACCCACAGCCCCTCCTGTACGTGGCCTTGCCCTCCACTTCCAGACACCCCTTTGGTCATCCAATGAAACTCGAAAGCGCAGCTCGGAGGCCAGCCATTCTCAAAACGTTCTGACACCTTTTACTCCTGCACCCCCTGGGCCCCTTGAATCCCTGGGTGAAACACTTGAGTGCACCATTTACAGACACGCTTGCTCTTTTCCTAGCACCCCAGCCCCGTCTCTGCAGGAGAGCCAGGTCATCTCCATGCCCAGCAGGGCAAAGGTGACCCAACAGGTTGGACTCGGGGCTGATGGAAAGGCCAGCTCTTGTGTTCGGCCTGGATGGCAGGTCTGTCAGGCTGCTGACATCACCTCCCTTTCCCAGCTAAGAAAACGAGGCAGATAAAAATGACTTGCAACAAGAGGGAAGCCTCAAACACAAGGGTCTTCCCTTCGGCAAGGTGTCACCAGCCGAGTGTGGTGATGGGGATCTCTCTCCATGGACATCTGACGTGGCTGGCACGTGGAGCCGCTGGGCACTTGAATGTCATGGGTGGGACTGAGGAAGTGAAAGTTGAACTTCAGTAACTGAAATGGCAGCATGGGGCCAGGCATGCCACGGAGCACGGCACAGGCAGGCGTCTGGGATTTCAAGTCTACCCTCTTGCTCAGTGGCTAGCAGTTTGGGGACAAGCAGCTGACGAAGTGCCCTGAAATAAGACCCATACTTCTTGCGAGCTCCTTTTTAACCCAAATGAACGCGCTATGTGAAGAGGGCCATGGCGCTGGGGAGGCAGAGATCAGTTACAGGAAAAGCTGGTGCCCGTGCCCGAGTCCAAGCGAGGTCTCCAGCTCGGGCCCCCGGCAGGGATCAGGCCAGCGGCCCATCAGGAGACCCCTCCTAGAGGGGGTCCCCAGGCCCAAGGACCAGTCACGTGGTCTTGGGGAAAGAGCAAGTCCCACCTCCCCTCCTTCCACATAAACACACAGAGCACAGGCCTCATGCAGCCCCAAGGGGCAAGACTTTAATTAGGGGAAGGCGGATTCACCAGAATCAGAAAAGGTACAGCAAGCATGGGAACAGAGGCGCCAGAGCAGGCGGCGGCCTGGGCGCTGCAGCACAGGCACTGCGCCTAGACAAGGCAGAACGAGGGCTCCTCTCAGCTGGCCCCTGCCAGCTTCCGGGCCCCAGTTCCTGGGCAAGGCTGGTGGTCAACGACGGCTCAGCCCGTCCCCCACCACCAGGGCTGGGTGGTCATCTTCAGGCAGAGCTCAGGAAGCTGGTGGAGGGTCTTCACTGCTTCTACTGGGCCCAAGGAGGCTTGGGAAGAAGAGGGCAAGGGAGGTACTGGAGGCTGAAACCTTCCCCGCCTCCCGACAGGGGAGGCCCGGGGGAGGAACAGTAGTCGCCTTCTGGCTCCAGGCCCGCCCAGACCCACAGCGACCAAAACGGTACAATCACTGGGACCAGTCACAGCCACTGAAGGTGGAGGTTGGTTGTTCAAAAACAAACAAAAAAAAAAGACAAAAGGTTACAGTCTCCTACAAGCACAGAGTTTAAGTCTCAAGACATTAAAAAAAATCTGTCCCAGCCCAGGGGACTGAACATCAGAAGCCAGCCTGACCGGGCACACGCGGCCCGGGGACAGGTCCGCTGCGACTCTCTCGCCCAGCTAGCAAGCACACACCCCGCCCGCATCCAGTGCCCACCCCGCCCCAGCCCCTCTGCTGCTCTTCCGTTGCCACTCTCGCTGCTGCCACAGCTCTGGGAAGTCGCTCCAGGACGCCGTCAGAGACACGAGGGAGTCTGAGGGGGAAGGCCACGAGATCCAGCCAGGTGGTTTAAAACTGTCGAGAGAACCAAGAGGTGGAGGGTGGCGGTTACTACGACATCTTGCAGGCCTGCTCTGGGGAGTGCGCGCATCTCTGAGGGGCAGAGCCGGGTGCCAGGACACCAGGTGGGCATGCTCTTTCTAGCTCAGCCAGCATTCTGCAGTGACCTTCAGGGCGCTGGCCCAAAGCGAGCACTAGACAGGGCAGAGAAATGAAGGGTCTCACGGCATTTCTGCAGCTCCCCCTCTTCCTGCAGGCTAGGAAGCTGGCACAGTGCTTTGCCTGGGAAGATGCGTTTGCCATCCTCAGGAAAAGGCTCATCCACAAGGCCTCGGGAGCCAGTGGGTCAAGGTCAGAGTGCCAGGATCTGGGACACTCTGTCACGCTGTGGGTGACCCTGCAAGCAGGACAGGTCCTTGAAACGTTTTCGACCCTCAAGGATTCCCTCCACGGTGGTCCCTAGAACCCGGGCTGTCTCACAGAACAGAGGCTGTTTGACATGAAGGCAGGGACGAGCACTGTTTGGTCCGCAGTGACTAAGGGAAGGTGAACCCCTGGCCACCCTTGACAACAGGCAGAGGCCGCACTCGAACTCAGTGCTGGGGACAGTCTTACCCAGGCCGCGCTGGGGCGTGTCATGGAGGTGAGCTCTGCGCTTACCAGGTCCCCACACAGCACCCCCTCGTATTACCTGCCCCACCTGTCCTTGCTCCTGAGAGCATAACCCTTCCAGAGGCTAGGCTACCATCTTAGAACCTGAGCTCTCTGAGTCTGGAAACCCAGTCCAGTTGCTTCACTTACTGGCAGAGGCACCCTGGGCAGGAGGTTTAGTCTCCAGGGCCCAGCTCATTCACCTGCCTCAAAGGTGGTGCCACAAGGCCCGAATGTGCTCTTTGTAGCAGCAGGACCACAGAAACGTGACTCTCGTAACTAAGTGACCGTGGACTCAGGAGCCAAGGATTCAATTGGGACAAGACTCTTGGCAGTTGAATCTGGAGGCCTCTGAGTGGCCCGGCCAGCAAAATCTGTTGCTGCAGTGCGTGGAACGCCTGCCACGTTCCATGTGACAGGCTTCACAAATGTGCCTTTATCACACTCAAGAACAAGAAAAGGCATATACTGGGCCTCCCCGGTGGCGCAGCGGTTGAGCACTGGGTTGCGAAGCTGCCCGCAGCCTCTGCAGTGCCGGTTCGATCCCCGGCTGCTCCCCGGCCACCGGAGGAGGGTCCCACATGGCGCGCAGACCTCTCCTGCCGCCCGCTGCTCCCCTCAGCAGTGTCCTTCGGTCCTTCTGCCTGCTCTGCTCCCCGCTCTGGCTCTGGTGAATTCTCTCTCCCTCCCGCGCTTCTGACTATACCCAGTGCTTGTATAAATAAATAAAATAAAATAAAATAAATCTTAAAAAAAAAAAAAGAAAAGGCACATACTAACGCCCTCATTTTGTAGCTGAGGAAACCGAGGCTCTGACGAGCGGCTCAGCGGCAGACAGGAGCAGCCGTCTGACTCGCCTGCACCGGGTACGAGCCCGCCGCCCTGGGCTCGGGGACAGCCACTGTACGCCGGCTGCCCTCAGCGTAATTAAAGCCCAGGGGAGGCGGATGTTATTTCCATTTTTAGGAACTGAAGCTCTGTCTGGGCTGGAGCTGCATGCACTGGCCTAAGTAAACACCGAGTCCACCATCTGGGATCACGTGCCGCTCGGAGTAGAACATGTCAACAAACCCAGGACTGCTTGGAAGAGGGAAAAAAAACACAGCGGCATGTCCCGAACATCTAAACAAGAACCACCAAGTCATCAATTCGTCAATGTAAACACCGCCCTCTCTCGAGGGCTGCCGCAGGGCCCTCCGGGGGACTCAGCCATGGAAGTGATGGAAACAGCCCGCGCAGCAGACGCTGAAGAAAGGCTGTCTGAGAAGAGGACGTGCACCACGACCGACGTCCTCCAGTGCTGGGAATCTCAGTTGTGGCTTTAACTCGTTTAAGCTATATGGGTATACGGGCGGGGCCTGTGGGCATTCTGAGGTGCAGAAACGCACCTGTAAGTCCCTGTGAGGGACGAGGAGAGGAGGCACCAGACGCCCAGTGGCTCCCTAAGATGACCCTCAGGTCCTCCTGCTCCGAGCCACCAGCTGATCTGGCACCCACCAAGGGTCAGAGAGGCCTAGGGAAACAGTCACACGGTCACGCTACTTTCCCGCCAGACGCTACTATGCCCTCAGCCTGACCCACGGCTCCTACTGTCGGAAGGAAGCCAGAAAGGCGCCCACTTACATTCTTGAGGAACTCCTCGGCCACGATGCGCGCACGGGCGTTGACCGACAGCTTCATCTCACTGATCTCCTTGTCAATCTCCTCCATGAAATGAATGACAAAGTCCACCAACTTGTGCTTGTACATCTGCTCTGTGTGGAAGTTGGTGATCAGGAAGCTGATATCATAGCCCTACGGGGAGGAAGACAACAGAGAGAAGGAAGACCAGGAGAATGAGCGTCCCAGGAGCACTTCACAGACCACGTTCTGTTTGCTCAGCGACAGGCAGCCCGGTGGCGGGGATCGCCCAAGCAGCCCCGCGGTCAGCAGCCCAACTGTTTAGGGGTGGGGCGGTGTCTAAGTTGGGTCCGAGGAACTGAACCCAGCTGAGAAACCTGGGTGGATCAGCTGTCTCTGGAAGACTGTGCGCAAACAGCTGCCTTCAGGATGAGTCAAGGGAGTTAGGGGACGTAAACCTGGTTACAGGAGCACCTAATCAAGCAGGTGCCCTGGGAAGAGGATGACTGAGGTCTTGATCGGATGAGCTGACGAGGGGTTTTTCTACCCTGGGTGACCCGAGGGCAGATCTAGAACCAGGAGAGGGGGATTCAGCCCAGGACAGGACCAGCCTGGCCAATGTCTGATGTGTCTCATGACAGTGTGTGCTGCTCTGCGTGGGGGCTGCTCTGTCACTGGGACTATTTTAGGTCCATCTGGCAAGGAGGTGTGGAGAGGACTCAAGTACAAAGGCTACGTGACCCAAGGTCAACTGTGGCCTTGCAAGACCACGATACAATGGGTGGCAGAAGAGAAAGGATTCTGATTCACTGGGCCCGTCGGCCATGAGACTGCGGCTCTGGAAGAGGAGCAACACCTCGCCTCTTTTCCTTTTCCGTGGCTATGCCAGACTTCCACCTGCCCCCCGCACTCCCGCTCTAGGTGAGAGGGCCACCTCTCAACTCAGGCAAGGGTGCCCCACGGCGGGAGGAACAGAAACAGGCCAGGCTCCTGCTGCGTACTGAGAACATGTGGCCCACACGCCTTACCTCCACAGGCTTCCTTCGGAGGATAAAGAAGTTCTCTGCGCGCATCATCATGAAGCGCATGAACTTGTGGCATAAAATCTTCTCAATCTCATCTGCCTGGTGAGAGCCAAGGAGAAGCATGTTTCCATCAAGCGAACGCCTAGGCCAACCGACCCCACCTTTCCCCAGGCTGCAGGGGGCAGCAGGGTTTGGCAGCTTAGAACCATGGGGTGCTTGGTTGCCAGATGAAAGGAGGGGCTCTGAACTGCCCCAACTTAATGGGGTACTACTGCGAGCTCATCTCTGCCTCCTCCAGAGGGAATTCCAGCAAACTCGTGTTTAATGGCTCCTTCCAGAGTCCACACCTTTATTTAAAACTTTGTTTCCCTTTTTCATTTCATCGGCCCTGCGCTTACCAAACGCCGTACACACCACCGTGGGGAGCGGAGTGGCTGAGGCGATCTCTGCTTTCATACAGCGGACGCCAAACAAGCCGCGGTTTCTCTGTGCCGAGCGCTCAGTATCACTGAAGGGGGATTCTGCAGCTGGCCGTGGGCAGGCTCTGACCACTGCGCCCTCGTCCAGCACTTGCTCATCTCCCCGCTGACCAAGGCAGCAGGACCCAGGGCCGGCTTTTCCCAGGGCAGGACCCAGGGCCGGCAACCTCGCCCAGACTTACTAACAATGTTTCGTGTTCACTGTGTGTGTTTTCAGAGCTCTTCTCCCTTTGGCAAGTACTATCGGGTTTCTACTTACGGCATAAGGTTTTTATTTCAAACCAATTTAAGTAAAAGGAAACAATGTGAAGAAACCCATTAAGTAAATAGCGGTCCAGATGGGACATAAATATGACAAATCACTGGGATGGTGGGAGAGGCAGACATTGGTGGAATACTGTCCGAGAAAACATGGAAGGAGTCGCATTTTGTTTTCAACCCCAAGTCTCGCTTTCAGAGTTCATGGCTCTTGAGTCGGTAGCTGCTCTGCTTTTCCTGAGCTGGACTCACGCTCCATTCACTGGCATGGTTCTATGACTTGACACCAAACTGGCCCCATGGCGCGGCTGCTGCATTTCAGCCTTCTCCTACAAGCTGGGGCTGTTCTCTTTTTATTCTGCTAAGCCTGGCATTTCCTGGGTACATTCAAGGAAGTAGAACCAAGCAGGCTGATCTGTCGGATGGGGGTGCCTGGCCCCCTGGGAAGGTCGGGGCTGTGTGAGCTCACCTGCTTCACAGCAATGCTGACCCGGACAGAGTTGATGGAGCCCTCAATCAGAACCTTTTCCTTCTCATTCCTGCTGATGGTCACAGGTTGTAACAGGAGCTCTTTGCTACTCCTGAAAACACAATGGCACAGAGACGTCTGTATTATAGGGACAGAATTGTCGGGGAGACCCCAGAGCAACTTCTTCTTTTTTGAAATTTTTCATTTATTTAAGATTTATTTATTTACACAAGCACTGGGTACAGTCAGAAGCATGGGAGGGTGAGAGAATTCACCAGAGCCAGAGCGGGGAGCAGAGCAGGCAGAAGGACCGAAGTACATTGCTGAGGGGAGCAGCGGTCAGCAGGAGAGGTCTGCGCGCCATGTGGGACCCTCTTGCAGGCAGCTGGGGATCGAACCGGTGCTGCAGAGGCTGCAAGCAGCTTCGCAGCCCAGGGCTCAACCGCTGCGCCACCGGGGAGGCCCAACAACTTCTGAATCATTATCTGAGACCAGAGTCTAAGGAACAGCAGACTCACAAGCAGTGGTGCTTAAAGATGGGGATGGGGGAAGTTCAGCAAGCATGTTCTCCAGCACAAAGAGCACAGGGTCTGGAGTCAGGATGAAAAGGGTCTGGGAATCTTCCTGTTACTTCCCTAGGAAAGTTATCCTGGTGGGACCGCAATGTCCCATCTGTAAATTGACTGATTCCTACTTCACTGGCGAGGATGAGAGACCAAAAAGGATCAAGTGTCTAACAGTGTGCTTGGCACGTGGTCAAAGCCTGACAAATGACAGCTCTTACTTCGACAACTACAGGCGACCTCTACACCACCGAGGGAAAGAGGAGAAAGCCTGCCTTAGCGATAAGGACAAGCTAATTTTGAATAGTTTGGCCTCCTTTAATTATCAATCCAGAATGAGCCACCATTCACCTTTAATACTCCCTCCATTTCAATTCTTGATTTGATGTCTCTGAATCCTTAAGATATCCGTGGTGGTGGTGGTGGTGGCTCTTGGGGGGAGGTGGAGGGCGGGTGGTGTATGGGGGGAGCTCTGACCACTTTAAAACATCTGTGGAAATCATATATGTTAAAAAGGACATCATGGAACATCCTAGTATCTTGTCAAATTTAATCCAGTATCTTTTCCATATTTAAATATCACACCAGTGTAGTAACACTGCTTATCTCAGTTACATATGTTCCAGATTAAATCTTTAAAGCGGAAAAATAATTTACTCACAAAACCTAAACTAGGTGAGAGAATAATCCCAAACATGGGCTCTCTGGAGAGGGGAATGGGATCCAGGCTGGCATGGGGAAACATGTGACTCTTAAATCAGAAAGGGATGGAGACGGCCTCTCAGGTCACTGGCTTCTCTATCCTCTCCTTCAAGGGCCGCCGGTGACACCCTGTCAGCGGCCCACTCCTAGGAGTCCCACCCGTGTCAAGTGATCTTGGCTCCAGGGTTTTGGCCTGCCAACCCACTGACCCTGTTTTCTCAACTCCAAACTGGGAATCACAGTTCACTGGCAGTAAGACAGAACACGGGAGCTGCAGCTGCCCCAACACCACAGGGAAGAAAGTTCATGGTATCCTCCAGACAACAGCCGTCCCTGGGTGCTGGACCCTGGCCCCCATCCCGACCTCTTCCCTACCTGACTTCCACTTCCGGCTTGTTGTGTCGCTCCACAACCTGAGAGGAGAAATTCTCCAGACAGAGGGCAGCCTGCAGCGTGGCCCGCACGGCACTCAGGTAGGGGCGGAGAGTGGCAGTCTGTACAAGAAACCCCATGGGAGGGTCAGATTCTGTCTCCCCATGCCCACGCCCCTCCCTCCCCGCTCACATGCAAGCCAGGCAGCGCCAGCTGTCACACAGCACACTGAGCAAAATCGACAGCCTTCACAGTGACCCGCATCCTCAGTCTGCAGCAGAGACGTCAATGGGAGAGGACTTTGGCTGCCAGGGGCCACCTGGCAACGTGAGGTCATTTTTCCTGGTCCTGGGAGGGTGCTGTCACTGAGGAGACAGGTCAACCACACCGCTCACACCCTGCGACGCTGAGGACTACTCAGCCCCCAACAGTGCTAAGGAAGTCTGGGCTGGAGGCACACAGTAGGCGACTGCCGCTGACTGGCCTTTTGAGCCAACAAATCAACAAGTCTGCTGGGTGTCAGGCACTGGCCCAGGGGCTGGGAATTCAAAGAGAAGTAAGGCCCTCTCTACCCTTACATGGCGCAGCGGGTGAGGGAGACTGAACAAATAACTTGAATGTAAGAAAGGAAGAAACCTGAAGTAATCCTATTTACAAGTGATCTTGGTTTTGATTTGAAGATGGAAACAGCATTAGGATGATTTTACAATAAGAAAACCCAGAATAAGAACATTCTCAGTAGAGGGATGAGCTTCTAGCCACGCGGGCCCATCTTCCGTTCCTTACATATCAGACAAGACCTTTCACACCAGCTGGACCCATCTATCTGCTGGCTCTTCTCCCCTCCCCGTCTAAGTCATACCCCAGATTTTGGCTTGTTTGGGGGAGGCCTCTTCCTGAGGCCTTTCTTGACTTCCCTACTCATAGCATTTATTGCCAATGACACCTCCTTCAGACACCATTGGTAAAGTCACTTCTCCCTCACGACTAGGTAACAATCTTCATGGTCAACGGACCATGCCCCTTTTATTCAAATCCACAAACTTGCACCCATGCTCATTTAACACTTAACAAACACGGTCTCGCTAATTCTCTGTAGAATGAATGAAGTGAGATTAGAATGAACACAAAAGGCCATGGAGGAGTTCCAGGGCAGTGATGACTAGTGCTGCTGTGCATGGGAAGCCTTTTTGATTCGACAGACGAGACTACACTGGCATCCCGGAGATTCGAGGGGAGTCGCAAATGCCAGGCGGCTAAGTTTAGCCTTTTAGGTGGTAAGGAACTGCTGGGGCTTTCTGAGGAGGAAGTTCATGACTGCAGCTGCATGGTGACTGGACAATGGATTGGAGAGGGAAGTGAGACAAGTAGAGAACTGTCTCATCGATGCTGAGAGCCGGGGCTGGGCCGGGGAACAAGCCAAGGGAGTATCATAGGGGTTGGCATCCTATTGGATGGAGAGAATAATGGAACCAAAAAACAACTGCCAACGAATTATGGCCCATCAATAAAATACCAATAAAATAAAATACCAACTGGCAATAAATAAAATACCAACTGGCAATAAAACCACCACTGAAACAGACAACAAGGGTGAATCTCAAATGCATTATGATGAGAAGCCATACTACAAAGTGCACCCGCTGAAGATTAAGAATCCTACTCACATGACAATCTAGCCGGAAAAGGCAAAGCTACAGGAGTGAGAGGAGATATCAGCGGTAGCCAGGGGTTCAGGAGGGGGTGTAATGATTACAAAGGGATCTGAGGGAAGTTTTTAAGGTGATGGAAATGGCCTGTGTCTTAATGCTAATAGTTACACGCCTGTGTTTGTCAAAATTCATCAATGGTAAAATGGCAAATTTCAGGGGGCCAGCCCACTGACGCCTGCCTTCTCTGTTACAAAAAAGACAGTAACCTTGATTTTTAGGAAAAAACCAAGAAGCATGGCCTCAATTAGAAAGAGACCAGCCCAGTTACCTCCAAGTGAGGGAGGAGGACACAAAACCATCTAAGACGGCTAGGAGGAAGAGCAAGTGCAGGAGAGGAGACGACTTTTGGTCTGGAGATCTAACCCAAGGTGTCTTCAGTGACCGCCAAGTGAACCTTGGCCGCGGGCTGGGCGGGCAGACTGGGGAGTGACAGGACACGCAGCCGGGAGACCAGGCAGGTTATCTCCGGGGAGTGTAAGGAGGTGGCGAGCCAGCCTCGACTCCCGGGAACACCCACGATACGGAAAGGCAGGGTTTCCAGCAAGCTCGGCAGGACGGGGGCCCACCCGCCCCACAGCCGGCAGGGCTAGCTCTGACCAGGCAGGGGCTGGGGAGGGGGCCGCGAGCAAGGGCCGTCCCGGGGCAGCAGCGAGCCCGAGGGGCACGAGCGGGATCGGGAAGTGGGGCGCGTCCCCTGGGGCCGCAGGTCCGGCGGGCAGCGGCGCCCGGGCGTTCCCCGCGGGTGGGCACAGGCCCCGCTGCCGGCCCCGGCGGCCCTACTGGGGGCGTGCGGCCTACTAGGCGCCGGCGAGACGAAATCACCAGCCTTGGGGGGCCCCACCTCAGGCTTCCTCCGCGCCCCAGAAGCACCCCCTTCCCGGAGAGCCGGCCCGGGGAGCCGCCAGCCCGGGGGCGAGGGCGCCCCCGCGCGCCCCGTCCCCCGCTCGGCCCCCGCCCGCCCGCCCCGGCGCCCCGCCCCCCCCGCGGCCCGGACCCCGCGCTGCGGGGCCGCCCCTCCCCCAGGCCCAGAGCCCGCGGGGGGCGGCGGGGGTCCCGGGGGTCCCCGGCCCGGCCCGGCTCGCTCACCATCGCGGGCGCTGGCTGGCCGGGAAGCGGAAGTGCGGAAGTGGCCGGGCGGCGCCGCGCAGGGGCGCAGCCGCAGAGCCGCCCGCGCTTCCGGGCCGCACCACGCGCCGCGCCGGGGGGGCGGGCCCGGGCGCCGGGGCCCCGCGGGGGGCGCCCCCGGGACGCGCCCGGCGTCCGCGCGCTCGGAAGGCGTCTCGCCGCCGCCCAGTCTCCGCCCGGCGCCCGCCCGGGGCCCGCGCTGCAGGGCGGTGCGCGGGGCGTCCGCGCCGCCGTCCCCCCCGGGGCGCGCAGTGGTGCGGCCCGGCCTCGGGCTGGGCACCATATTAGGACAAGGCGAGGCGGCGGCGCCCCGATCCTTCCGGCTCTGCGCCCCCGTCCCGTCCGCGGCCCCTCCTACCTGCCGCCCCTGGGGCTCGGCGGGCCTCCCCGCCCCGCCCCCGGCCCGGGCCCTTCCCTCGGCCCGCCCGAGGGCGCGCCCCCGGCTGCAGTGGGCTCGCCCGCGGCCCGCGACGCGGCGCCCCCCGCCCGGCCCCCCCAGCCCCGCCGCGGGGGCCGCCCTCGGCCGGTTCCGGGGCGGCCGCTCCGTCAGACCGGAACTCCCCGCCCCCCCCCGGGGGCCGTTGGAGGCCGCTGTGAGGAGGTAGAGGGGCGGGTCACGTTAGGGGGTCCCTAGAGGGCAGGGACCCCGAAAGCGGGACGTTGGGGCGACCCGCGATCGGGGCCAGCCGCTGAGCCGCCCCACGTCTTCGGTGCCAGGCACTGAACTGGGCTCTTGGCGGGCATCGCCTCTTAATCCTCAGAGCATCCCGGGGAGGTAGGTACTGTGGTCACCCCCATTTCACAGACGCACACCGTGTGCCCCCATCCTGCAGATGGAAGCACCGAGGCTCGTGGGGGGGTACCCCTGCTCGGGGCCTCTCGACTAGAGAAGGGCAAAGCCTGGGCCTGGGCCCAGGCAGGTTTGGGTTACCAGGGGAAAGACGAGACAGGGAGACCGGAGAGCATGGAGAACATTAACTTGTAAGAGTGAATGTTTGCAAGTCGGTGAAATGGAAGAGCGCGCCAGGAAGGCCGGCCCGCGCGCGTGTGACAGGGCACAACTTGTGGCTGCAGACTCAGATTGGATGGCACCTGGGTCACCTGGCTGTGTACCTGTTCTTACTGAGTCTCTTTCCCTACCTGTAAAGTGGGCGTCACCATGGGCTGCTGTTGGGGTCGGGTGAGGAATTCCCTGGGAAGATGTGTGTACCTAGCGAGGCACACAGTAGGTGCTCTGCGAGCAGTGCCTGGGCCAGCCGCCTTGTCCACGGGTGCTGAAGCCTCGCTTTCTCCTGGAAGCTGTTCCAGGCTGGAAGGAGCCCTTGGGTTTTTCTGCTGCCACTTTGTCTCCCGTCAATGGCTCTCTCCTCTCCAGCTCCACAGGGTCCCGTCTCCTGGGCCATGAGTGAGCTGAAGGACTGCCCCTTGCAGTTTCATGACTTCAAGTCTGTGGACCACCTGAAGGTCTGTCCCCGCTACACGGCGGTGCTGGCCCGCTCCGAGGATGATGGCATCGGCATTGAGGAGCTGGACACTCTGCAGCTGGAGCTTGAGACCCTGCTTTCCTCTGCCAGCCGGCGCCTGCGGGTGCTTGAGGCCGAAACCCAGGTGATACCCCACGGAGGGGCTGTCACCAGGGATGGATCATGACTTATGGGATGGGTCCTTGAGTTAGCCCCATCTACTGAAGCCTGGGGCACAGGAACTTGGGGTGAGGAGTGGAGGAGAGAAAGGCCCGAGAGGGCTCTTTGGACACGTGAAGTATGCAGGGATGTGCCTGATTCTCATGAATTGCAAGGTTTCTGATTCACTGAACATTTATTGACCTCCGCCCCTCATCCCCACTGTGTTCTGGGGTCTGTGGTAGTCATTAGGTAGAGCTAATTAGGAAGGAAGGTCACCAGGAAAGGGAGGGGGCGCTGGGTTGGACAAGCAGCAGGTGATGTGGTGGTGTGGTTATGAGCAGTGGGAGACCTGGATTTGAATCCTGGCCTCGGCGTTCACTAGTGTTGTTTCCTAGCTCTGTCACCTGGAACATCAGTACTCTGAACGTCAGTTCCCTGTCTGTAAAGCAGGCTGAATAACAGTCGCTACCTCACGCTTTTGTGAGGATTAAAAGAGATTTTTTTTTTTTTGGTGGGACCCTCGCCGGTGGCCAGGGATCGAACTGGCGCTGCAGAGGCTGCGGGCAGCCTCACAGCCCAGCACTCAACCGCTGCGCCACCAGGGGAGGCCTGAAAGAGATTTTTTTTTTTTTTGCAAAGGCTCAGCCTAGTATCTGACCCTAAGCAAGCATTTCAAATGTTATATTGGGTATTACTCCAGTTATTTCTATTCACTACATGAACATGTTCTCTGTACCCCGAATGCCCAGTTTCCTGGTCTCCTGTAAGAAAAGGAGCTTAGAATCCAGTGGGAGAGGAAAGGAGCTGTTCTTTCCACTGTCACTGAACAACAGGTCGGGCTTGTGGTGGTGGGACAGTGCCAGACAATGAGAAAGAAGATGCCAATCCAGCTGGACCTCAGAGGCCAAACAATTAACTTGCAGTTCCTGGGAATCCACTGGGGTTTTTAGAGCAGGCCTGTGGCACAAACTGTATTTTAGCCACTGAGAGGTGGGTAATTTAGGCAGAGAAGCTTCCCGTTTGGGACTTTGAAGGTGAAGGTTTGCTGAGAAGCTAGTGTCTTCACCAAGACGTTTCTACCAGCCTATTTCCCCAGCGCTGACATGTGCTGGGGTAAGGTCACTTGCTGCCCTTTCTATTAAAGACCTGGAGGCTGGCTTGGGCGATGCAGAAGTGAGTCAGAATCCCGACAAGTAAGAGGATAGAATGGTAAGTTTAGAAGTAAATCCTGAAAAGGCATAGAAAAGGAGCTGAATTTTGAAGGATGCGTGGGAGTTTGCTAAATAAAAAGGTGATGGGGAAAGCCGTTGGATCCCCTTGAGTTCTGATCCTAATTTTTTACTGGAGGAAAGTGTAGGCCTGGATCTTCCCTCTGCCTGGCAGTGACTGTCTCTCAATTTCAGATCCTCACCGACTGGCAGGATAAGAAAGGTGACCGACGATTCCTGAAACTGGGTCGAGACCATGAACTTGGAGCTCCCCCCAAACATGGGAAACCTAAGAAGCAGAAACTGGAAGGGAAGGCAGGACATGGGCCAGGCCCGGGCCCTGGGCGTCCCAAATCCAAAAACCTTCAGCCAAAGATCCAGGAATATGAATTCACTGATGACCCAATTGATGTGCCACGGATCCCCAAGAATGACGCCCCCAACAGGTTCTGGGCCAGAGAACATAGAGGGGCATCAGGGTTGGGGGTGTGGAGGCCACAGAGGGGCCCAGGGCTGAGGCTGATGTGGCAGAGGGGCCCCCCCTCAGGATCTGCTTCTCGCTGCAGGTTTTGGGCTTCGGTGGAGCCCTACTGTGCTGACATCACCAGTGAGGAGGTGCGCACACTGGAGGAGCTACTGAAACCCCCAGAAGACGAGGCTGAACATTACAAGGTAGAAAGTCTGGGGCGCCAAACAGGCGGGCTCAGAGGTGCCTCAGAATCAAAGATCCCAAAGCCACGAATCCTCTTCCTTCTTCCCTGCGTGGGCTCCTGTCCACCCAGACCAGGCGCTACCTGTTGGCTTTCTCCTTGCATTGCTGGCCCTCGGTCCCATCCGCATGGGTACCACATCCTGAGGCGTCTGTTTCGCTGAGGTCTTCCTGTATCCCCTCATCTCTGTCTCCTCCACTCTGGGTCAGCTTTTACCCAGTCTCAATACTTTGCTGCCTCCAGATGGAGGGACCTTTCTTTTCCTCACTTTAATATATGAAAGTTGACTTTTTTTATGATGAAAATACAAAGTGTGTATTAAAGATGCCAAAAACAACAGAAGCACTGGAGAGGGAGCTGCCACACGGGTCGGCTGTCATGATCAGGTGTGATTATGACACAGCCTTCTGCCCAGGCTGCCCCTGGCTCCCATTACCTGTAGGATCGAGTCCAAGTATCTCAGTTCTTGGTGGCACAGCCCCAGCGCCTCTCTCCAGTTTCCTCGGCCACACCCCTCTTCACTGCTGCATGCACCAGCCCCACCCAGCATCCTCCCTTACCTCAGGCCCATGTGGGTTCGTGCCATGGCTGGGCCTCCACACCTGCTCTTCTCCCCTTGGCAAACTCTCTGCACCATCAAGGCCCCAATCTCATGTTACCTCCAGCAGAACACCTCTGCAGAGTCCCCGGCGGGATGTTGGTCCTCCTGTGCTGCCACTGCACGTTGGTGACTTGACTTCTAGTGATTGTCTGAATTTTTAAGCAATATATTTGACAAATAATTCATACAGATGGTAATAAAGCCAAGCATGTAAAAGATTATTCCCCCTCACTCCTAACTCAGGCCCCTAGTTCTCTCTAGAGGTAGCCACTGTGACCTGAGATGTCCACGTATGCACACCACCTATACCTTTCATCTTGGAAACCATCCCATGTTGCCTCCTGTGGGTATTTTAGTCTCCTTACTAGACTGTGCCTGTGTTCTTATTAGACTGTGAGTGTAGAGATTCTTCTTCTTTTTGTCTCGACTCACCTATGCGAGGCGTAGGCCTTGGCCCAGGCCTGGGTACTTGGGAGACAGATCAGTGAGTGAAGAGCCTGGTGACTGTGCCGTGTCCTAGGAATGGCAGCATCTACCTTTGGGACCGGGTGGGGTCTCACCCATAGATCCCGCCTCTGGGGAAGCACTACTCCCAGCGCTGGGCACAGGAGGACCTGCTGGAAGAACAGAAGGACGGGGCCCGGGCAGCAGCTGTGGCTGACAAGAAGAAAGGCCTCCTGGGGCCACTGACTGAACTAGACACTAAAGGTAGGCCCCTCACTTCCCTGCCCACCCCAGGCCAGGTCTTAAGTTCCCAGAGCTTCAGCCCACCTGTCCACTGCTTCTCTGTCCCCTTCAGATGTGGACGCCCTGCTGAAGAAGTCTGAGGCCCAGCACGAGCAGCCGGAAGATGGGTGCCCTTTTGGTGCTCTGACACAGCGCCTCCTGCAGGCCCTGGTAGAGGTCAGCACCCCATTCCATTCTTTCTGCTGTAGTATTTTTAAATTGAAGCATACATTTAGAAAGGTACATAGATTATAAACACATGGTTTGATAATTTTCAAATACAAGCACATTCATCTCATCAGCTCCTCTTAGTCGCTAACTTCAGACCTACCTCCTAGGTCGCCACCACCGCAAAGTTACTGTTGCTGAGTGTTGGGTGAGGGCTGAGCCCAGTGCTGGGGTTTTCCACACATGCTGTCACTGGAAGCAAGACAGCAGTTAGCCCTGTGCTGGCACCGCAAGATTGAGGCTCAAAAAAGAGAACTGTTTTGTGGCGGTCACACCACTGACAAATAGAAGCAGGATTCAAACCCCAGGTTCAGGGACCTTTATACCCACGGGCTCACCATAGGTACATCGCACCTCATCGAGCCTGCGTTTGCTCTTCAGACTCCACCCCATAGTTAATTTCTCCTCTGTCTGGGGATGTTGCAGGTTAGAGGAGCATGGGGGAGGGAAGGGACCCTCCTGCTGTGGTGGCCTTGCCATCTTACATACGCACTCGGCACGGGTCGCTCTGGGTGTGGTTGCCACTCCCGGCCCACATTGAGAGTGTGATCCGACCTCTTCTCATCACTGTCCACTGGGGAGAATTTGTCACCAGGATCACCGGCTGCAAGGGAGGCTGGGAAGTGTGGTGTAGCTGGGCGGCCAGAAGCCCGGCTGCTATGGAGAAAGGCAAGAATGGCCCTCGGGCGGCTGGCAGCCTCTGCCACACATGCTTAGCACAGTGGCCGGACGTAGACACTTGGTCTCGTTACCCTGGCTGGGTGTTTCCAGCACTCATCACTCGTCTGTGCTCCCTTTCAGTGTCAGCACCCAAAAGTGGGGTTTCTAAAACGATCAAAGCTTTTTGGAGTCAGTTTGGGGAGGCTTCACAGAGGAGGTGGGATGGAAGATCTGTTTCTGGTCTGCGAAGATTGTCCACACAGGCCAGAGAAGAGCAAGAAAGTGGTGAAACGACGACTCTCCTTGATATTCTAGGAAAATATTATCTCCCCCATGGAGGACTCGCCCATTCCTGACATGTCGGGGAAGGAGTCCGGGGCTGACGGGGCAAGCACCTCTCCCCGCAATCAGAACAAGCCCTTCAGGTGAGCACCCTCCTGGGGCACTGCACAGCCAGGCCCTTCTGTCTCTACATGGGGGGCTCTTCTGTAGCAGGGAGGCCAAGGGCAGGAGATCAAGTCCAAAAAAGCTGCAGACTAGTGTGCTAGTGTGCTGGCCCAGCGTTTTGGGGTGCTTAGCGCTGCTCTGGTCACGTGGCACACCCTCTGCTGTCCGGCGAAAGGGGTGGCAGCTCCCTGTGATGAAATGACTTGCAACTATCAGTCCTGTTAGAGAAATCCACCTCACTGACCTGCGTGCTGAGGGGGGGCCATGTTGGGTGCAGCACAGGACAGTCAGTGTGGGCCTGTTTACCTGAGATATATTTAGATGTGCGTACCTGGTTGGGGAGCTACAATAATACATAGTAAAAGGTTGGCGAGAGTGTGTTACAGGACCTGCAATTGTCTGTGTGTGTGTGTGTGTGTGTGTGTGTGTGTGTGTGTGTGTGTGTGAAACGATATTTTTTAAATATATGTGATACTGCGTTAACACAGCCAAATAACACGGCTGTGTGACAGAATAAGAGCGGTTCTCGGGGCTGTCAGCGCGTAGGTGCGGACAGTGAGCATATGTTGCTTGGGTTTGAAACAAGCCCAGATGCGTCTGTGTCTCTGCAGCTAGATAGAGGCAGAGGCGGTGCCCAGAGGAAGGGGTTCACTGATCTTAGGACCGTAGAGGGCCCCTCAGGTCGGCCCTTGAGCCAAGGCTGCCTTCCCTGCAGCGTGCCGCATACCAAGTCCCTGGAGAGCCGCATCAAGGAGGAGCTGATCGCCCAGGGCCTGCTGGAGTCCGAGGACCGCCCGGCGGAGGACTCGGAGGATGAGGTCCTGGCGGAGCTGCGCAAGCGGCAGGCCGAGCTGAAGGCGCTCAGTGCCCACAACCGCACCAAGAAGCACGACCTGCTGAGGTGAGGGGCTGGTGCAGGGGTGAGGTAGCCAGGGAGGCCTTGGGCACTGCCGGTCGCCTCTCAGGGGTGACCAATCCTGGCAGGGCCTCTTCAGTCTCCTGAGGTGCCTTGAGAAGAGCGTGCATGTGGGCGACCTGGGCACGGGTTACGCCTCCGATTCTCATTCTGCAGGCATCTGACTGGTGGGCGGGTTGATTTGCTTTTACTTGTAAAGAACACAGTGGAAAACTTACTCTCCAAACCATTTTCACATGTGCAGTTCAGTGGTGGTACCTGTAGTCACTCTGCCGTGTGATTTATTTTTAAAATCTTTTCATGCTTATCTTCTCACCCCAAACGCCCTCCTCCCTGATTCTATTAAGAGAAACTTCACACGTGCAGAAAGTGAAGGAAGAGTGTGATACACTCCAGGACATTCTCCACTAGACTTGCCAACTGTCAGCATTTTGGGGGACACCTGTGACTAGTCCCTGGAAGTTGACCAGTGTTTTAGGGCCCATTTTTTAAGAAATTGGGTGCAGTATTGCTTATTTTATATTGATTCTAATCCTTCCTGTTCTGCATTGATCACAAGGTAGAGGTGACATCTGGAGGGAGGTCATGGTGTAGTGGCTGTCCTTTTGTTGGGAGTCAGAGAAGCAATGCAGCTCAGCCCCTTGCTGCTCGCAGGCGGGTGGTGTGTCTGATTCCCAGAGCCCCACAGGGCACCCTCGCTTGTTCATTTGGCCGCTCGCCTGTCTCCACGGGCGCGGGGCTGGGGCTGGGACTGGGGGAGAGGTGGAGGAAGGGCTTGCTGCACAGCAGGTGGTTGGGAACCAGACACATGCGCCATGGAAAGGTATTTGCTGACAAGCTGCTCAAGTCCTTAAGAAAAAGGGTGTGCCCAGCGCCTGCTCTGTGCCCGCTCTGCGCCCACGCCGTTACATGTGCCCTCCCGTTCAACCTCAACGGCAGCTTTTGGCTCTCCACCTGCAGGGGGCAGGGGGCATTTTCCCTGTTAAAGGTGCAGGGAGGTCAGTGCTCAGCTGAAGGTTGCGCAGCCAGTGAACAGGCCAAAGCTGAATCCAAATCTTTGTTCTAGTTCATGTTGCCCTCGCGGGGAAGAGGAGAACACAGATGAGAGCAGCACTGGGGGGGGGGGGGGGGGGGAGGGGGGAGGGCACAGAGCAAGGCGCAGGGACCGCGGATACAGACGCTTGGAGAAGTACGGGCCTTGCAGGAAGTAGCTGGGGACTGTCAGCCGGCCGGGACGTGGCCTTCAGCCCTGCTATGGATCAGCTGCAGGGCCTTAAGCAAGGCATTTCCTGCCCTGAGCAACAACTTCCTTTTCTGGAAGGGTAACAGGTTGGGCTAGATTAGATCTCTGAGTGACCTTCCAGCTCGACCACCAGAGGAATTTAAAGATTGGATTCCTTTCAGAGGGAATGGTTTGGCACCTCCCCCGCCTCCGGTGGACCTCCAGCTGCCCCAGCCCTTGGGTGGTTCTGGAATTTGATGCTAAAGGAGCAGGTCTTCTGGCTCTAAAACACCTGTTAAAGAAGATCGAAGCTGGCTGCGTGATCAGACTTCCTGTGTCCCAGTTCTGGGGCCAGGGCCATTGTTTATTCTCCTTGAACCTCAGTTTCCTCACTGGTAACAGGAGTCATAGTCCCTGTCTCATAGGGGGTGAGGGCTAACTGAGCTAACATTTTTGAAGAGCTTAAGCGCATAACACCATATAAGTGTAACTCAGTCATGGCTTTCTGGCATGAAACGTTTGCAGAAGGGCCTACGTGGTGGTGAGTGGGCTCAGTCGAAGCCTGGAGGTGGGCTTCCCACACGCTGACCTTTTGGTCCCCCCCCCCCAGACTAGCAAAGGAGGAGGTGAGCCGGCAGGAGCTGAGACAGCGGGTCCGCATGGCGGACAATGAGGTCATGGATGCCTTCCGCAAGATCATGGCTGCCCGGCAGAAGAAGCGGACCCCCACCAAGAAAGAGAAGGACCAGGCCTGGAAGACTCTGAAGGAGCGAGAAAGCATCCTGAAGCTGCTGGACGGGTAGCCCTTGCCTCGGCGGCCTTCCCTGGCCTGCGGGAGGGAGGGATGGAGGCCCACTTCCTTCACTGGCTGCCGAAGCCTTGGCCTGTGGCTGCCCCTCACATGTCAGATGGTGACAGTCCCTTGAGGCTGGCACCCTCCCCTGAGGTCATTTGGCCTAGCTGTGCAGCCAGGATATGGGACCCTGCTGGGCTGGCCTGGGGCCCAGTCTCTACTTGGTCCCCCAGATGAGTGGGGGCTTTATTTCCAGCCTTCCTCTTCCCCCTTCATCATTCCCCACCCCCACCTCTCCCCCAAGGACTTCTCCCTTGTGGTTTTGTAAAGTGCAAACTTAAAAGTAAAGTAACTGTTGTGGTTTTTTAAAAAGCATGCAGAGTCTTTCAATGTCTGTTATTGTGGGGCAGAGAGGAACTGGTGTGGGTAGCAGTGTTCAGGGTGGCATACTTGGTGACTCAGCCTGGCACCACTCACCCATGCCATTCACTCGGGGAGAACTTTCTGAGGCTACTAGTGACTACAGGTAACAACTCCCCAACTCAAAGTGCATTAACCACGAGGGAGTTGGCTGGGGCCTGCCGAGGGCCAGCAACCCCGCAGGACCATCAAGGGTGTGGGTGTGGGTGTCTCCAGCTGTGCAGGGTCAGCCAGTAGCAGTCAGCGGAGGCCAGGCACTTCCTTGCTTATGTCCAGCACAAGCAGACAGGCGCCAGCTGGCTTCCAGAACAGCAAGAAGCCTTTCCCAGACTCCCTGGTGTCTAACTGGCCCAAACATCTCTCAGAGAAACCACTGTGGCTGGGGTGATTCTGAAGGGTTTAAAATAGAGTGAGTGACGTCTGCTCCCCACTAAGTCCAGGTAGTGGGGAGATAAGGTGAACCCATCAAAAATCTGAATAAGGGAAGTGGGTGCTGGGTGGGCCACCGGAAGCAAAGCTTGGGAGGGTGCAGATGAATAAATAAGCCCTCTTTTGCCTGCTTCCACTTGTTCCCAGAGTAGTCAGAGTTGGAGAAATTTTACAATTTACTGTGGGAAGGTTGAGGTCTACACAGGGGGGGCAGGGAAGGTTCCCTGAGGAAGGGACCTGTGAGCTAAGCTGTGCAGAAGGATGACCAGGACAGCCAACTTTCATACAACAACATCTGCTGGAGAGGGGCCCTCCCCCATTCTAGGTGCCTCTTGTGGGACTCTGAAAATAGGTAGCCGCCTAACCCCAACTTGACCAGCTACCCCATCCCTCTAGCCACAGTGACTGTTCCAGCGAGTGAGCATGTGACCCCGTGGGGCCCATCAGAAACCTGCCGTAAGGCTGCTGTGTGGATGCTGAGAGAAAGGAGGTTTCTCTCCCTTTTGGTTCCATAGAATGTAAGTTCGGACCCACTTTCCTGCCCCGTGGAACTCACAGCCTGAGAAAACCAACTCGGAAGCACAGCAGGCTCTAAAGCTGCAGGAGGAGCCCCGCGTCCTCCACCAGACTTGGCAGTAACATCAGCCCACAAACGCTGCTTTTGGCTGAAGCTAGTTTGGGGTTTCATCATGTCATTTATCATTTGTCAGCTAAAAAAAGTCTGATTAATAAAGTGAGTTTGGGCCAAAAAAAGGATGAAATAGGGTGCTGAGAGAGAGGATGGCGTGTGGCCTGCCGCCCACTCTGGTTCCCTGTCCCTGGGTTGCTTATAACCTTAGAGGGAAAAGACACCCATGCTTCTGTTAATTGTGGAATTAAGTGTTCGGGAGATGTTAGCTATGTGTGTAAACCAGACACCACTCCAACCCGTTAAGCTACTGAATCTTTTCCATGTGGTAGATTCGAACTACATCCCACTCGCAAGATGGGGAAACTGAGTCTTAGGAGGTAATATACCTTGCTTGGTCAAATAAATGATGAGTGGTTGAGTCAGGATTCCAAACTCAGTCTATTTGGATTGCAGACCAAAAGCTCGTCCTTACTCATGGGGGTCCTGTTCCCCTACCATCTATGTGAAAGGTAAACCTCGGGTTTGACAGGGCCTCCCTGGTGGCGCAGGGGTTAAGTCTCAGCACTATGGAGCTCTCCGCAGCCACTGCAGCATGAGTGGTAGCTCCCGGCCAGGGAGCTACCCACATGGTGCAGCAGACCTCTCCTGACTCACCCTCTGCTCTCCTCAGCAATGTATTTCTGGCTCCCCACTCTGTCTTTGGTGAATCCTCTCACCCCACCCTACCCCACCTGGGGCCTACACCCCAGCCCTTGTATGCATAAATGAATAAAATAAAACTTAAAAAAAAAAAAAAACCTAGGCTCAGACTGCACAACCTGTGCAGCCATACGTGGCAGCTCTGCTTGCAGACCTGACTCTTAATTACCACCATGTTCATTAGGCCAGACCATAAGTAGGCACCATTGGTAGACAGTTCTAGGAACAGAGACAGCTTTGTGGAAGAGGTAGGGTGGGAGATGGGAGATGAGGTCCTACGATTAGACAGAATTGTGAGAGGGGGAAGGTAGGTCCTGTAAACACCAAGAAGAACCCTAGAAGACTGACTAGGCCTGACTCATTAGGGAGAAGACTTAACTTTCAAGGATGAGCTGTGAGCACCTGCGATTCTGTGTTGCACACCCACCGTCTGCCTGAGACCCTACCGGGGCCCTTCACACCCATGTCTTCTTTGGTGTCCTTGCAGAGCAGGACACAGGCTCAAAGAGGTGCCTTGCCTTCTGAGGTGACTCAGCCTTGGTGCAGGGACAGTTAGCCCCCAGAGAGCACCACCCCAACAGAGCTGACAACCACAGTGGGACAGAGGGAGTCCCCTCTTACAGCCATATAGGTGTATATAGGAGTCAAAGGAGGCCTCTTCCATGGGGTTTGGAGGAAACTGGCATCCCTGTGAGGAACGGGAGATTAGTCCCAGTGCCTTCTCCCCTCCCCAAGATTCCGTTCAAAACAATCCTGATACCTTATCGCTAGTTTGGTGAAAAAAGTCTTTTGTGTCTTGGCCCTAGGAGGCATCCTACCATGTATAATGTTGCTTCTCCAGCCTCAAATGCCTTACAGCTGTGAACATACCGTACAATGTTCTGGAAAACGGCCCCTCCCTGTCCTGGCAGACAGGAGAGCAAGGCCATCTGCAGAGACTTGAAGCCTGAAACAGCATGCACAATCTGATGCCTGTGGGTAGTCCATCTTTTCATCCCCACTGCGGACCAAGGAGCTGGATAAAGGAGATTTAATGATGGCCCCTGGGCCTTTGCATCCCCCAGTGCATTCTTTACGAAGGAAGAAATCAAATACTGCTTTGCTTTCCTCTAGGCATAGATAGCACCATCATATCAGGACAACTTAGAACTAGAAGCAACCTGCCTCAAGAAAAATTACATTCTAATGTTAATGACCCACTGTTCCTACCTCTATAAACTAGATTCAAACTGGGATTTGTCAAGACACTTCTCACAAAGTAGAATCTTTTATACTGCTTCCTGGATTTGAACACTCACTTTGATGATCTAATAAATTTTGACTATCACTGAGATTTTATTTCTAGTCAAACTGAGTTAGGAACACAGGGGGAGTAAGAATAGGGTAAGTTGGGTGGAGGTTAAGCCCTGAGCTTGGGGTGTGACCTCGTATGGGTCCCCAGACCCTGCCAGCTCCTGAGCACGCCAGAAGCGTGGTGGTGGGTGCTGGGTCCCAGCTGACTACTGCTAATAAAGAGGTGACAGCTGGGAATTTGTGAAGCTATGCTCAGGGAGTTACTTCCTTTCTGATCTGGGACTCAGGACTCCTTGGAGAGAACCAAGTACAGGCAGACTTACCTAGTCACCCAGGTATTAACTCATCTACGTCTTCATTCATTCATTCATTCATTCATTCACTCCATCTACTCCTCAGAGACCCTGTGGCCATGGCTGAGAGGTGAGGGAGGAAGGCTCCAGACATGGGGAGACGGCTGGGTAGACAATCAAAACGCAAGGCCAGGAGAGCAATAATAGAAGAACGTACAGTGTCTGCAGGGACGTGGGGCAGGGAAGGACTTAGTTTAGGGGGTCAGGACAGGCTTCAGGGAGGACACGGAAAGGAAGCTGCTGGGCTGAAGACATCCCAGACAAAAGGAATGGCAAAGCACAGAGAGGTGTGAGCAGCTGGCCTGCTTAGAGAGAGGCAAGGACTTCAGTGAGACCAGGCCCTGGGTGTGTGGCGAGGGGGAAGGATGAGAGATCAAGCTGGAAAGCAGGCTGACACCAGGCTTGGAAAGGCAAGTGAAGGAGAACGGGCTTTATCTTCAAGGCCAATGGTCTTCAAAGTGTGGTCCCTGTGCCAGCAGCATCAGCATCACTTAATAAACTTAATAAAGATAAACATTCTCAGGTCGCAGACCCAGCGAACCACAAACTCCAGTGGTGGGCACCAGTCATCTGTTTTAACTGCTCTGCAGATGACCCCCGAGGCACATTACAGTTTGAGAATCACTTTTCAAGAGAGCAGGGCGCTACGGGTGGTTTGTGAGCAGGGGCATTCCTCAACAGCGCGCTGATCAGAAAGGTACTCTGGCCGCATGGCGGGGCAGAGAGTGACACACCGCCACGTGCAAAGACACACATCTGGGATGGTGCAGGGGCGCAGAAACCAGTCCATGTCCTCCCAGATCTGTTTTCCTTTCTTCTGAGTAATAGCTGGACATGCGCTTTTTTTTTTTTTTTTTTTTGCCATATGCTTTAAAAGACTAAATATCCCAGCTTCCCTTGCAGCTAGGTACGATTATGCGACAAAGTTTTTGTCACAACAGGACACATGCGGAAGAGAAATGTATCAGTAAGAGACCATGGGTTCCAAGGGGTGTGCCTTCCATGCTCCCGTTCCCCCTGCCTGGGTAAGACACGGTGGCAGCCATGTCGAGATGCATTACAGACAACACCCTAGGAATGGTGGAGCAACAGGGTGAGTAGCAGCCAGGGTTCCTCGGACCTAGTGATCCTCGTTCCATCTGGGAGCGCTTAGGTCAGATTGTTACACACTTGCACTTCAGTTAAATTACACTTATTTTGTGTGTCAGTGAAACCAAACCTACATTTTAGCTAATCCAGGGGGCAAAGCTTGCCTAACAGTCTTTTCAAACTCTGCTTGCTTAGCCTCCCTCCCTCCTTATGTGGTGATTTCTTGCTACAGCCTTTGATGAAAACAGTTTCAAGTACACAATTGTGGGAGGATGATTCTGCAAAGGAGCAAGCTAGGGCGGCCAAGCACTTTGCTTGAATTCTCTCAACAAGCCTGTGTCAGGGTAGATAAGGTGATGACACTTCTTTCACTGATGGGGAACCGAGCAGACAGAAAGGGGAAGGCCAGATCAACTAGCTGATGGTAAGCCAGTTTTGCAAGCCAAGAGGTCCTGTTCTAATGTCCCTCTCCCAGGCCGCCAGCACCAGCGCATACATCAGAGACAAACATAAGAATCGTTGCGCCAGAATATGCCTGTGTCTGCCAGGAGAAATCACTGAGATCTGGGCAATATTAGAGGGAACTGAGCCGCTGAAGATGGGCTGCTCCTGAAATGGGGAGGAAGCGGGGCAGGCACCATGAGGGAAGAAGGGAAACTCCACATGTCAAGTCTGACTCGAACATGTGACAGTTCAAGGATGGAAGGGGAAATAATATGAAGAGCAGCTATCCTGTGGCTTCTGAGGTCTAGAAAAGAAGAAAACTCCTCTTTGGTCTCATTTCTTTCTGAGCACTAACTCTGCCCCAGAACTTGCTGGAACAAATAAGAAGGGAAGCATCCTACTGTGAGGGGCACTTTCTAAGCTGCTTCATTCTCAAGATCACCCCACAAAGGAGGTGGGGCTATGCCCTGTTAGAGATGAGGAAACTGAGGCTCAGAGCAGCAAACCGATCTGCCCAAGGGGCAAGAGGGGAATACGCAGTTTGAACGAGCGCTGCCTGCCCCCCAAACTTCTCTAAATGCACCAATACTGTTTCAGTAGTAGGAAAGAAAAGATGTGACGGATGTGACATTCAAGCCCATTCTATTTTGTTGTTGTTTTACATAAAATCTAAATAATTGAACACCAATTGGTGCATACCCACATCCTTTTTTAAGTGACTTTTTGATTATATACTTAATATCACTCAACAACAAAAACAACAATTTAGAGACAACAAGTCCATCAAGAGAAGTAAAAGAGGGGCCTCCCCGGTGGTGCAGTGGTTGAGCGCTGGGTTGCGAAGCTGCCCGCAGCCTCTGCAGCGCCGGCTCGATCCCCGGCTGCTCCTGGGCACCGGAGGAGGGTCCCACATGGCGCGCAGACCTCTCCTGCCGCCCGCTGCTCCCCTCAGCAGTGTATTTCGCTGGTCTGTCTGTTCTGTTTCCCGCTCTCGTGAATCCTCTCACCCTCCCACGCTTCTGACTGTACCCAGTGCTTGTATAAATAAATAAATAAATCTTAAAAAAAAAAAAGAGAGAAGTAAAAGAGGACCTCCCCAGTGGCTCAGCCGGTTGAGCGCAGCACTGTGAAGCTGTCCCGCAGCCTCTGCAGCGCAGGTTCCATCCCAGCCGGCCGGCGAGGGTCCCACATGGCACCACAGACCTCTCCTGTCGTGCCCGCTGCTCCCCTCAGCAGTGTATTTCAGTCATTCTGCCTGTTCTGCTCCTCACTCTGTCTCTGGTGAGTCCTCTCACCCTCCCGCGCATCTGGCCTGTACCCCACCTCTAGTATAAATAAAATAAATCTTTAAAAAAAATTATTGCTTCATGCATCTTGGAGCATAGAGGCTTGTACTAATTTAAGAGGATTTCCCTGAAATTGATTCTCAGAAGAGGCACTGCTGGGTCGCAGCCTTTGATCCCTATTGCCAAACTGTTTCCAAGAGATTTTTAGCAAGACCTTTCATTTTCCCACCAGAAGTGTACATGTGTCCTCTCCTCACGCGAACACCAGTCTTTGGCATGACTTGCTTTTTTAACTTCAAATTTCGAAGGCGACGGATGACTCTTCTTTCCTTTGCATGTCTTTGACCCTTCTGTTTCATCTGTCTCCTTCGACTATTTATTGAATTCTTTATTATCAATTTTATGTGTCCTTTACAAAATGGAAATATTAACCTGTCCTCTGTAAAACATCTCCCTGTCTGAAGTTTGCCTCTTCACTGTTGACTAGGATTTGGGAATAGGGCTTTGTTCTGTGTTTTCCAGCAACACAAGTCTTGTGTTTTATAAATAAGCCTGCCCCTCTTGTGATTTCTTCTCTTTCCTCTAATCTTAGAAAACCACTCACTCCTCTAATGGCTTATTTTTTTATCTGTCAAGAATGGACGGAGACCTCTGCGCTGTGGTGTGACTTTGCTCATAGCAGAGAGGATTCCTTCCTTTTCCGCCCTGTGTATATTTGACTTTCCGTGACTCATTTTTCTTTTCTTTTCTTTTTTTTTTTTTTTTTTTTAGGACCGTGGACTGTATCATTTCCTATGATACAGGGATTCGGGAAATGTGGGTGTAGGAGGCAGCAATGTGTACATCTATATGCATTCTGAAAAATCTGGAAGAATACAGACTCCAAAATATTACCACTTTTTTTCCTGATTGATGGAGCAGGAGGATTTTGTTACTTATGCCTGCCCAGCACCCCTTCTTTCTTTGGGCAAGATACCCCTTTTCATTCCTTGAGACTCAGATCTGCTGCCCGTGACGCACACCTGCCCCATAGAGTACCTCATTTCCCTGGCGACAGTTTTGCCAGCCCAGGAGTAGGAATGTCAGCCAGCAGAAGCCACCGGATTCTTCCCATGAAACTGATCCCCGGATCTGGGTGTAGCGCCCCGGCTGCATGCTTCAGCAGGAAAGCGGGGCTGCTGATGCTTCCCAGAGGCACAGGAGACCATGGAGCAGCTGGAAGGGAGACAACATGCCAAGAGAAATCAAGGCCAGGAGGGGTGAGAGAAAACACCTCCTAGGAGGCTGCAGCTCCAGTGCTGGCCTCCGCGCCCTGGATCCTGTGTTTTCCCTTAGGTCTGGCACCCGCCTGTGCAAGGCTTGGTTCTGCTTCTATGAAGCAGGCTTCACTCGGAATTCTGTTACTTGGCATGTGAAAGCCTGTGACCAGGGGTACGGATGGTCTGTGTGAGCTTTTAGTATTGTCTGTAATTTTCCTGCCATGTATTTCTTTTCTTTTGTAGAAATACATACATGTAGGGCCTCCCCAGTGGCGCAGCGGTTGAGCACTGGGTTGCGAAGCTGCCCGCGGCCTCTGCGGCGCCGGTTCGATCCCCGGCTGCTCCCCGGCCACCTGAGGAGGGTCCCACCTGGCGCGCAGACCTCTCCTGCCGCCCGCTGCTCCCCTCAGCAGTGTACTTCGGTCCTTCTGCCTGCTCTGCTCCCCGCTCTGGCTCTGGTGAATTCTCTCACCCTCCCGTGCTTCTGACTGTACCCAGTGCTTGTATAAACAAAACAAACAAACAAACCAGCAAACAAATAAATAAAGCATGCCTCTATAAAAAAAAAAAAAATACAGAAATACATACATGTAGACAGAGTGTGCGTGTTAAAAAAGAAAGCATAAATGCCTTCGATCATGCGCAAAGGCAGGCACACACAGACCAGCACACAGAACCTGCAGGCTCAGGGGGCCAGAGACCACCTTAGCACCCTGGGAATGCTGCCAGTGGGAGAAACAGGAATCGGGGTGGAAATCCCCCAGCCCTGGGGGTGCCTTGAGTGGGTGCAGGGGAGAGCAGAGGCTCGGCCCTGGGTGGAAAGGGTGTTTTTCATGGCGTCGGGATCTGAGACACTGAGACGGCCTCTTGGTCCTGTTCCTGGACAAATCAGGTCCCTGCTCTGCTCGGCCACTGCCGCTGGACCTAGCTCGCATATTTTGAGCACGGGCTGTGTTCCAGGCTCTCCACACCATTGTCTTGTGGAATCCCGGGAGAATTTCTGGGGCAGTGATCAATATCCCCACATTCCAGATAAAGAAACTGAGACTCGGGACTTCACGGGCTACTCGGACGCCAGGCCCCGGCCCGGACACCCCGCCTCCCCCGGCAGCCTCGGTGCAGCCGGACGAGACACTGCGCCCCGCCCCGCCGGCGCCGAGGAGGGGGTGGGGGTCCCCGCTCCAGCAGGACTCGGGGGCCGGAGCGCGCCGGCAGGTGGTGGGGGTGCCCGAGGCTGTGCGCGCGGCCTCCGGCCGACCCCCACCTCCGCGAGCTGCTCCCCGTTCCCCGGGGCACGTCTCCTCCCGAGGCGGGATTGCGCAAGAGGACGCGGCGGGCCCCGGGAGGGATCGGGCCCGGCCCCCCCCCCCCCGGCGCCCGCCCGGTCACGTGCCGGTCCCCCGAGGCCCCCGTGGCCGGCAGGCGCCCCGCGGGGTCCCGGTTCCCCCCTCCTCCCGCTCCCCGGGGGCGCCACGCCCGGCTCGGCGGCAGGTGCCGGCCCCGCAGCCGGGGCTCGCCGCGCCCCCGGCCCCCCCGGCCCCCGCCCCGGGGCTCCTGCCCGGGCCCTAATCCCCCCCGCGCACTGGCGCGCGGGACGGGGCCGCGGCCGGGAGGGAGACCGCGCCCGGGCGGCGTGAAGCGGCGGGGGGCGCGGGGCGCCCCGGGCGCGCCCCGACCAGCGTGACTCGAGCCCCGGCCCGGGCGCGGCCGTCCCCGGGGCGCGGGGGCCCAGCGGGGGCCGGGAGCCGAGCGGGGTCCCGCGCGCCCGCGCCCCCCCGGGAGCCGAGCCTGGGGCCGGCCCGCCGGCTCCTCCTCCGCTGACATCAGCGCCGCGGGCGGCGGGCGGCGGGCGGGGGCGCAGCCGGCCCAGCACAGCCCCGGCGCGGGCGGACTGCGGCGAGCTCGGCGCAGGCACCTCGGCCCCAGCCAGCCCCGCGGCGGGGCAGCCGCAGGTACAGTCCCGGGCGCCCACCTGGCCCCCGCGCCGAGCGCGCCGGCGGGAGGCCCCGGCCGCAGGGGGACCCTCCCCCGAGACGGGAGGGGGCCGGCGCGGGCGGGCTGGACTCTGGACGGGCAGGGCCTGTCTCCCCCACCTTTGCCCGGGGCCCAGCAGGTGCCTGGCGGTCCCTGATAATAAAGGAAGGTGGGGAGTGTGTGTGTGTGTGTGTGTGTGCGCGCGCGTGTGCGCGCGCGTTCCCGCCTTTGGCTAGGCCTGAAGGTGGAAGCTCAGGACGTTTGAAGGTATAGATGTGGGGGGCCTGGTTGGGGTGTGCAGGGGTCTTAGCACAGGCGTGCGGCTCAGGGAGGTGCTTGGGGTGTGTCAGTGTACCCTCAGCGGTGGGGCTGTGTGGAAATCAGTGTGTGGCAGAGGCATCTAGGGGTTGTGCCTGCTGGCTCGGAGTAGTGAGTCAGAACTGGGGGGAGCATGATTGTGTACTGAGGATGTTGGACGTTAGGTGTGTAAGGAGTCAGGGTTTAGAGTCTAGGAGTTTCTAGGGTGCTGGAGGATGCGGAATGAGTGAAACTGGGGTGTCAGGTACACAGGTAAAGGGTGTGTGTTCGGGGTCATCCTTCCCACTGTGTGCAGCTGTGTGTTTGGAGGTGTGAGAGGGATCTGTGGGGAGAGTTTCAGGGGGAGGGTGTGTGTGGACCTGGGTGCTGCTCTCTGGAGCATGTACATGGAGCAGGCGTGGGAGTATCTGGGTGCAGAGTGTGCTGCATCTGGGCAGAGTCTGTGTTCCCAGGGGTGGGTGGCACTCGATGTGGTGGGTCTGGGTGCAGGGACATGTGTGGAACGGTCATACGTGCCAGGCTGCCAGCTAGGTTTTAAAGGTCTCCTTTCCTAGAAACGATTGCTCCTGGGCTGGGGGCATCTTACACCAGGGCTCTAGTCAGGGTGTCGCCCCTTCTTTCTCCTGCAGAGGGAACGAAAGGAAAGTGCTCTCCCAGGATCACGCAGACGCTGGGCTCTCTTTTGGCCCTGCCACTGGGGCCCTGGGCCAGGGTTGGAAGGCCTTATTCTTTGAAAGGGCCCCATTTGGCTGCATATGGGAAGGACCAGCTGAGGTCCCCACCCCCCAATGCATTTGGCCTTCGCCTGCCTAGCTGGGACCCAGCCCCTACGCATCACCAACCTCAGTCTCCTCATTCTCCATCTGAGGAATGGGAGAGGACTCCCACCTTCTCCCGCTGGCGGACACAGCCGTCTCAGCGTAGTAAGGCATAGGCTGAATCAGGGTCAGAAGAAGCCAGGAGGGGACAGCCGGGGACTCTTTCCGGCTGCTGGAACCCAGATGGGGAGTCAGGAGGGAGAGGGGCTAATAGGAGGCCTGGGGAGCTCCAGCTGTGGCTGCTGTCGCCATGGTAACAGTGAAGAAGGAGCTATTTAAAAACACGCCTGAGATATTGCTGGAAGCCCAGGCTGCCGGAAACCTGATTTCCGAGAGGTTGGGAGGAGAGAAGAAGGAGGAGGGACAGGAGAAGGAGACACCCCAGCAATTCCCACGGCGGGGTGGGGACATATAAGGACATAAGGACGGGGGTCCTCTGGGGCCACATGCTTGTACAAGCTGCTGGGGTCTTCTGCGATGTCCTCCCTCCAAGAGGTCAGGGTCCCCCTAAGTGTTCGGATTGGGAGAGGGTAGAACTGGGAGGTAAGCTGAATGTGAATGAATGAAAGAATGAACGAATGAATGAATGAATGGCTTTGTTGAATAAAGAATTTTGCTGCCACCATGAAGGCAGCTTGGCGGCATCAGAATTTGCTGAATGGATACTGTTGAATGAACACATGACCGGTGAATGAATGAATGTTTGTTGAACGATTTTGTGAAATGAATGAATCAAGGAACGCATAAAATGCAGGCTGAATGACCAAAGGGAGCCCCAAGTGAGTCCCCTCACTGAAGGTGGGGTCCCCCTGAGTCTTCTCTCTCCTTTCCCCCTCCCAGGAGCCCTGGCTGTGGCCAAGGGGCAGTGGGCCATGCCGGGGGCCGTGGAAGGCCCCAGCTGGAAGCAGGCGGAGGACATTAGGGACATTTACGACTTCCGTGATGTTCTGGGAACGTGAGTGTCAGGGAAGGGAGAAGGGGTGGCTGCGCTGAGCTGGCGGGTGGCGCTGGGAAGGTACTCACTCCTGGGTCCCACTGGCTGGCGGGGGAGGCTGCGTCCAGGGCAGTGCTTCCTCTGCTCAGCCGATTACTGCTTCCTGCCTCCAGCAGCCCAGGCCCGTGCTGCTGTGTGCCATGGGCCAGACTGTCTCCCGTTTTCCGCTTCTGACTGACAGTGAGTGGCACAGGGGCGGCTCTGGCCCCAGCACTGGGCTTCTGTGAAGAGAAGGAAGTGGGGAGAATGAAGGATTCGGTTTATTCAAGTGGCTGCCAAGAGCCAGGAGTTCTGGCTGGGGTGGGGAGCTGAAGCTGAGCAGGGCTCTGTGCTCAGTGCTGGAAATCCAGAAATAACTCCAACCTAGTCTCTGCCCCTCTCAGGCATGTGAGGGAGGCAGACCCAGGAAAGAGCAACAAGGTCTGTGCGGAGCTCTGGATCCAGCTGGGAAGGAGGACTTTGCAGGCCCAGAGAGCGTGGTGGCTTCCGCCTGGGGAGCACTTTTTGGCGATGGGGGCCTTAGAGCTGGGGGTTGAAGGAGGCTAGGTCTGCACTTGTCAGAAGGCGGGCATCCCCGGCAGAAAGAATAACACATATGTGTGGGAAAAGGTAGAGTCTGGTGGAGCTTATCATCAGAGGCAGGGGGCAGAGTGGAAGAAAAGGGAAGAACAGGTCACGTAAGGCCTTGAAAGCCACACGAGAGGAGGCTGCCTTATACCCCGGGTCATAGGACGACACTGAAGACTTTTTGGCAGGTTTGCAAATCAGGACGGTCACTCTGGCCGAAGCTTGGAGGATAAATTGGGAAGGGCCAAGACCGGAAACCAGCACTGAAGCTCCCACTGTACCAGTTATCTGGGATGGTTGAGATCGCACCGTGGCAAATGCTTTTCTTTGCCATATGTCTTATTATCCCAGAGAAAGCAAACAGTGGTAGAAAGAAAACTGTAGCAAATCCCTAATTGGTGAAGTTTAATGTAAACGAGTCCATTTGTTCCTTTCTAAGACTTTAGTGTGTCTCAAACTTTGGTAAATATTCAGATTGCTGAGGATCTTCTTAAAAGTCCTCTAATTTAGTAGGTCTGGGGTGAGGCCTGAAAGTCTACATTTCTGAAAGTTCCCAGGTGATGCTGATGGTTCTTCAAGATTCTAAAGGGTGTTAAGTTATGACTCAAAATGGCTTTAAGAGAAAAAGCAGTCAATCATGCACATAATTGAAGTGCCTAGGGGTGAACTTCAGGCGTGGCTGGATCCAGGGACTCACATGATATTATCGGGAAGTTGTCTTTGACCATTTCGCAGCTCTGACTTCCTTTGCTGTTGGCTTCATTCTCAAGTAGGCTCAGAGGACCACCATTAGCTCCAGGCATACATCCTACCAGCTTAGCAGGAAAGATGCCAGTGACCCAACTTGCATAATATGACCCAATTACTGTGACCAGAGCACAGACTACTCTGAGTAGCTAGGCCTGGAGGCAGAGGGTGGATGAATGATAAGGAGAGGCTCAGCCCAGCTGTTTTTTTTTTTTTTAAGATTTATTTATGCATATAAGAACCGGGGTGCTGGCCAGAGGTGTGGGGGTGAAAGGATTCACCAGATACAGAGTGGGGAACAGAACAGGCAGACTGACTGAAATACACTGCTGAGGGGAGCAGTGGGCGATATAGGAGAGGTCTGCTGCGCCATGTGGGTCACCTCCCTGGCCAGGGATGGGACTCGTGCTGCAGAGGCTGCGGATTGCTTCACAGTTCTATGCTTAACCCCTTGTGCCACCAGGGAGGCCCCCAGCTGGTTGGTTTAGAGATAGTGCCATAACCCACTGGGGATGGAGCAAGGCTGGCGAGCAGCAGGGGTTCCTGTCCCCACCTCAGGATTCTCCTCTCTCTGCAGGGGGGCCTTCTCAGAGGTAATCTTGGCAGAAGATAAGAGGACTCAGAAGCTGGTGGCCATCAAATGCATCGCCAAGAAGGCTCTGGAGGGCAAGGAGGGCAGCATGGAGAATGAGATTGCCGTCCTGCACAAGTGCGTAGGCTCGAGCCTGTCCCTGCCCAGGCCGACCCTGCCTTGCTCCTTCCCATCCTTATCCCGACCCTGCTCTGAGCAAGTCATTTAACCGCTGTGAGCCTAGCCTGAAGTTGTTTGTTTTTAGAATGGGGCGGTAACCTCCATTTGGCAAGGCTGTGGAGAGCAGTACAGATCTTTGTTTTAAGTGCCTGGCACAATGGCTCTGAGACCCACTGCTGGTTGACAGAGGCTTACTCAGCTCAGTCAGGTGTAAAGGTCAGTCCCTGAACTTGACTTGAACCCAGGTATCGCAACTGTTGTTATCCCTACTTCAAGTTCTCCCTACGTTCAAAATGCCCGCCGGCTGACCTTCTAACCAAATCAGCAACCAGCTTTCTATGACTTGCTCCTGCCAGCGTGAGACAGGCTGCCCTCACTGGAAAGCTCAGAGATGCAGCTTCCCTTCCAGCCTCTCCCTGGGCTTTGCCCACTCTGGATTGGGACAAAATGATAGTTTCCACTGTTGGGATGGGGTAGGGACGGAGGCCCAGAGAGGTCAAGGGACTTGCTCAAGGGCGCACAGCAAGCTGGTGGCGGAGCCATCTTCCATCAAGTGTGATCACTGTCATTTTATCAAGAGCTTTCTGTGGGCAGGGCACGGTGCCAAGCATTTTACTGGCGTTATCGCGTGGGATTTTCTCTTTGAGGGGAGCAGAATCACTGGTTTCAGATTGCAGATGAAGAAACAGGCTCAGAGGTTACACTCAGTTGAAGGAGTCTGAGTGAGCACCTGCTTGTAACAAGTGTTGGGGGGACAAGATGGACAACATGAAACCCTGGTCTCATGAAACCGTGGTCTCATGTGGAGCTCACGTTCTGCGAGGGGAGGCTGGCAAGCGAGCAGGCACCGGACAAAAATTCGACTCCTGTACTGATCAGTGCAAACAGGTGCAAAGGGCCTTGTCCCCAGAAGGCAGGCGGTAGAGGCAGCGAGGACCCAGGTCTGACGATGCCAGGGTCCACTGTCCGCGCTGTGCTCCCGACCTCCGGCAGGGCAGACCGTATCGTGCCAAATTAACTTTTCCCTTTGGTCTGTCCAGCCCTGGTTTGCAGGTGGCAGATTTTTAGGGTGAGGATGGGAAGGGGGCGCTGAGCTGACCTCCTCCAAACCATATCACTTCTCCTTTCAGGATCAAGCACCCCAACATAGTAGCCCTGGATGACATCTATGAGAGTGGAGGCCACCTCTACCTCATCATGCAGCTGTGAGTGGCCTTCCCTCTTCCTCACAGGTCTCCCTGCTGCCCTCCCTGGCCTCCCGGCCTCCCCCGCTCCCTTGACCACTCTGCTCTGTCTCCCGGCGGCAGGGTGTCAGGCGGGGAGCTGTTTGACCGCATCGTGGAGAAAGGCTTCTACACCGAGCGGGATGCCAGTCGCCTCATCTTCCAGGTGCTGGATGCTGTCAAGTACCTGCACGACCTGGGCATCGTGCACCGCGACCTCAAGGTGGGGTGTGAGCGTGTGTGATGAGCTGGGCTCCCTGGGGGGGGGTCTCTGTGAGTTCCTCACTGTGTGACCTTGGGTTGCTCTCACACCTTCGCAAGCCCCAGCTTCCCTGCAAGGCCCAGCCTGCCTCTGCCCGCTGCGGTTTGGACACTTCCGAGGACGCCGAGAGAAATTGTGCGGTCATTTTATCCCAAAACATCTGTGTCTCTTTCTGTTCATAGAAGTCCCATTTGCTCTTTGTAGAAAACTTGACTGAGACAGAGGAACATAAAGAAGAAAGCCAGAGACCTCTGACATCCTACTCCTCAGAGATTATGAGGGGTTCACCTGCATAGTTATCTCATTGCAGTCTTGGAGAGCTCTGGGGTGCAGTGGGCTTGGGTTGGTTCTGGCCTTTGCTGGTGGGTTTTCAGGCAAGGCCCTTTGCCCTCACAGCAGGTTTCCTGTCTGCAAAGTGGGGCTACTCAGACTGCCCTGGCAGGGATGTGCTAAGGGTGCACAGTGGGTGCTCAAAAATGACTTCTCTAGGGTTTTACAACACACACCCCCAAGGTTTACAGAAAACCCTCTCCCCACCCCCGTGGCCCTAGTCCTTTTTTTTTTTTTTTAAAAAAAAAGATTTATTTATTTTTGCATACAAGAACTGGGGTACAGGCCAGAGGTGTGGGGGTGAGAGGATTCACCAGAGAGAGAGCGGAGAGCAGAACAGGTAGACTGACTGAAATACACTGCTGAGGGGAGCAGTGGGCACGACGGGAGAGGTCTGCTGCGGCATGTGGGTAGCTCCCTGGCTGGGGATCGAACTCATGCTGCAGAGGCTGCGGATTGCTTCGTAGTGCTGTGTTTAACCCCTTGCGCCACCAGGGAGGCCCCCCTTGTCCTTTTTCGGAAGTTTTAAGCTGGAGAACCTTCTTGTGCTTCCAAGTCAAGATGGCGGGCCTGTGGTCATTGGTGGCTTTGGGAACCCCCTGTTTCTCAGGGGGAGTCTGGGGAGGCAGAAGCTCCTGCCAGCCTCTATCTCTGACGGCGCACGTCTTCCCTCCCGCCCTCTAAGCCAGAGAATCTGCTGTACTACAGCCTGGACGAAGACTCCAAGATCATGATCTCCGACTTTGGCCTCTCCAAGATGGAGGACCCCAGCAGTGTGCTCTCCACAGCCTGTGGGACCCCGGGATACGTGGGTGCGGAGGGCCCCGGGCTGGGGGGCAGCCAGCAGGGGAGGTCTGGGAGCTGCAGGGCGAGTTTGTCACCACCATGTCCCCTCACCTCCATAGCCCCCGAGGTCCTGGCCCAGAAGCCCTACAGCAAGGCCGTGGACTGCTGGTCCATCGGGGTCATCGCCTACATCCTGTGAGTGCAGGCCTGGCGGCTGGGCGGGCGGCTCCAGCGCTCTCTCCCCTGCTTCCTTCTCTGCCCTCTGCATTCCTTCCTCCCCATGGTCCATATGTATAACTTCCAGTCAATGACTGCTACTACTGCATTCAGTAGACTCTGTTTCTGGCAACTGGGGTTGCCACAGAGAACAGGAAGACCAAGGGCCTGCCCTCAGGCAGCAGATGATGTAGTAGGGGAGCAGGACGAGCCACAGGGAAGCCCATCTACGAAGCAATGTCAGGCGGCAAAAAGATGAAACATCAGGCTGGGCGGGGAAGGTGGGGACAGGTGCCATTTGAGGTGAAGTCGGCGCGGGGGAGGGGGCCTCTCTGAGGAAGTGACATTTAAGTGGCATCCCGAGGAAGGTGAGCACGCCAGGCATGTGAGGTGTGGGGGCCAGCGGTCAGCAGAGGGAACAGCATGCACAGTGGCCCCGAACGGGGAAGGAGGGGGCAGGGAGAGGAACAGAAAGCTCAGCGCGCCGGTGGGAGTCCCGGAAGGGAGCTCCTTCCTGTGGGCCCCGAATGGCCCCGGGGCTGCCCAGAGCCCCAGCCCAGAGCCGGGGCGTTTGCCCCGACAGTGGAAAAAAGGACGTTTCTCCCTGCAGGCTCTGCGGTTACCCTCCCTTTTATGACGAGAATGATGCCAAACTCTTCGAACAGATTTTGAAGGCCGAGTATGAGTTTGACTCTCCTTACTGGGACGACATCTCCGACTCTGGTATTTGGGGCTTTGCCTTCTCCCCGGGCCCTGCCTCATCTGCGGTGCTGTCTCCTCGCTGCCTCACTTCGGTCACAGGCTGAGAGAGACCAGACACCTCACCCCAGGGGCTTCCCTCTGAGAAATTTATAGCCATTCAGCCTTCACGCAGTCTTTGAAAATGCTGCCTCCTTACTGACTTCACCTACATCACCACAGAGCCTAAATCACCACAGAGTGCTTTCATCCCTCCTCTGCGCCCCCTATTAGGAAGAAACTTGTGGCGCCATTATCAGTCATTTACAGACCAAGTAGAATCTTCCCCAAGAGCAAGTTCTCAAGGGAGAGAGGAGACTGCTGTGCGCTGGGGTGATGGGCCCCGAGACAGCCTATCTGGCCTCTTGCCTTATTGCAGTGCCAGGCCAGGCCAGAGGGGAGGGGTTCCACCTCGGGGGTGTCCCCAGGACCTGCCATGCTGTTTCTGACCTCGCTCTTGCCTTGGGAGTTTAGCCAAAGACTTCATCCGGCACTTGATGGAGAAGGACCCAGAGAAGAGATTCACCTGTGAGCAGGCCCTGCAGCACCCGTGGTGAGAGCCCCATGAGCTGCGGGCCGGGTGGGGCCTGGGCCCTCAGAGCTGCCTCTGCCTTTACAGACAACCCTCCACACACCCTCTCCCTAGGATCGCAGGAGATACCGCGCTGGACAAGAACATCCACCAGTCGGTGAGCGAGCAGATCAAGAAGAACTTTGCCAAGAGCAAGTGGAAGGTGAGCCCTCATCCCTAGTCCTAGCTCCCAGACTCCCCAGGACTTCCTTCCCCCTCCCCCAAATCCAGGCCTCAGTTTACACAGGTCAGGCACACACTGTTTGCTCGGGGCGCTGAATTCATTCATTCATGTGAGATAGCAACTGTATGCTGGTGAGGGCGCCTGACCTCGACCCCCGGGTAGGCCAGTACCGGGTTCTCGAAGACCACAGACCTGACAGCTAAGTAGGAATTAGCTGGGCACAGCAGAATAAAGTGAGGCAGAGGAGACGGTGAGGGCTGGACCAGAGAAGGGCTGGCGGGACAGAGATCAGCGGCTGGGCCGGGCCGTGTGGAGGAGAGGAGAGAAGGTGTGAGCCGAGATGTCGAGGGTCGGCTCAGGATCTGGGGTGGGGTAGATGGTGCTGTCACTGAAAGGGAGATTCCAGGGGCAGAAACTGGCCTTGAGGGGATGATCTGTTACGGACATGGTGAATTTGAGGGGTGGGTATGTTGAAGAGAATCACACACACACACACACACACACACACACACACACACACACGGCAAGTTACTAGACTTCCCTATGCCTCAGTTTCCTGCTTTGACAAGGGTGACCCTTACAGTGCCCACATCAAAAAGTTTGGGAAAATTATGAAAATACAGAAAAAATTTTCTTTTAAAATGAATGAAATTAAGTCAAGAAATTCAGAACTTAAGTGAATTACTATCTAAGTGCTTAGAACAGTGCCTGACACGTGCTTTGTAGTGTGTGTTATTGTATACTAATGGCGATAGCTATGTATCCACTTACATATGTAATACCTGGGTATGTGAATATACAATACAACTTAACATAATTTAATAGAGCCTTGTAGAGGTTTTGGGGGGCTTAAGGGATTAGTCAATAGCACCTCAGTGAAAACAAGAGAACCCCTGCAAGAATCCTTCCACCAGACTGTGCCCCGTGCCTCCTGTGCTCTCCAGAGCGCCTCCTCCTTCCTCTCCCCACAGCAAGCCTTCAATGCCACGGCCGTGGTGCGGCACATGAGGAAGCTGCAGCTGGGCACCAGCCAGGAGGGACAGGGGCAGACGGCGAGCCACGGGGAGCTGCTGACGCCGGCAGCTGGGGGTGAGGACCGGCTCCCTGGAAGGCCGAGGGTGGGCCCGAGGAGTGCCCAGGCTGGAGCACAGGGTCCGCTCCTGTGCCGACTCTGCTCTCTCCCACTAGGGCCAGTGGCCGGCTGCTGCTGTCGAGACTGCTGCGTGGAGCCGGGCCCGGAACTGCCCCCGACACTGCCCCCCCAGCTCTAGGGTCCTGGAGTTGTGGGAAGAGTTGGGGGCGGCCTGCTGCCCTTCTCTTCCTGAACTGGGGGGTTACCCTGCCCACCCCATCCCCACCCTTTCCCCCACCACTCTCCACTGCATTTTCCATACAAATGTTTCTATTTTATTGTTCCTTCTTGTAATAAAGGGAAGCGGCTAAAACCACAAGTATCTCTGTCTCTGCAGAGAACCCCGCCCCAGACTTGGTGCAAACTGCTTGACATGAGGGTGCCTTGCCCCTGAGGTAGTTGCAGGGAGGCCCCCTTCCAACATGATATGGGATGGAGAGGGAAAGTAATGCCTTAGTCCAGTGTCCACCTCTTAGCCCTCTGGCCCTTTGGATCTCCTGCGCTTTGCTGGCGGCTCCTCAGCTCGGTGCGGCTGGCGCAGGTCAGCACTGAACAGCACCTGGGGGGCAGCACGGGGGGTCTGTGTCAGGAGAGGATACACAAGGGTCTGGGCTGGGGGCAAGACGAGGGCACTGAAGTCAGGGTTGGGGTGGGTGGCGCTGGTGGCTCCCCCAGGCCTGGGGGAGTTCTATGGGGTCTGGGCTGGAGGAGGAGGGACCCTAGGAACACTCACCGCTTGGGCCCAGCCAGCGTAAGGGCCCCACAGGCTCCTGAAAAAGTTTCCTAAACCAGAAATGATGAGGTGAAACTGATTAGCCCCTGCTGCTCCCCATCCACTGGGGTGGGGCCTTAGGGGAAGGGACTAAGAGGGTGAGACATTGCCACCACCTCAGCCCACTGCCAGCTGGCACATTCCCCTCTCCCTCCACCCCCGTACCTAGCTCCTTGTTGGCCTGGGGGCTCGGCCCCTTGGCCTGGGTCGTGCTGGGGTGCCAACTATAGTCACGCTGGGCGATCTGCCACACATGGACGTCCACGGGCACGGCCTGGGGCTTGTCTAGGGCCATCAAGCAGATGCAGTCGGCCACCTTTGACAGAAAGGGCGCCAGCTGGGGAGCAATGGCAGGACCCAGGTGACATCCTGCCTCTAGCCCCACAGCCAACTGCTTCCTCCTCCACCCCGAGGCCACCAGTATTCCCTATTCTCCAACAACATACATCTATTAGTCATTTAAAAAGCAGCTGTGATGAGTGTTACTGAGTGAACATCGATGTGAGCCAGGTTCTCATCAGAATGTGCGAGAGAAGATATCACCAGATTGGGCCTCCCCTGGTGGCACAGCGGTTGAGCGCTGGGCTGCAAAGCTGCCCGCAGCCTCTACAGCGCTGGTTCCATCCCCGGCCGCTGGAGAGGGTCCCACATGGCACACTGACCTCTCCTGCCGCCCGCTGCTCCCCTCAGCAGTGTACTTCGTCAGTCTGCCTGTTCTGTTCCCCGCTCTGGCTCTGGTGAATTCTCTCACCCTCCCACGCTTCTGACTGTACCCAGTGCTTGTATAAATAAATAAAGAAATCTTAAAAAAAAAAAAAAAGAAATAAAGAAATCTTTAAAAAAAAAAAATAAAAGATATCACCAGATCTATCCTGCAGACAAGAACATTCAGGCCCCGAAAGGCAAGGTGACTTGGCCAAAGTGCCAGGGTAGGGAGAGCAAACCCGGAGCTAATGTCGAGTTGGAGTTCAGACCTCATTAGGAAATGGTGCTGTAACAAAAATTTCTTTTCTTTTCTTTTTTTTTTTTTATAGAGGCATGTTATTTATTTATTTATTTGTTTGTTCATTTATACAAGCACTGGGTACAGTCAGAAGCGCGGGAGGGTGAGAGAATTCACCAGAGCCAGAGCGGGGAGCAGAGCAGGCAGAAGGACCGAAGGACACTGCTGAGGGGAGCAGCGGGCATGGCAGGAGAGGTCTGCGCGCCCTGTGGGACCCTCCTCCGGTGGCCGGGGAGCAGCCGGGGATCGAACCGGCGCCGCAGAGGCCGCGGGCAGCTTCGCAACCCAGCGCTCAACCGCTGCGCCACCGGGGAGGCCCTGTAACAAAAATTTCTTTTTCAAATTCTAGACAAGTGCAAGAACAAAATAAACACCAAACTCCCAATTGTTTTAATGTTAGCTTTCCCTGTTGATAGTAAATAAAAAATTTGGTGAGGACGTATAAGAAAAGAATGAAAAGTACTCACATTTTCCCATTTGTCTGCCCAATTTATCTGCTATTGCTTCCTGTGATTCCGTCTGGAAATCCCTGCAGACCTACATGTCTGCATATATGGAATATATATATCCGGACAAATGGCCTTTCTAAAAATGCACTCAAAGGGCAATGTCCTTTACACCTTTTCTACACTTTGCACTTTAATAAAGCATCTGCTGGCTTCCTCTCTCCTTCCTGCTCTGCCTGACCACAAGCCCGCACCACTCTCGGGACTGCTGGGTCTCCTACTCCACTTGTCTGAATGGGCGGTTCTTCCGGCCTGGGGTCTCACCTTGGTGCCCACCCCGGGCAGGGTGCAGAGGGCTTGGTGGGCCTCCTCATAGGGAGCCTGGCACAGCTGCTGCAGCCAAGGCAGCCCGCCCCGTTCTTCCAGGATGGTCCGGGCGCTGGCACTCACGTAGCGGGCGCGGTAGCCCAGGCCCATCTTCCTGAGCTGAGCCTCTGCCTCTGGCCCTGTGGGGGGTTGGGGAGGGGAGCAATGGCCACGTACCCTCAGATCCTGTCCTCAGGCAAGTGTGTGAACCTCCACCCAGCAGGTGTGCTTTCCCTAAGTACTCCTCTCCGCCTTCTGCTGGGAGACCCTGAACACCTGTGTGTGTGAAGAAAGGCAGGTTCCTGGAGCAGGTTCTGAGAAAGACTTGCTGCCCTGGAGGGGCTCCCCAACAGAACACTTTAACTTTTCCCAAGGTAATTCACATCCATGACCTAAAATAATAATCATAATAGAAGCAACGACTCCTATTACCAAGTGCAGGGTATCACACACTAGCAAATGGCTTAAGGTCCATTATCACCTGCTCTCAAGGGCCCTGGGTACAGTACTGCTGCTTTCTCCACTTTAGAGATGGTGAACACGAGGGCTTAGAAGTTAACTTGCTCAAGAAAGAACAAGGTGGCGCTGGGATCTTGCCCCAGGTCTGGGCCAGCAATGCCTGTGCTCGTCACCCACAACAGGACCCTGCCTAGTGACTGCTTTATTCACCCCTCAGGCCCTTCTAGAAAGAAACTGTTATTTCTACTCTACAAGTTAAGAGATGCCTGGGGAGGGGAATGGGTTTTTTAAGGTCTGATGGTTTTACTTAGCTGGGAGTTGACACCCAAGATTCATTCCTACACCCCCAAACATTCTCTTTTCTCCAAGAGGGCTGTCTCTTTGCCTTGCAGTGTCTAAGGACTTCCCCAAGCTTGGTTCTCGCCCCTACCAACTGATACACCTGCCTCACAGTGCTGCTGTAAGAATGTGCGTGTTCTTGAATGCAAACTTGTTGGGTTCACTGGTGAGAGAGCCTTTTTCTGGATTGCCATTGAGTATTCCGCATAAGTCCCCTAATGCAAACCCTGAGAGAGGTGCCCTATATGTATACCTTTACCAACCCGCCTGACAACGATGACAGGTAGGTGCCATTATTATCCCATTCCACAGGTGAGAAACTGAGGCAAGGAGAGGCTAAATAATGTGCTCAAAGTCTTATAGCTGGAAGTTCCAGAATTGGCAGTCTGACCCAGGTCCTCTCCAGAAGGCATGCTCTCATTGTACATTGCGTATGTAAGTTTTTCTGGTGAGGCATTGAACCCATAGGGCAAAAACCACAGTTTAGTGAAGTGCCTACATTTTATGGACAGAGCAGGAGGGTGACCTGGGGCAGATCACACCAGGAAGGGTGGTTTCAGGGGAGGTCAGGAAGCTCTGAGTTGGGAGACAGGACCTGGGACCCACCACTCACCAGCCAGGGCCTGTAGGCTGGGGAAGGCATGGTAGGCGACATCGTCGAGCTGGATGAGCCGAGGTCCGAAGGCCTGGCAGAGCCGCTCAATCATGCCAGTGATGCGGGCAATGTTGTTGTTGGAGGAACAGATGAAGGAGAAAAGGCACTCGACGGGGTCCAGTCGCAGGAGTCGCACACCTGGGGTAGCAGAAGCACTTGCTGTAGGGGGGTCAGATCCCAGGAACCACAAGACTCCAGGGGGTGCCAGGGGATCGAAGTATAGGGTTCTTAGAGGAAGCAACACCAGGAGTAGTGTGAAGAAGAGGTGAGGATGACCCCAGGACCGACCAAAGCCCACTGGCCAAAGCATCGCCATGTCCAGTGCCTGCATCCTCCATGGTCACGGCCACGGCCAAGAGAAAGGCTGGGGGGAGGCCACATGAGATAAAGCCAAAGTGAAGGACGGACCTCAGAGATCTGCAAGGTCATCACTAAACCTGCTCCTCCAGTGCCAGAGCCCGAGCCTAAAAAAACCCCTGCAAAGAAGGGAGAGACGGCACCCAAAGGAAAAAAGGGTGAAGCTGATGCTGACAAGGATGGGAATAACCCTGCAGACAACGCGGAGGCCAAAACAGACCAGGCCCGGAGAGCTGACGGTGCTAGAGATGCCAAGAGAAGTGTGTTTCATTTTTGATAACTGTACTTCTGGTGCTGGTACAGTTTGAAATACTATTTTTTTAAATCAAGTTTTATAAAGATGCAGAAAAACAAGCAAGCAAGCAACACTCCAGAGCTCAGTCCTCATAGTACCTCGTAAAGCCTGGGTTGTCATTCCGCAGATAAGAAGGCCCAATGTAAGCACTATGAGGGGGGGATCTGTTTTGTTTGTTGCTGTATCCCCAGTCACATGGCAGAAGTTTCGTAAATGTCTATAGAACAAGTGGCATCATGGCCCCAGGTTCCACAGCAGGATTTGGCTCAGTCAGTGTCCTTGTTATTCCAGTACCGTGATGGGCAGATACCAATCAATATTAATAGTAATTAAAACTACTATGTGCCTGTGCCAGGCACCAGTCTAAGCACTTTGCCTGCATTAGATCTTTTACGCCTCATAAAACCGTAGGAGTCAATATTATCCCCATTTCGCAGGTGGCAAAACCGGGTAACTTCATCCGAATGACAAGAACTCCAGCCTCTGCCCAGCCTTGGACTCACCTGGAAATTTCTGAGCCACCTCTTGAAAGTGGGGGTCCACGGAGCCCCAGTGGCCGTACAGTCGGGCCAGGCTGACATCCAGCTGGAAGTACCGGCGCACCGCCCGCAGCTCCTCCGGCGTGGGCCTGCCGCCCGGGCCCCGCGGCCCGCGGTACACCGTGCAGTGGAGCTGCTCCTCCGTCTGGGTCAGCGTCCACACCTGGCCGGCCAGCACGCCGCTCCAGTGCGCGGGGCTCAGCTCCCGCCACCTGCGGCCGCGGGTTTGGTGCTCGGTCCCTTCCCGCCCCGCAGAGGCCGCCCCCCCTCCCCACACACCCCCGCCACGCGCGAAACGGAGGAACAGATCGTCTCACTGTCAGCGGCACGTTCGGGCCGCACACAAATGCCGCAGGGGCGCCCGTCTCCACGCCACAGGGGCCGCCAGGCGCACACCTGCCCACCTGCGCACCTGCGCACCTGCACACACCTGCGCACCTGCGCCCCCCTCCAAGCCGCGCCCCTCGCCCCAACCTCTCCGTGCGCCCCACGCCTGCCGCGCCGAGCCGGGCCAGCGTCACTCACCGGAAGGACTGGCCAGAAGGCAGGACCAGGTCGAGGCGCAGCTCGGAGCGCGGGCAGGGGATGGAGGCCCACAGCGCCGGGGCGGAGGCGAGGGTGCGGGGCCTCATGCCGCCCGCCCGGAGGGACGGCTCCACGCGAGGCCCCGCCCCTCAGAGGCCGCGGCCACTGGCGGCTCTCCCCGAAGACCACGCCCACAAGCGAAGACCACGCCCCTCGGGTCCTCGCCCACCGAATCGCAGCCGCCTGGTCTGTGAAGGCCCGCCCGATTTCATTTAATTCCTCCACTCCTGGCAGGCCCCGCCCCTTGCACGCCACCCAATCAGCGCGCCCCGCCCTTACCGCCCCGTCTCGTGCCCCGCCCAAGCCGGCTTCCGGCGCTCGGCACTGTTTCCCCAGCCGCGGCGGCTTTGGGGCGCGCGCTCTTCCGGCTTCGCCAGGGGCAAACCGCGCTCTCGCCGGAAGGAGCGCCCGGGTCCCGCTGATTGGATGCAGAGGCAGCCAATCCGCGGGGCCGCAGTAGGCGCCAATGGGAGCCCGGCCGGCTGCGGGGTGGGCGGGCCTTCCGCGGCGCTTCTGCGCGGGGCGCGCGCCGGGCGCTCGTCGGCTCTGGGCGGTCAGGGCCCGCGTCCGCGCCGCCTCGTCGCCTCGGCCCCGGGGCTCAGGGCCCGCGCGCCCCTCGGGGAGCCGTGAGCCCCCGCCCTCCTCGGACGCCGCTCCTCCCCGAGGACCGGGCCGCCGCCCTCCCCGCGGGGCAACGTTCTGCGCCCCCCCCCCCCCGCGCCCGACCCCGCTCCGCCTCCTCGCCCCTCGGGCCTCCCCGGGGCGGGGCGCCGGGGCCGCGGCTCCGCTCGGCCCTGGAGCGGGGGCGGCCGACCCGGGCCCACTCGGGCCCTCCCGGGGCTCCCGGCCAGGCCCCCCCCGCAGACCGGGGGTTGCGGGCGCCCCCGCAGCCGCAGGCGCCCGCGGCCCGCGAGGACCAGGCCGGCCCTGCGGCCTCCCGCTGGGGGAAGCGCGGCAAGTGGCCGGGCCGCCTGGGCCTCGTGGCCGGGGCCGCCCCCGCGGGCGCAGTGGGGTCCCACTCGCGGACAGAGCCCGCCGTGAGTGCGAGAGCCAAGAATTCCAAGAGGCTATTTTCTAAGAATCAATATATTTTTTTCTTTGAAATAAATACAAACAGTTGGAAAGGCAGGGCGCTAGGGGAAGGGGCGTGGGGACAGGCCCCAGTCTTTTTTTTTTTTTAGTACCAAATGACTCTGGCGCGACCCGGAAACGCAGTTACAAATGAGAATAATTTAAATTCTCCGCTAATTACAGTATTTACAACAGCAGGGGAGGGGGTCACCTAGTGCCCCGCTTCCGGGCTGGACAGACGTCAACCCCACCGCTCGGCTGGGCCGATGCCCGCTCACCTTCAAGGGCCTCGGGCCTCCAGGCAGTTGCGGTTGTCCTGGCAGGGCGGGCAGAGGTGATGGGACAGCCTGTTTTACGCAGTGTCCTAACCTTGGCCACCACCCCAAGCTGCAGTGCTGAGGTCTCTGCAGCGCGCGGCCCGAGGGACCCCTCTTCTCCCCAGCGAGCGCGCAGCCCTTGGAGTGTTCTGTACAGTCCAGCTGCACTCAGGGCAGGAGGGACCTCCCCCACCCAGCTTCCCCTGAGACTGGCCCCAAGACCAGGAATGAGTCAGTGCAGAGGCCGGTGCCACTCCAGTGAGCAAAGGGGAGGAGAGGTGCGGGGCACTGCGGCGGTGCTGTGCGGGGCAGTGTCAGTCGCTGTCGCTGGTCTCGCTGCTCTGCTCGCCCTGCACCTTGCTGCGGTGCTGCAGCGCCCTGTGGTAGGCGATCTGCACTGACTTGCGGATGTTAGATTTGCGGCCCTCCAGCATCTTCTCTTTGTCGAGGTCTTGGTTCACCCCCAGAGGAACGAGCTTGGTCCTGGGCAGCCACTGCCTGTAGGACATGGTGAAGATGGAAGAAGTCATCTCTGGGAGAACAGCCTCCCTTGCGCCTTTGTTCACTGAGAAACCCTCTCTAAGGGCCCACTCTGGGCCAGGCTGATGGGCCCCGGGTTACAGAGACAAGAGACAAAGCCTCTGCCCCGCTCAGTTGTAATGCTTGACCTCGTGATGAGACGAACCTGGTCTTCGGTCAGGAACGGGGGTAGGAGTGAGGGGTGTTAACCTCAGAGTATTCAGAAGTGTGAAGAGGAGGCGGCCTGACCTAACCTGAAATAGGTGCCCTGACAAACATCCTCTGCAGACAAGTAGCAAGAAGATGATCTATACAACTGTGACAGGACAGGGGCTCAGCGTCTGAATACTCAGGCCCACTCTATCCCCATCTTGTCACCAGGAAGGCAGAAGTGGGAAACCCAAGTCTAGCGGCCATCTGAGCCTGGGTTGGTAGCCAACCCCGTATTTGTCACAGTCACTGATGGTCCTTTGGCTTCGAGCTACAGCTGTTTGTCTCTCAGACTTGTCAACACAACCCTTCACCTCAAAGATGGAAATCCTGGTTTGTCTGTTGTTGGAATTTCCCGGGAGCCTACCCCCGTGCCCAGGGTCGAATCTGCAGCCGAGTCATACCAAGTGTTCCCCTCCTCCCTTACCAGGTTCGCTTGTTGTCAAAGAAGAGGACGAGGTAGAGATGCTCTCGGGCTTCCTGCGTCATCTGCTCCCCAAGCTTCAGCACCTCCAGTGGTGGCACAGGGATAGGAACCCCGTGGTGAAACATACCTTCCCGGGGCATCTTTGGATCAATGATCTGAGAGTATAATAAGAGCTTGGTTTGGTCCCGCCCCATCCTTCCCACAGTGTACCTTACCCCAGGATTTGGAGATTAAATCTGAAATGGGGACAGAACAAAGTTATCAAAGCTGATCTTGGTTTTTTCCCTCTGTGCACTATTTTGGGGGCCAAGGCAAAGAGAGATGGAGAAACTAGCAGGGACCTCTAAGTGTCTATCTGCCAAAGATCCTCGTGCTCCAGAGCCCAGCGCATAGTAGGAAAAGTCTGCTAGTTGTGAGACTGCATCCTGGGGTTGGAGGGTGGGGGGGACAAGACGAGAGGAAACCTACCAGAGCTGGGTACGATGGATACCCTCGGCATTTGGCCCATACCAGGTCCAGAGCATCCAGGGGGGAGTCCTCATCCTCCGAGAGCCAGCCAGCTCCCCGGCCCAGACTCTTCCTCACCACTTCACAGGAATGGGAGAGAGAAGGCGGATCAGCAGCCAAAGGGCTGGCAAGGCCCTGACACTGGGCCCCGGACATCCCTGGCCTCAGGCGGGGGTACTTACTGCTGTGGCCCACGCCGCGGCCAGTGCCCACGGAGTAGGCCTCGTTCTCAGTGCCTGAGGTATCTTCACTGCTGTCTTCTGGGAATGTGCCCCGAGAAAAGGAGGGCTTGCCCCGGCCTTGCTTCGAGGGTGTTGTGCTGTGGACAATGGAGCGCAACTCAAATGAGGGGAAGAGGGGGTAAGGGCACGGTGGAAGGCCCTTTAAGTCCCAGGGTCTAAGACTTTCGGAAAACAGGTTACAGGAGAACTTTCAAAGTCAAAAGCTTTCATCTGACTGAATCTGGCTGGATTTGGTAGTGGTAGCCATAAGTACATGCCTGTCCAAAAGAACTATCAGCCAGATTTGCCAGATCTGATTTTTAATGGAAATACAGAAACTGGGGATTTTATGGGGGTACTTTTGGACTCACTTTTTATAAAACATGACCATGCTGGTCAAACAAACTACATGTGCAGGTCAGTGCAGGCCACCTAAGGACCTAAGGCACCAGACTCCACCTCTGCTCTAAACCATCAGCTTAACCCAGCGGGTTGCCTCCATTCCGTTACAGTGACATTCTTCTTCTTTTTTTTTTTTTTGGCAGAAAACCTTGGATTTAAGGCATCTCAACCTTGGCTGAAATGGTTGCCACCCTCCTTGGGAAACTCAGAAGGGCATCCCAGACACTGGCCAGATCTGGAGGGCTGGTACCTGGTACGGTCTGAAGCAGCGCTGCTGCTGCTGCTGCTGCTGGACTCAGAGTCTGAGCTGCTCCGGGGAAGGCTGCAGTCGTTACGATACACCAAGAAGCTCTTCTTTACGGGCTGGTTTCCACCACTGAAGCCATTGGCTGGTAAGTCTTGGTTGGGGGAGGGGAGGAGGGAAGGAAATGGTCAGGAAGATACAGATCAGAGATGGCATGGGGTAGCAGGGACTTAGAGCTTGGCTTCCCCTTCTGTGCTGGAAAATTCCTCCAACCTTTGCCAGCAGAGCTAGCTCTGGGCAGTGTGTGCCACAGCTGGTCACAGCCCTGCCCCACCCCTCGCACTTCCCTTAGCAGTTACTGGCCTGAGGACACGAATGGCTTAAAGGGCAGGAGATCCCCAAGGAGGGTGAGAAAAGAAAAGGTGAAGCGATACGTTGGAAGGGCCCTGGAAGGAGATCTGGCTGGGTCAGTGTCTCTGGGATTCAGTTTCCCCGTCTGTAAAATGTGGGGATTAAAGGATACCTGTGGACCCTCCTGGTTCTGACATTTTATGGGCAAATGAAGGGGAAGGTGGGAGTTATGTTGGGGAAGGATGGTAGCTTGGCTCACTCTCTTGGGGGGCTGGGTGATGGTGAGGCTCACCCATTGGGGGGTCTTCTGTGGATTTATCACTGTCGCTGTCTGAGCTCGAACTGGGCCGGGGGCTCCTACCCCGCTTGCGCTGACGCAGGGAGCCCATGATGGGGAGCTGAGGGGGCCCCACAGGACTGCCTCCGTGGCTGGGGGTCATCTGGCTCTCCCGGTTTTTGGGGGGCCGGCCCGGCCTCTTGGGCGGTCCAGCTGTCTTCGGGTTCTTTTTGGAGAACAGAACTGAGGTTCTCCTGCCCACCTCATGTGCGGGGGTTGAGGACATGTTGGGACCCAGGCCTGGAGCAGAGAAAGAGAGAAGGAGAGTTGGTGAGGGGCCTGATGTGAGATGGGTAGGTGCCCAGGGTCATGCCTGGGTAGAGAGGACCATTACTCCAGCTAGAGTCGGGGAGATGACTTGTGAGGGATGGAATCGGGAACATTGTCTCTGATACAAATAGCCAGAGAGGGAGCTAAGAGGCCCGTGATTGGAGGGAATGAGG